CGCTTGTGCCGGTCCGCTTGTGACGGTTCCTAGACAAGATGACCGAGTCTTCTATTTTCCTCAAGGACACATCGAGCAGGTCAGATTTTCCATCTTACTATTATTGGCTAAATCTTTGTGGTTATACCCCTCTTTGATTCCTATCTACTGAGATATTTTCTGATGAAATTTGTCGGTTTCCATTGTTGATGATTAGGTGGAGGCGTCGACAAACCAGGCGGCAGAACAACAGATGCCTCTCTATGATCTTCCATCAAAGCTTCTTTGTCGAGTTATTAATGTAGATTTAAAGGTAGGTTTCTCTCATTTTTTTTGGACAAGTTTGGTTTATGATTCTTGAATTGTCTCTCTGCTAACAAGATATTTGTCTATGGTTTTACAGGCAGAGGCAGATACTGATGAAGTTTATGCTCAGATTACACTTCTTCCTGAGGCTAACGTAAGTTGTGTTTTCTGATTTATTGGTTTGGGTGTTGTAGGATGATCTTATTAATCAGGATACATTCTATGTCTTTTTTTGGTTCAATACAGCAAGACGAGAATGCAATTGAGAAAGAAGCGCCTCCTCCTCCACCTCCGAGGTTCCAGGTGCATTCGTTCTGCAAAACCTTGACTGCATCCGACACAAGTACACATGGTGGATTTTCTGTTCTTAGGCGACATGCTGATGAATGCCTCCCACCTCTGGTTGGTGTTTCATTTGCTTCTAATATCTATTCATTGCCCTATTATTCCTCAATGTTTGTTCTAAGATTGCTTTCAATTCATTTTTTGGTTCTTCCCTCAGGATATGTCTCGACAACCTCCCACACAAGAGTTAGTTGCAAAGGATTTGCATGCAAATGAGTGGCGATTCAGACATATATTCCGAGGTATAGGAATCTGTACGAGTCTTATTGTTGACACCTATTTTGTATTTTCTTTTTCTTTAGTCTTTGTGTCATCAAACTTATGTGGTTGTTGATGTCTGTGTTAATGACCAGGTCAACCACGGAGGCATTTGCTTCAGAGTGGGTGGAGTGTGTTTGTTAGCTCCAAAAGGCTAGTTGCAGGCGATGCGTTTATATTTCTAAGGTTCGTGGATTTCTTAGTTCATTGTTCTGTTGAGCTGTATCTGCTAGATTCTATAATGTGAAATATCTAATTCTTCTACAGGGGCGAGAATGGAGAATTAAGAGTGGGTGTAAGGCGTGCGATGCGACAACAAGGAAATGTGCCGTCTTCTGTTATATCTAGCCATAGCATGCATCTTGGAGTGCTGGCTACCGCATGGCATGCCATTTCAACGGGGACTATGTTTACAGTGTACTACAAACCAAGGTTTGTATTGGTATTAGCTCACTAAACAGCATTCAGTTTTGAGCTCTTTCCTGTTTATATCTCTATTTGTCTGATGCTTGGCAGTGAATTACTCTACTAAATGGTCATACGCTGTTGTTTTGTTCGATACAGGACCAGCCCATCTGAGTTTATTGTTCCGTTTGATCAGTATATGGAGTCTGTTAAGAATAACTACTCCATTGGCATGAGATTTAAAATGAGATTTGAAGGCGAAGAGGCTCCTGAGCAGAGGTAAAAACTATCTCTTGCTTATGAAACATTTTAGTCCTCTAGCCTTTTTTTCTCGCGTAATGACGAATCTAACAAGTTGTATTGATATATATTAGGTTTACTGGCACAATTGTTGGGATTGAAGACTCTGACATCACTAGGTGGCCAAAATCAAAGTGGAGATCCCTCAAGGTATAACCTAGTTCCTAGAGAGGATCAAGACTATTAGACTGAATGAATGCTGATTGTTCAATTGTCTTTCAGGTGAGATGGGATGAGTCTTCTAGTATTCCTCGACCTGATAGAGTATCTCCGTGGAAAATAGAGCCAGCTCTTGCTCCTCCTGCGTTGAGTCCTGTTCCAATGCCTAGGCCTAAGAGGCCCAGATCTAATATAGCACCTTCATCTCCTGACTCTTCGATGCTTACTAGAGAAGGTAATGTCTCCCCCTTCAACTGCAGTACATATAGTAGTGCGTCTGAAAACTAAATTGTACTTGTCAGTGGGAGACTAATTCTTTGTACATGAAACAGGCACAACTAAAGCAAACATGGACCCTTTACCAGCAAGCGGACTTTCAAGGGTCTTGCAAGGTCAAGAATACTCGACCTTGAGGACGAAACATACTGAGAGTGTAGAGTGTGATGCTCCTGAGAATTCTGTTGTTTGGCAATCCTCAGCAGATGATGATAAGGTTGACGTGGTTTCGGGTTCTAGAAGATATGGATCTGAGAACTGGATGCCCTCAGCCAGGCATGAACCTACTTACACGGATTTGCTTTCCGGCTTTGGGGCTAACATAGAACCATCCCATGGTCAGCGGATACCTTTTTATGACCATTCATCATCACCTTCTATGCCTGCAAAGAATATATTGGGTGATCCGGAGGGCAAGTTCGATTTTCTTGCTAACCAGTGGCAGATGATGCACTCTGGTCTGTCCCTGAAGTTACATGAATCTCCTAAGGTACCTGCGGCAACTGATGCCTCTTTCCAAGGGCGAGGCAATGTTAAATACAGTGAATATCCAGTGCTTAATGGTCTATCGACTGAAAATGCTGGCGGTAACTGGCCAATACGTCCACGTGCTTTGAATTATTTTGAGGAAGTGGTTCATGCTCAAGCACAAGCTCAGGCGCAAGCTCAGGCTAGGGAGCAAGTGACAAAACAACCCGTCACAATACAAGAGGAGACAGCAAAGTCAAGAGAAGGGAACTGCAGACTTTTTGGCATTCCTCTGTCCAACAACATGAATGGGACAGACTCAACCATGTCTCAGAGAAGCAACTTGAATGATGCTGCGGGGCTTACACAGATAGCATCACCAAAGGTTCAAGACCTTTCCGATCAGTCAAAAGGGTCAAAATCGACAAATGATCATCGTGAACAGGGAAGACCGTTCCAGACTAATAATCCTCATCCGAAGGATGCTCATACGAAAACCAACTCAAGTAGGAGTTGCACAAAGGTAAGTTTTTGCTATTATTTAGCACAAAGAGTATTAGGTTGTGAGAACCCTTGAATCACTTTTCGACTAACACACGATACATTGGTTTAAAGGTTCACAAGCAGGGAATTGCACTTGGCCGTTCAGTGGATCTTTCAAAGTTCCAAAACTATGAGGAGTTAATCGCGGAGCTGGACAGGCTGTTTGAGTTTAATGGAGAGTTGATGGCTCCTAAGAAAGATTGGCTGATAGTTTACACAGATGATGAGAATGATATGATGCTTGTTGGAGACGATCCTTGGCAGTAAGATTTTGCAGTTTTTCCACCTTCACTACCTCAATTTATATCCATGTTAGTGTTATTTTTTTTAACACCGACACAATGATGTTTTCACAGGGAGTTTTGTTGCATGGTTCGGAAAATCTTCATATACACGAAAGAGGAAGTGAGGAAGATGAACCCGGGGACTCTAAGCTGTAGGAGTGAGGAAGAAGCAGTTGTTGGGGAAGGATCAGATGCAAAGGACTCCAAGTCTGCATCAAATCCTTCATTGTCCAGTGCCGGGAACTCTTAAACAAACAAAACCAGCAACCCTTTTGCTACAAGCCGAGGTATGTCAAATGGAAGACAACATAAAGACGAATACCAAGTTTATATCATTACATTCACCTGATGTTTGGTCTTTTTGTGACAGCAGGAGGAGGGTCGATTGGTGGAGGAGACTGGAGAGCAAAATGGGATGATGGTTTTATAAGATATGATATTAAAAAAATGCAATTTTTGAAGTATTTTGTTGGCCACTTAGATTATTAGCATCTTCCACCATCCCTTATTATCTAATAATAATTAATATATATATTATAAAGTAAACATAAAAAAGGTTACAGGTATTAAATAGTAGAATATGAAAGGCTCTTTTATAAGTAGAATATGATGGTGTGGAGTTGTAGATGGAGGCTGGTATCGGTTCTTGTTATATGTATTTTTTTTTTCCTTTCTTTCAAAGATCTCTCTTGAAGTCTTTTTATTGTTTATATATTAATCCCAATGTACATAAGTTTTTAAGCTTTTGCCCTTTTCATTGTCTTCTCGATTTACATTTTCTCAACTTATTTTCTGTTTCTGACTTTTGGTTTGGTTTTAACGTTTTTATACTTGAATGTCTTCTTGTTAGCACTTTGTAGCTTTTCGTATTCATATAGAATATGCAGGAAGCTGTGAGATCTCTTAACAATCTGATACCATTTCCTCGAATACTTGCATTTTAAAATTTTGGATGTTTCTTGTTACAATCTGGAAATCAACTATTCAATGAGCAAAACAATGAGACCTCTTTAGATAATAATAATCTGAAAAAAACAGAATGGAAGCTAACTTAGTTGTTATAACAAAGAGAAATACAAATATCCGAGTGAGTTCGTAAACAAGGTTTGGGTTCCAAGTTGATACCTCTAAGCAGATGTCTATGTAAACGAATCCACACGTTCTATCATTTCATTCTATCACATCACATGGACTCCTCAAACCAAACTTGTATTTAGTTAAAACTCTATCTAAATCTAGACATAAAACCATATAAAACCTGCAATATTGGCAACTCTGGCATACTCGACAATCTCAATCTTCACATAAACACCGCAAACATTTTATCAAACTTGAGTTTTAAGAAAAAAAACTTTCAATTGTAGTATAATTTTTGCCATTATTTTACAACGATACAAAACTGCAGAGTTGCCAATAAGTGTTCTCTTGCTGTATGTAATAATTCTATACCATGGACACATATAGTGATGAGTCTGATACGGATGACACATCGAAGCAGACAATCTTACAAAATTATTTATTTTTGATCAAATATTACAAAATTATTAATTTTCCAAAATTCCAAATAAACAATAGGATAAAGTAACAAATGTGGGACCTGGCCACTTGGGGCACACTATATGAGGGAATAAACACGCAACGCCATAGGAAGTTTCTTGAAGCCTAAAACATTACGCTGCTTCTCGATCTTTTAACCCCCCATTATTACATATTACTCCATTATTCTTCTTCTTCTTTCGTGACTTTCAGGGGACACTTTGTTTTTTTTCCTCACGATTAAAATTCTATGATTTCGCCGCCGGTGGACGCAATGATTACCGGAGAATCATCATCTCAGAGATCTATCCCGACGCCGTTTCTCACAAAAACGTATAACCTCGTTGAAGATAGTTCCATCGACGATGTTATCTCATGGAACGAAGATGGTTCTTCTTTCATCGTATGGAATCCAACAGATTTCGCTAAAGATTTGCTTCCTAAACACTTCAAACACAACAATTTCTCTAGCTTCGTTCGTCAGCTCAACACTTACGTACGTATATATAAATAATCATTTCTTCTTCGATTCCTTCAATTTCATTGTTCTTGATTTAATCGTCTTTTTATTCACAGGGATTCAAAAAAGTTGTACCGGATCGATGGGAGTTTTCGAATGATTTCTTTAAGAGAGGAGAGAAACGTCTTCTCCGTGAGATCCAACGTCGGAAAATAACAACGACGACGCATCAAACTGTTGTTGCTCCGTCGTCAGAACAGAGAACCCAGACGATGGTTGTATCACCGTCAAATTCAGGGGAGGATAATAATAATAATAATATGAATAATCAGGTGATGTCTTCTCCGTCGTCGTGGTATTGTCATACGACGACGACGACGGGGAACGGTGGTTTATCAGTTGAGTTATTGGAAGAGAACGAGAAGCTTCGGAGTCAAAACATTCAGCTTAACCGTGAGCTTACTCAGATGAAATCTATCTGCGATAATATCTTTAGTCTCATGTCGAATTACGTCGGATCTCAAGCCACTGATCAGAGTTATTCTCCGGGAGGTAGTAGCAGTCAACCGGTGGAGTTTTTACCGGCGAAGCGGTTTTCTGAGATGGAGGTTGAAGAAGAAGCGAGTCCGAGGCTGTTTGGTGTTCCGATAGGTCTAAAACGGACGAGAAGTGAAGGAGTTCAGGTGAAGACGGTTTCTACGACGGCGGTGGTGGGTGAAAATTCCGATGAGTGGTTGACGAGACATTGTAATCGAACCAATCAGAGAGTTTGTAATTAAACGAACGGTTTAGATTTGGTGTGTAGATATGTGCGCGAAGTAGAGGATTACAGCTTTTTAAGACAAGCAGAGCACGTGTCGCATCTGTTTCAAGAAGTTTCTTCAATCTTGACTTCTTCTTTTAACACTTTGTGTTTTTTATTTAATTAATAATAATAAATGCTCTTGTTTCAGTTTTGTCTTCTTCAAAAATAGTTAGGTTGTTTCTAGACTTTCCTTTTTTGACCTTTTTTATTTATTCTTCTCATCTTTTTATGTGTTTTACAAATATAATAACGAGAAAATACGTAGAGATTAATTTATTATAATGATAGAAATTGAAATTGTAATGTAATGAAGCATCTGGAATCTCCAGTTTGGTGGGCGCGATTCAGGGAACGTGTTGTGGACCCGGTTTCGTCGATTATCACAACCAGATTTTCTACATCTTTAGATTTTCTACATCTTTAGATTTTCTACATCTTTAGATTTTCTACAACATATCACATATGTAGAAAGATTGGTTTTGATTACTTATTTCAATTGGTGGTGGTATAAAATAAACATTAGAATGTATCAAATGTATTGTCTGATTGAGCGTGTTGGGATTTAGATAGAGAAGGTTACGTGAAAATTTGCTCACTCATATCATTCGTTGAGGTTTCGCAATCACTCGCGATGGGAAACCAAAAAACAAACGCATAACTTGCAAGAAAAATGAGACATCAACATCTAATTGGATTTTCGTCATTTAGATGACATTTTATTTACCAAAAACTAATTTTCTCAAAAATATTATCTTGAAAAGTTGAGAACAATAATCGATTGTGAGTTTCTAAAGGGTCCTAATTAAGAAAACTCTCAAAGCAAGACTGTCTTCCCTAAAAATTCATCGCGTTTAACAACTCATACGTCTCACATCCATTGTTTAGATGTTTCAGTTTCCTTTTTCTTTTCGTTATAAGAAAGTTCTTGGACTTTATGACCTTCTCTATCAATCTATTTTAGTCTAAGCCAAGTTTTGATGAGACGTATTAGGTCTAGTAATTATCCCTCCCAACAAAGCTCAAACTTCAGATTAAGGACTTCCACCTTCCTCTAGAGTCTAGATACAAACTAAACAATGTAAGGACTTCGCACTACCAAAAAACTGTAATTGTTTAGTTTGATTTCTATATAAAATATCAAACTAAACAGTTGAGTTTGTCCATCTATAAGGTGGAAGTCCTTACATTGTTTAATATAAAACTAAACTGATTTCTATATAAAATATCTTAAAGTTTGTTCATCTTGACTCTTGATCCTAATTCTTCATTGTTGAGTTATTTGACAATGACATGTGTGATGTATATGTCTATGCATTTACATACATACAAACATTTACATTTGTGAGTTGTCTTCTTTCCCAAAATAATATGTTGTCTCTGATTTGCAACCTTAACCACACTTAAACAAAAATCTAAGGAGACAATTAAGAACTCTCGGTATCGATGAGCAGTAGAAGATGATACTCTAGAAAACAAATGTTTCTCTGCTAAATTCGGAAAAATCCTATACATAGTTAACCGGTCATCCGGTTAGATTATAAAATAAAATGGATTGGTTTATAACACCGGTTAAACCCTAAACCCTTTCGTGACATTATTATCGTCTCTCTCTCTCTCTCTCTGCGCCGCGTTCTCTTCTCTATCGATTAAGCAAAATCGACCCTCTTCGATTTTTTTTCATCTCTGAGCAATAATATCGTGCTTTCATCTTTCTTCCAAGGTTTGTGTTCGATCTCTAAGTATATTCAAAAGACCTAATTTTTGTCCTTCTTCGATTGTAGAAACTTCACATAGATTAATAAAGGAATCGACTTTCTTCTGTTTTAGCGTCTGATGTTTACCTAATCTGTGAAACCTTAAAAGAAAACCTAATTTTGGGGATTTTTTTGCATCTTTCTCTTATGTTTCAGGCCAAAGTATGGAACTTTCTGATCTAAACAATGGTAAGACCAACAAACCAAAGCAACCTCCAAAACGTTTCATTAAGAACCAAATCCCTGAATCAATCCTTGGTGATGCATCCCTCAACGCTGCTATCTCAATCCTACCTTCAATTTACCAGTTTGAGGTCCATAAATGTGTTTGGAGGATCAAATCATCAAACGCTAAACGCATAGCTCTGCAGCTTCCAGAGGGTCTTCTTATGTATGCTCTCACACTCTCTGACATCTTCACGTCTTTTGCTGGAGCCTCTCACTGTTTTGTCCTCGGTGATGTTACTTATGGAGCTTGTTGTGTTGATGATTTCTCTGCCTGTGCTCTTGGTGCTGACTTGCTTATTCACTATGGACATAGTTGTCTTGTCCCTATTGACTCTACAAAAATCCCTTGCCTTTATGTCTTTGTTGAGATCCAGATCGATGTCAAATGTCTGTTGAACACTATCCATATGAATCTCGCGAGTGATGCCAAGAACATCATTCTCGCAGGCACGATTCAGTTTACTTCGGCGATTAGAGCTGTGAAACCAGAGTTAGAGAAGCAAGGGTTCAATGTTTTGATCCCTCAGTCAAAGCCTCTTTCGGCTGGTGAAGTCCTTGGATGTACAGCTCCTAAGATTAAGACGGTTGAGGATTGTAAAGACCAAGTACTGGTGTTTGTAGCTGACGGGAGATTTCATCTAGAAGCATTCATGATTGCCAATCCGAAAATCAAGGCATTTAGGTATGATCCATATCTTGGCAAGCTGTTTTTAGAGGAGTATGATCACAAGGGAATGAGGGAGACGAGAAGGAGAGCGATTGCAAGGGCCAGGGATGCTAAAACTTGGGGGATCGTGTTGGGGACATTAGGAAGGCAAGGAAATCCTAAGATTCTCGAGAGATTAGAGAAGAAAATGATGGAGAAAGGGATAGATAGCACGGTTGTTTTAATGTCGGAACTTAGCCCCACTAGAGTGGCATTGTTTGAAGACTCGGTGGATGCTTGGGTCCAAATAGCATGCCCAAGACTTTCTATTGATTGGGGTGAAGCGTTTCTTAAGCCGCTTCTGACAACTTTTGAGGCTGAGATTGCTCTAGGATTCATCCGCGGTTGGTGGGAGAATGGTTCTTCGAGTAGAGTACATTCTTCGTCTGGCTGTTGCAAAGAGGACAAAGAAACAAGCTGTGCGTGTAAAAATGAAAAGGTGGAAGATGACAAGAAAGACAATGATGGGGCACTTGATGGAGACTATCCAATGGATTATTATGCACAAGAAGGCGGAGAATGGAACTCTTCATATCTCAAGAAGTCATCTCGTCCCATTCGAAGAAACCCTTTACCTTCTTCTGTAGTTTAGAATGCTGACAGAGTAAATCCACAGCATATATATTACCAAGTCAAAAAGGCAAATGGGTTTTGATGATGTTCTTGGTATTTTCAGATATGTGTTGATTTGCTTGTATCGTAATCTTGATGCTGAAGAATGTTACTTGGGGAGGTCTTGAAGTGAAACCGTGGACTGTTCATGAGAATTGGATAGAACATGAAGGCTTGAAGAGTGAAGACTCATGCTCAGTTTTGATACAAGCGGTGAGGATTAAAACGGCTGTTTGCAGAGAAGCTACAACACTTGTTTACTTTGTCTTCTCTATTTTTGTGTTGATGGGAGGTTACAACAGAATGGTGATTGAAGTGAAAAACAGAGCTCTGTTTATGCGTCTCTCTAGTGAAATCTAATGATGTTTTGGACCCGGTTTTGTTTTGGTTTTGAATTTTTGTTGGATCCGGTCTCATTATCATAGTAAATCCATTAAACTCATTAATTCATTCATAGTAGTACAAAGCAAAAGTGAACGGTTTTTTACCAATGGAAAAAGTCACAAAAGCAAGTGTATTTTTTTTTTTCACAGTAAGAACTTTTATTCGAACCTTCAAACGAAGGAAGAGAAACCCAAGTACAATATTGACCGGAGAACACAAACCAAAAGTATCATAACATAAGCCAATTATAAGCACAAAACCACAATTAAACAACTGAAATCTAATAATTAATCCCTAATAATTCTTTGAGAAGCATCTGAACACATAGTTACTTCTTTTCCGAGAACAGAATTTGCTGTTGATGACGAAACTCGCCGTACCACCGGAAAACTCTGATCTACTCGTCCTCTTTTGTTAATAAAGCGACTTAAGAAATTAAAACATCTACTTGCAAACCCAACTTGATGAGGCTTCGATGATGAAGCTTTGGAATCATCAATAACATGTTGACACCGGTATCTTGAGACTTACTCGACGGAAGACCGGATAAGCAGAAGTAGACCTTTCAGATCTTGATCCAAATCTGATTGTGAATTCTTGTTGGAGGAAGCTACATGAACCGCCTAACCGCAACATCACCCATCTCAGAGATAAGAGATTGGAATCAATCGGTTGAAAGCCTTGGGAAGAGAAGCTAAATCTGAAGACAAGAGAACTAGGGATCGAAATTGATTTCAAAAGTCTGTGATTTTGACCCAGAATTGGCCACCATGACGTAACCATGATATAAACCAAAAGGAAAAGATAACCGGACTACGCCGGATTAACACCGTGAGCTAGCCATCACCGCTGAAAAAGCCGACGATGCTAGACAAGAGCCGACCATGGACTGCTGTGAAAGCCAATATATGTCGGACCAAAGCCGGATACTACACCGGACGGCAAGCCAACCATCACCGACGATATCAATTCGCCGTTGTCGGATGTGAATCTCTCTCTCTGAAATTTTTAGAGAGATAAGAGAGAGAGTTCAAAAAGCCGATTTATAAAAAGCTAGTTATACATTATAGTCAACTCATTGTGATTTTCAGGCGTTCATCATACTGGAATCTTCATTATAAATCATAAAATCTAGAAATGTACACATATGAGAGAAAATAGTCAGCCTATATAATATATATGACTCGCAAGAAAAATGCCAAGCTATATATATTAGCATAGTATAACTACAAACGATAATTAACCATCAATAATTTGAAAGAAAATCTAACTAATAAATATCCATCAATAGTTTGAGCTGCTTTTAGTAGTACTATCTAGTATCTACTATGAATGAATTAATGAGAGTTTAATCGATTTACACTGAATGTCAAAATGAAAAAGAAGATATGGTCGTGCACACTGACAAAAACAAAGGAAAAAGATATGGTCGTACACTAATAGTATCGGATCATACATACGTCAATAAGGGAAAAGATATTAGGTTCGCACACTTGGACATCATTTCTTTATTTGTTTCGTTGAAAAAATTATGTTCTAATTTTATCGGATCTCCTCAACAAAATATCACTCCATTTCCACCACCTCTCTGTCCCCTCTCTTTTTTTTTTTTTTTAAGCAAACTTGCAAAGATATTTTAATTTCGGCAATATAAGAAAATGCCCATTGAAAAAATACACCTTAACCAACGTTGTGTTGGCCCAGTGGTAAATCTCGCTGGTGGAGGTACTAGGTTCGACGCCCGTTAGGAGGGATCTCTTCTCCGAAGGAGATGAATTTAATCTGGTGTGGATCCCGCCTCTAGGAGATGTAGGGCCTTCGAACTTAAACTTCCAAGTATTCAAAAAAAAAAACAACACCTTAATTCTTCTTGGACCATAAAGATATACATAAAAGAAAGAAAAGATTGTTCACAATGCCACCTTTCTTTATATAATTAATTACTACGAAGAAACAACATTTGGCATTTGGCAAACCATCAAGTAGCAACTATTGATTCTCTAGAGAATCTCGCATGCAAAAATCAATGTGCCCCTAGATTTTACTTTCTCTCTCTCTCTTTTTTTTTGCATTGTTTGGTCAAATTCGAACATGTGGCATGTTAGTAATTTATGATCCGATGTTGCCTTGAATTTACGAAATCCGTACGTGTGTAAGTCGAAATTACATGTTAGTAAGAAACTCATAGTTTTGACCTTTTTGGCAAAAAAAAAAAACTCATAGTTTGGACTCCAAATGTCTATTATAAAGTTGCATTTACTTTATAAAAGTTCTAACGACACGAAGAAACTTTTTATTACTGAGTTTGGCTAAAAGCTAATACGAAGTATGTTACTATGTCTATCACCAATTAAACCATCGACGTGTTTGATTCTATGCAGACAAAATTTTAGTTGTTTTTTTGTGTCGTCAACTGGAATCTTTGTGGTTGATTATTACGTTATCATTATTTTTGTAAATTTCTTCAATTTTTATTTCAAACACTCAGACAAACCAACATACGAAAACTGACACAATAATTTTCATATCTTTTATAGTTAGATTTATCCTTTTTCGTAATAATGTTTGCGTTGACTGTTTAGCTAAGAAAATAAGAGAAGAGCGCATAGTCTTTCTACTTTTGTTATGTAAATTCGTTGGTTTCTGATTAGTTCTCCGTAAGAGTAAAGTGTCTTTCCGATAATTTAAGAAAATGAAGGTGTGATGTAAGAAAAAAAATGATATGATAGCTCATAGCTACAGAACAAACACACTAAATATGTCTCTATTCAACGATAATAGTGTTATAAGATCGATCAACAACATGGCTACAGAAATAAGCATTTAAAATTAATTAGGTGCAGTGTATTTGGGACACGTATTGGATTGAGCATGATGAGAAACTCATGTGGATTCTGTGACTAGAAACTAGAAAGTGTCTAATTAGATTCTTTGTCTTTATAAAGCAGATTCCATTCTTTTTATTGTTTTATCTCTTCTTCATATTTGGAATATCTACAAATCAATTCCTAAGCCAATCATCACAGTATCTGGTTTTTAGTTTTTTTATGGACACGCGGGCTTATTCTTTTCTCCATTTGGTCGATCGAATATTCGAATGTAATGGGGACGATAGTTGTTGAGTTTTTTTTTTATAAAAAAAAATACAAAACGTGAAGATAATTTTGCACATCTATTTTTGATGTTTTCATTAACAATTTCTGAAAAGTAATTGGATAAACCACCAAGATATAATAATTTGATATGTGAACATAAAAAATAAAAATAAAAATTCTAAGTTTAAGGTTTTTTTAAAAAATATATATAGACACATCAATGGATAATATTGATAGTTGTTCTAAACGGAATTGGTATGTGCATAACCATATACAATAGGTAACAAAATTATAATAATTTAAGTAATATGGTTAGAAATTACATGTAAGATATATATTCCTACAATATCTAAAGACGACAAATGTCAAATAGTAAAATAATAGAGCATTTATGGAAAACTATCTAATTTAGTGTAGAAGATATACATACAAAATCCATTTTATCTCTCAATTTGTGCCAAGTCCCGATATTCTTTAGTAAGCCTATATAAAGCTATCACATGTTTTCATTCTAACGAAACCAGTATCAATCACAAACACAAACACATTGGAGCAAACAAAAATGTCAAGAGAAATAGAACCACTAATAGTGGGAAGAGTGATAGGAGATGTACTAGAAGTGTTCAATCCAAGCGTGACAATGAGAGTCACTTTCAATTCCAACACAATCGTCTCTAATGGTCACGAGCTCGCGCCTTCTCTTCTCCTCTCTAAGCCTCGCGTTGAGATCGGTGGCCAAGATCTTCGTTCCTTCTTCACCTTAGTATGTAGTTATCTTTCTTCTAACAATATATGTTAAGTACTTATTTAGTTCTCTCTTCTAACATTAATCTTCTTTTTTTAACTCGAAAGATCATGATGGACCCCGACGCCCCGAGTCCTAGTAATCCATATATGCGTGAATATCTGCATTGGTAAGTAGATTGAATATAGAACATTTCTTTCCATATATTATAGTATAATATGTATTCTTTGTGTTCATCAAATTCAGGATGGTGACAGATATTCCCGGTACAACCGATGCTTCTTTTGGTAAGAATACATCACATCATAACACATTTACGGAAACTTTTTACCCACCCATCTTTGGTTTTAAACACATTTTTGGAAGAGGAAGAGAAATAGTGATGTATGTATGTTGATGAAGATGAGTTCATGAATGGTGTTTGATTTTTGCATGCAGGGAGAGAGATAGTGAGATACGAAACGCCTAAACCAGTGGCGGGAATACACAGATACGTCTTTGCGCTATTCAAACAGAGAGGGAGGCAAACCGTGAAGGCAGCGCCGGAAACAAGAGAGTGTTTCAACACAAAAGCGTTCTCTTCTTACTTTGGTCTTTCTCTACCTGTTGCTGCTGTTTACTTCAACGCCCAACGTGAAACTGCTCCTCGACGACGTCCTTCTTATTAACTCTATCTATTAAAACTCTACTCTATAAACAATAAAGTTCAATAGACCTACAAAGATTATGGATGCTTGAGCCGAATAAATCCAACCATTACCAACATGTTCAAGTTCTGTTACTTAACAAGATAAAAGAGTACATGTTATCCAAAATGTTTCTATAAAAACAATCTTCTATTCTCTAATTAGTCAAAACAAACTTACAATAGCTGTCTCCAGCTTTTTAGCTCACAGAGTAGTTTCATCAGTGAGAAAAATCTGTATAGTATCTGGTTCACTTTTGACTCAAAAGCTTAATTATTTTTTTCGTTTGGCCCTCTAACAAAAATAGTATGCACCATTTTGAATCACTTCTTCTTGCTGCTATTCTTCTTCCTTCCCTTCACTTGGCTCTCCAAAGCCTTGAGCCTCTTACTAACAGGACTCAGCGATTGTGAAGCGATCCTCGGGTTTACTGGCGAAGGTGGTAGTGTCTGGTTCTGTGTATGGTCCTGTGTCATGGCTTTCATTTTCTTGAGAGCTGAAAACAGGTCAAATGAAGGTTGTTGACCTGGAGGAGGTGGAGGCAGATCAGGTATGCGTAACATTTTCTTCACTTGAGGACGCTTAATCACTGTCATAAATCACCACATGAACCATTGTTTGTTATTGTTTCAAACCAAGAACATGCCACATTTAAGAATCTTAATTATACACTCACTCACCAAGTCCATACATGAGCGAGAACAGGTTGGATGTGATCCAGTAACAAAATATGGCCTGCAAATTTTTCGCAAATACGTTAGAATATCCATTGCAGAAAGCCATTGGGTTTTTTTTTTCTATAAATAATAATAACCTGTGGAAAACTCATTGTCATTGGGACCGTGAGGAGGGCGAAACCCCGACAAACGTTTTTTACTGTGCCAGCCATCGGATTCCCTTCCATGCCTTCTTGTGCATTACACTGGGAAGGGGACGTGTTCAAGCTTAAGTTAGTAAGTCTGGCAAACAAATGCTGAAGATGTCAAATTGTTTATAAGCAGAAACTGTACCTCAACGGTTATCAAGAATGTCAATGCTGTTATAACCGGTAAGATGTATAAGCTGTCGGGAGTTGTTAGATCTGTAAACCATAATGCACCTCCCGTTTGGAATGAAGGTACCTTCTCTGCCATATTTCGAATCTGGGAAAAAAAATTATCTCATTTGAGAAAAAAAGCCTAATAACATATCAACATAGTCAAACAAACATCTTAAAGATTCAAAGCTCTTACAGCAAGGAAAAAGCAGATGAACAGAGGTCCCTGAATAAACATCCCTTTCATTGGGGTGAATGGAGTGACACCATATCTGTAAATTATAAACAAACCGTATATGGTTATTTGGACATATCTACCAAAATACTCAAACTGTCAGGAGACTGCACCAATACAATAGCCAGTGAAACAGACAAGCTATAATATGACATATAGCGCACTCCCTACCCAACTATGATCTACGAGGGATAACTTAAAACTAGTCTAGAATTCTTGATTTTCTGACCAAAAGACGTTTAACACTCCAAAGAGATGTTTAAATATGATTTTTCTGGTAAAAAAATGTTTTAATTTAGAAGCAGCTTACTCTTTAAACAAATTCTTCATCTTTTTTTGACCTTCCATCATTGTAACCGAGTCCATTCCCTGAACACAAATAGGGAGAAACAATATGGAGAAAATCAAAAGAAACATGAAGACAAGGAAATTCTGAGCTAAAGCGGGGTGGACTAGTCCGTGCAAAAATTATTAGCAGAGTGCAAAAGTAAGGAGGAAGCCCATGATGTATTGCTGTAATAACAAACTTAACATACCTTGTTTTGCATTTCCTCCCGGATGGACTCCAACCGTGGCCTCATCAGCTGCATAATTATAGAATAGACTACTGATGGATGCAACAACGGCAGAAAAAAAAGAACCAAGTATAAATGACAGAAAATATAAGTTCATGTGCATAGACATATGCTTTCCTTTTGTATATCAAATTTGTTTCAGAACCTAAGTATGTAAAACACATAAAAAGCAAGAAGAAACTATAATCGTTGGAAAGTAGGAATTTTCTCATTAAGTTCACAAGTACCTCCTTATAGTAGTTTATGATTTATGCAGACTTGTGTTATTGACTACAGTGATGTGGATCTCAACTTCCTATTTCTATAGGGAGATCAAATTCTACATGTAACGTTTTCATATTTTTATAACCGAAAGAAGCATGTCTAATTCTCTAACTACAGTCAGTCTCTATATTTGAAACTACTTCATATATGAACCATCCTAAATGGTCTGCAAGGTGTGAAAAAGGGACAAAAGGGAGACACATACCGCTAACTTGGTTGTGTCTTTCATTTGTTTGATCAAGAGAGGAACTGTTGATGATCGGATCAAAATGGTTGCTACAACAATAGATGCCCACCTGTAAATAGCCAGAAAGGATATGAGGAAATAGTAGTAATATCTTAATCCAGATTTCCAGACTTTACTCATATCTACCCAGATTCTGAGCATTGGCATATTGTTATACTAGACAGGGTATTCCAGCTAACATTTGAGATATACTTCCGATCAACTCTAGGCAGATTGTAAAAATGAAACACGACACAACGAACATAAGTCAAGTTTCTTACCACCCAAAGCCTGTGAATGAATGCACCATATCAATGCAATGCTGAAGGGCCGCGATAGGGAAGAAAGAGTCAGCAGCTGCAAGTGTAACTTCACTGACTGCAGCAGCAGCCTGAGCTGGCACATCTTGCAATGTTGAGTCGGTTATGACTTCTGCAATGTCAGACATCACACCAATCTTCTCTGAACCGACACCAGGTGCACTTGACAAATAACGATAGAAAGCGAAAGCAGACATAGGAGCCATAGGTAAATGTAAGCCTCCTCCAGAAACTTTGGAGAAATCTGAGTTGTTAGCGGATCTTTGGTGAAGAAAGCTATGATAACTTCTCTGAGATGTTTCTTGAGAGAATGAATCACTTTCATGATCATTCGCAAGAGGGATAATATGATAAGATGGTTGGCTCCGACGAGCGAAAAGTGTGGACCTTATAGCTAAGGTTCGCCTGAAAGCCATTGCAGAATCTAAACAAGACTCTACAGTAGTAAGCACAAAAAAGTCAATATCTAATAGATTGCTGATTGGTGAAAAGATGTAATTTTGGTCACAGACCTATGGATTTTCAGATAAAAGAGCAAACTTTTTGTTCATCGATCTTACTTAAAACATAATCAAGTTTTGATTATTGGAAATATGAATAGAACACAATAGAGAATCCACAACAAATCATAGAAGAGGTAATTGAAAGATTGAAGAAGAGTAATACTAAAGATTGAACTGTGAATATTTGAAGGAAACAGAATCTGATTGGAAAGCAGAGAGATTTCATAAAAAGTTATCAATCAGCTTCAGACACTTAGATACTTATCCAAAATCTAAGCTTGAAAATGATAATAAATCGCGTGGACAAAGGAATGTTAAAATCAAACAAAAACCCAAACAGAGTAATAAAGATGAAAACTTTAAACCCTAATTGAACAGAGAATCTGCAGAAATAATGAAACCTGGCAATGGAAGAAGGCGACAGTGACGGTGAGATGAGAAGACTATGAATCACGGCGAACGAAACAGAGACGGTGAATGGGTTTATGATATCACTAAAGGAAGGTCAGATCGTGTACGGAAATTAGGGATTTTAGTTAAACCGTTCTGGTTTATTTTTCTCGGTTTGGTTTCTAATCCGGAACCAATCCGATCGGTTTTGACTTTTGAGAAAGTCAAACAAGTTTCAGGTCAAATTTATTGTACCATGTGAGAAGATTTCTATGTATTTTAGTTCCTTGTAATAGAAATTTAATTAATTGTAGTAAAAATTCGATATAGTTCAATTTCATAATCCGTTTAGATTTAGTAGTACCCACAATTATATTGATAAATATAAAAGCCCTCTCGTTGTATCTTCTATAGAATCTCTAGGGTTTAACTTGATGAAGAGAAGAAGCAGGGAGAACAACTACAATATCTCATCACAACGTCTTCTCTAACGTGAAATCTCCACCGGACAAAAGTCCGGTTATAATGATATCCCTCTCAATCTAACGGTGGAGATACTCAAGAAACTCCCATCCAAGTCTCTCGTGAGGTTCCAATGCGTCTCCAAGAAATGGTCAGCCATAATCGGATCCCGTAGAGACTTCATTGATTCGATCGTGGCCGGTTCGATGACTCATCCGCACGGTGTGATGTCCATCTCATCTTCCACTACCAATCAGACAAATCTTCTTTTTTCATCTTAGCTTCACACATCCTCAAAATACTGACCAAGAATTAGTATCAATCCCTGGATTAATCGTCGATAATTATGGCTACGTTCGCGGTTTGATTTTATGTTGTTCAGATAGTTCTATTTCAGTAGCTATATACAACCCTACTACGAGGCAGTCTCTTCTCTTACCAAAGATCCAAATGCTCATAGATGATTTATTCAATCACGTTTTCGTGTTCGGGTACGATCCTGTCAAGAATCAATACGAAGTTGTGAGCTAGATTACTAAATCGGAAGAGTTGGAGAACACTTGTTTTGTTTGCACATTGAGAGATCCCAAGAAGCAATGGATGAACATCAAATGCGGCGCCATCCAACATCACTATCCGTGGCTACCCACTGTATGCATCAACGGGGCTATCTACTATCGAGCCACTAAAGATCATGGCTCTACATTTTTCTTTGTGAGTTTTGATGTTAGGTCCGAGAAATTTAATCATGTGAAAGCTCCGAAAACGCTGATTGATTGCAAGGATTCGACTCTCATAAACTACCAAGGGAAGCTTGGATTTGTAAGTTACGAGAAGAGCGTGGAAATATGGGTTATGGAGGATGCTAAGAAACAAGAATGGTCCAAGGTTATAGTAGATAGCTCCATTGGAAGTTGTGAGATTGTTTTTAACAATAAGATGGTCATCTGTCATGACACGGTATATGTAGTCTATTTTGATCCAAAGCGAAAAGATCGTCTGAGACAGGTTGGAATCCGAGGTACTAGTGCGGAGGAAAGAAAGCATAATCATCTTATTCATATATGGGTACGTACGGTTGTTCCATATGATTAGGGATGTTAACTTGGGCATAGAACCCCCATTTAATAAAGAAAAATACTTGGGTTTATCCAATCAAAATCTGCCACCTAATAATAATTAAAAATTTTATTTAATTAAAAAATTTAATTTACCACTAAAATGAAATTATGTATTGGTTTAGGTTTATTAGAAAGGGTTAGGATTTAGATTTTATGATTAAACGAGTTTAACTATCGGTTTGGATTTATAAACGGGTTTAGATTTTACAATTAAACGAGATTAAGTGTCGGTTTGGGTTTAGAAAGTACGATTAGAGTTTAGATTTTTTACGATTAAACGAGTTTAAATGACGATTTGGGTTTACAAAAGAGAATTAGAGTTTAGATTTTGTAATTAAACGAGATTATATATCGATTTGGGTTTATAAAAGAGTGGTTATGACTTAATCTTATTGTTTTATTTAGAAAATATTAATTTTTTTTAATTTTTTTAACTTGATGACGTGGCAAATTCTAATTGGATATTTAAGAGGGGATATTCTAGGGGTGAACCCAAGAATTGTTCTATATATGGGTATGCACAAAAAAAATTAACCCATTTAGACCCATTTAGGGAAAAATATTAAATGGAGTTAAATGGGTTACCCCAATTAAACTTATTTATTAAATGGGGTTTCACACAAATAAATGGGTACCCATTTAAGTATATTTATGTTTTATTTTATATTAGTTATTTTTATTAAAAATGTTAATATCTTAATAACTAAAATAAAAAAGCAAAATATTAAATATATTTAAAACTAATATTCTACTTAAATTCAATTTTTGATTTAAATATTTAAAACAAAACTTAAAACCATGTCTCTTATAATATGGTTATGCGATTTTGGCGGGAAAACGCAGATTAACAATTTTGGCGGGAAAACTTCATTATACGGTATGATACTTTTTGGCTATAAAACGCAATTTTGCGATCATGGCGGGAAAACACGGGTTTACGGTTTTGGCGGGAAAACGCGAGTTTACGGTTTTGGCGGAAAAACATGGATTTACGGTTTTGGCGGGAAAAACGCGGGTTTGCGGTTTTGGTAGGAAATTGCAGGTTTGCGGTTTTGGCGGAAAAATGCGGGTTTACGGTTTTGGAAGCCAGTCGATGACAGACTCTTCACATGGGCGGCGGTTGGGCTCACAATCGCTATCGTAGTTCTTCTCCTGAAGAAGTTCATAAGATCAAGTGGTGATGGTGCTGGGTTTGTGGATCAGTCTTGAACTCTGATGAACATACGTCGATCCAAACCAAACCAGATGGTAATAGTCAAAGTTGATCGATGAAGGAACGTCAACGCTGCTATTGGGAAATGGGGTTTCGTTGTTTAATAATTATAAATATGATTAAAGTGCATAATGGGGTAAATAATTGTGTGTGACATTGTCTTGCAACTTAGTTGATAGATTCTATAGCGTGTAGCGAAGTTAACAATATGTATTTTGGAAGTAAACACTGACGACCTTTTATCAATACACTGATGCTTTTGTTAATAGAAGTTGATTACCTCCAATATGTTCTTAACTATTTCTCATTTTGAGTACATGATGTCTTAAATGTTTTTATGTGTTGAGATAAGCATCAAGTTTCCAAAATTTTCAAAACCAATAGATTTCATGGTCAAGATTCACAAGTTTAACAATATAAGAAGTGTTGATTATATATGCATACACATGTAGTGAGTCCTTTGGTGTATATTTGTGTGTATTTTCATTATAAATTACAGAGACCGATTAATTTGGTGTATTTTCTTTATATATCAGACACATTAATTTGGTGTGATAGACAATGTGATCTCATCTTGTACCTTAGTTTTTCACTTTTCAGTTTAGAAAAAGTTATCAACTTTGACCTTTGACTGTTATATAACGTTAAAAAAAAAGAGAAAAAGTTACCGAAGGTTCAAATTTAATAAATGAAGTTGATCGTATAATATAAATACGAATTTGATAACAAGACGACACAAAAGAAGCAAGTTTGAAGTCTATCAGTCCTTATTGCTCAGGGATCCTCAGGTACTAAAACTAGCAAACACTGCTTTTGCGTGTCTTTGAAGTCAGTCTATAACAGCTAATGTTTTTTTTTTTATTTTTATAACAGCTAATGTTTCATCTGTCTATTACTATAAAAAATAAATAAACACATTGATTTATATGTGACTGCTTTTTTCACGATTATAATCTTATCTCGTTTATAATGAAAAGAAGCATAAATATTTGGATACTCACTTTTGCCCATTTATAACACCAGAGAGAGAGAGAGATATATAGGGATAGAGAGAGAGAGACAAAGAAGTAGAAAGAGAGATGGGTAGAAGCAGGAACATTGGTTTTGATAAGATTATAGAAGAACGGAAGATGTTGAGCTTTTTCAAGTTCTTTCAGAGTTCAGATTTATCTTCTGAATATAGCTTTGTTTGAAAAGTGGAATCTTTTTGTTCTTTGTGTTCAATAATGGGTTTCATGTTTACGGTTTCATCTTCCGGTTCTCTTTGTTTTAAAGGTTGCATCTGTTTTTCCTCTGAATCTTTTACGTTCTCTGTGTTTGTTGTTTTATGGGTTTCAAGGGTTGAATCTTTAGGTTCTCTGTGTTTGAAAAGTTAAAATCTTGTTAGCTTTGTTAAATGGTAGAATCTTTTGGTTTTCTTTGTTAAATGAAAGCTTGAATCTGTTAAGTTTCTGAATCTTTACTTTCTCCATGTCTGAAACGTTGAATCTGTTGTTTCTCTGGTGTTTTGTGGGTCTCAACGGTTGAATCTTTAGGTTTACTGTGTTTGAAAAGTTAAATGGTAGAATCTTTTCGTTGTCTTTGTTTCATGAAAGGTTAAATCTCTGAATCTTCACGTTCTCCATGTATGAAACGTTGAGTCTGTTCTTTCTCTGGTGTTTTATGGGTCTCAACTGTTAAATTCTCTGTGCTTTAAAAGTTCAATTTTTTTAGCTTTTGTTTAGAAGGTAGAATCTTTTGGTTGCATGTGTTTAATGAAAGATTGAATCTTTCCAGTTTCCACTGCTTTTCATGTTTAAGGAAGTGTCTTCTTTTGTTCACTCTTTTCTTTATTCTTCCCTCAAGAACATAAAGTTTGTTGCATCTCTGTCTTCTATGTTCAGATCTTTCCTCTTTGCTTTTTCGATTTCTTGATGCTAGGTTTGTTTATGATAAGACCAACTTGATAATTACCAAGGAGATATTCGAAATTGGTAAGAGAGTATCCTTTAATGGTTGGTGACAAATGCACCTTCAAGCTCATCAAACCATTGAGGAATTTCGAATATCCACCTGAGAAGGTTGTCTGATTCTCCAACCATTAAAGGATACTCTCTTGCCAATTTCGAATATCCACCTGAGAGTATCACTACATGATCATCGATTGAGGAATAAATGTTAAGTGTCTTGTGCTTTCTTATCTATGGAGACATTTGTTCTGTTTTGTGTGTTTGTTAATTTCCCTGAAACTCTTTAGCTTGTATTTTCTGTAGAACTACTAATGTCCTGAACTTCGTTGTAAGATTATTATGCAAAAAACTATCTATGTTGTTATTTGTCAAGTTTAATTCGTCTTCTCTGCAAACATAGAAATAAAGGGACAATCATAATGCTAAAAACACATTGACATTATTGGAGTTAGGTCCAAAACTCACAAGATTCTGTATTTATTAGAAGGTGAAGTGTTTTTTACCCATACAGATGAACAATACTCCAGTCACACAACAGTTAACAATACAAATTTCGACCACAAACACAAATCATAGAATATACGATGGTTATTTAGAGTTCTGCGAGCAAACTCTGGTGTGAGCCTTGACAACGACATGGTTGCTTACACTTCCCATAATCATCCTCTTAAGACCACCAAGGCCTCTGTTACCCATCACAAGGCTTGAGAGAGGAATCTGTTCAGCTGCTGCACAAATCTTCTCACGAGGATCTCCCCAATATATCTTCATCACTACTGTAACCTGCCAAACGCATGTTTCACAATAGTTGGATCATCGTTTAACACAAAATCAAACACTTGTTGTAAAGAAAGTCTCATTCATATGAATTAACAATGTTTAACTTAAAAAAAAAAAAAAAAACAATGTTTAACTTCTTGGTCATCTTTGTCACAACTAACAAGGTAACATAAAGTTTGAATGAACTTCTGAATAACACTATGATAGGTGTAACATATTCTATTTTCAGTACCGTTTTAGGTTAATAGAGTACCAGTCCTCAGATTAATTTTTCTACAACACCAGAGATAGACAAACTGTTTTATACAAGTTATCGGTACTCTTTACTGATGCACATTCACTAACTATCCACAACTAGAAGATCACCACCATTTGGAATCATAAACTTGATATTCAAATTCAGGTATTCATTAGTAAAGTTTAAAGTTGCAGACAGGTTTTACGGTTTTTCTTCCAAACAAGGGACATAAGAAGAAGCTTACCGTTTTCCTAGCGGCAGTGTTGACAATGTCAAGAGTTTCAGCATCTGGCTTCACTGCATACTTCTTCATCACAGCAGCATCAGAGAATTCACTCAACGGAATAAAAGCTGAAAAGTTACAAACACAGAACCAGAGTCAAACAACAACAAGATCATTTGTAGGAATTCAAATCATAAACTTGGAAAGAATTAAGATGACCAGGAGCAAAACACGATCAACTGCTACTTGAAATAGATTCTTTCCAAATTTAAGCAAGCAAATCATACAGAATCATATTGTAGAACAAACGATGCATAAAAAAGGTCAGGTTTGCAAGATCAGACAAAGCGAAGAATCATATATAAATCAGTAGCGATCGCACACAATTTCTCTATCACGGTTCCAGGAAAACAATATAAAGGGAAAAGGAGTTTGAGAGAGAGATTAAGAAGGTACGTCATCCAACGGTCTCCCATAGCTGCATCTAGGGATGTTTGGGCATAGAATCCCCATTTTTTTTTTTTTTTTTTTTTTTTTTTTTTTTTTTTTAGAATCCCCATTTAATAAATGGGTATATACAAAAAAAATTATCCCATTTAGACCCATTTAAGAAAAAACATTAAATGGGTTTAAATGGGTTACCCCAATTAAACTCATTTATTAAATGGGGTTTCACACAAATAAATGGTACCCATTTAAGTATATTTATGTTTTATTTTATATTAGTTATTTTTATTAAAAATGATAATATCTTAATAACTAAAATAAAAAAGCAAAATATTAAATATATTTAAAACTAATATTCTACTTAAATTCAATTTTTGATTTAAATATCAAAACGTAAAACAATGTCTCTTATAATATGGTTATGCGATTTTGGTGGGAAAACGCGGATTTACAATTTTGGCGGGAAAACTTCATTATACGGTATGATATTTTTTTGCTATAAAACGTAATTTTGCGATTATGGCGGGAAAACACGGGTTTACGGTTTTGGCGGAAAAACGCGAGTTTACGGTTTTGGCGGAAAAACGCGAGTTTACGGTTTTGGCGGAAAAACGTGGATTTACGGTTTTGGCGGAAACAACGCGGATTTGCGGTTTTGGCGGGAAAATGCGGGTTTACGATTTTGGAGGAAAAATACGGGTTTACGGTTTCAGCGGGAAAACGCGGATTTACGGTTTTGGCGGGAAAACGCTATTTTATGGGAAAATAATTTTTGGTGATAAAACGCAATTTTGCGATTTTGGCAGCAAATGACATTTTTCCACCAAAACCGTAAACCCGCATTTTCCAGCTATAATCGTAAAATTGCGTTTTATCACAAAAAAATATCATACCGTATAATGACGTTTTCCCGCCGAAATCGTAAACCCGCGTTTTTCCGCCAAAACCGCAAAATTTCGTTTTTTTTAACTATATTATTCTTCAACAAAATAATAAAAACAGTTATATCATTATTTATCAATTATATTTAATGAATTAATCTGTAAATTTTAAATAATCAATCAAAATAATTATTGATTATATAATATTGTTTAGAACAAAACAATGTTATATGAGCCTAAATTGGTTTAAATCGGTAAAGAAAATTTAAATGGGTTTAAATGGGGAGGATAAATGGGGTGTAAACTTAAATGGGGTTAAATGGGGTGGGTCTAAATGGGATGGGTTTTAAATGGGGTGGATCTAAATGGGGTGGGTTAGCCCATATTAACATCTCTACATATGATCATGTGGAGAATACATTGTGTTTGTATTAAGTTTTCAAAGAATTTCTTTTTGTTCTATATATTGGTTTCGAACCAGTTGGTTGTTATATATAAAGCCTGCTAATATATAAGGAGGGTCTTTGATGTTACCCAATACTGTACTTAACCATTGAGTGATTCACTCCATCTATGAACTCCATCTTTTCCTTTGCAATTCACTAACAACATTGCTTTTATCTGTGCTAACGTGCACGTCAATTAAACTATTTTTTTTTTTTTTTTTTTTTTTTTTTTTTTTTTGGTTTTAATCTATTGTGCACCCTTAATCACTTTTCGCATGATATGGCTTGTTTTCAGAGGTGGACACATTATGATAATGTCATTATCCCAAAATATCCAACTCGGCTCATTATTCACATAAACCTCATGGCGTTCACACAACCTCGGTTGCAAACCAACTCCAAACATACTCAGAAACGCTCTTTTTTCGTTTTGTCTATAAACCCTATCTTGTACAACAAGCGAAAACGTCCTCCGAATAATCAAAAGATATGACGAGAACATTCTCTCCGGTGGTGTTTCTCTTCTTATTACTACTGCCGGCGATATGTTCAGCCACCGTAGAAAACGCGGCCGACTGTGCGGCAGTAGGAACGCTGATATCCTCGTGCACGGAGTTTGTGAATTACGGGTACCCGGATCCGATACCCGGGTCACGTTGCTGCGACGCGATGACCGTAATCGGAACTTACTCTGATTCGTTGGAGAAGAGAAAGTGGCTCTGTAACTGCTTCATGGATCTCATCAATGTCTATAACCCTAACGCCACCGCTATTTCTACTTTGTCCGGCTTCTGCGGCGTCGTTTTGGGCTTCACCATCGATCCTAACACCGATTGCAACTTGTAACTTACTATTAAACCCTTTTCTCCATATATTATTCCTTTATGGTAATTATCAAATTTGATTATTTTGTGTTCCTTTTTTTTAGCATTCAATGAAAATTCAAAGCTCAATGGATTCCAAACGACATTGTATCACCGATGGATCAAATGCGTCAAGTTTTGAATGTTTAATCTGAGCTCGGTTAGGTCCTCTTATCTTAAACAAGATGTATTAAACTCATTTAGTAGATTTGTCTTGAAAAAACAGTAAGGAATGTGTGAAAAAAAAAAAAAGGTAAGGAATGTTACATCAGTTAGTTTAGTTTGCTTTCATTTTTTCTAATATCTCAAAAATCAAATCATATCAACCATATCAAAATTCATTTCGGTTTTCGACTCAGTTTAATTTATTTTAATTGAACACTTAGAGCATCAGCAGTGGCAAATGTGTTTGTGTGGGTGTAAGTATTTTTCTATTATTATAATTTAAAGCAAAAGAGAAAAGAGAGAGAGAAAGAAAGAGAGAGAAAGAGAGAAAGAGTGTTACATCCGAGTGTAAAGTTACACCCGAGTGAGAAGAGAGAGACAACATTTTAATTATTTTTCTTTTGTTTATTACTCACACTCGGCCATTGAGTGCGCCAATGTGTATGGCCTTAGAACAGAGTTATGTTCCTTCTTTTGCAAGCAATCGAAACTTGTTAACAACAATTTACACATCCAGCGTTAATACTCAAGCCGACGGTTTTCACTTTTCGTTTTTTTTTTCCTTTCTTTTCGTCGTCACTTCTACTACTTCTCAAGCCGACGTCTTCTAAGTCAAAAACGCTGTCGTTTTATTCGAATTGAAATTTACCCCTGTCACTAACTGTTCCCACCAGATTTTTTTCTTGTAGAACAATAAATAATTCGTTTTTGATTCAGATTTTGGCAGTATTGTGTGGTTAGATATTATAATTCTGATTTTAGTAGGGTCTCTAAATCTTTTACGAGTCGGCCAAAATATATTTTGTTCAACTTCGATTATACACAGTGTTATCGAAAATAATTGAGAAATGGGTAATACTTTGTGATGAAATTCATTATACATTGGCTGATCTGGTTACCACATTATAAAGAAATAATTACCAACAACTTAGTTCAAATGTTATTTTTGCAACAAAACAAAACCGATGGATCAAATGCGTCAAGTTTTGAATGTTTAATCTGAGCTCGGTTAGGTCCTCTTATCTTAAACAAGATGTATTAAACTCATTTAGTAGATTTGTCTTGAAAAAACAGTAAGGAATGTTACATCAGTTAGTTTAGTTTGGTTTTATTTTTTCTAATATCTCAAAGATCAAATCATTTCAACCATATCAAAATTCATTTCGGTTTTTTTGACTCAGTTTAATTTATTTTAATTGAACACTTAGAACAGAGTTATGTTCCTTCTTTTGCAAGCAATCGAAACTTGTTAACAACAATTTACACATCCAGCGTTAATACTTGTCTCTCCTGGAAAATTACCAAACTCAAACAAAAAGAAAAGAGAATCATAATCTAAACAAGAAACGAAGAATGCATCCTCGATTTTGCACTTTGGTTCCGATTCAATCGATCAGAAACTCCTCCTCCATAGTAACCGGGGCTTCCAACATCCAAACTCTCTTCTGCTACCGCCGTGTAGTAGTAATATTCTCCCTGAACAGATCTCTTGTAGCCACTGGCCTCATTAGAGACATCAACTCTCTGTTTCGGCGCGCTCTGTGACCGGACTTTAGCTTTATAAGACTCAGTGTTAGCCATGTAATTCGGATGATAACCCGAGTAGTAATAGTTATTACATCCCCAAGAATACTCACTTCTTGACGTCGGCGTAAAAGGAGTTCTTCTTCTTGACCCACTAGACCCAACTTGAGGACTATTCTCTGTACTTCTCGGACCCAACAGAGATTGTTGTCTTTTCCTCGGAGACTCATTGTTTCTCTCTGAACGTAGTGGTTTCGGATGATAATGAGGCTTCCAAGTATCCACTTCTAGGATCTTGTCTCCATCTTCGCCTTCCTCGGCTTGCCAATCTAACCGCTTAGAGCCACCACGGTGGTCCATAGAGATCACTTCAGCGCTTGAAACGCAGCGCGTGTGGAGAGAACGTGGAGAAGATGAGGAAGATGGGAACAATAGAGCGGTCGAGGAGTGGAACGAAGCAGAGGAGTGAGAAGAACGAGAGGCTCGAGCACGAGCTTGAGCTTGGAGACGAACAAGAGTCTGCATCCTTCTAAGCATATCTGCAGTTTGTTTTCTCACTATGTGTCCTCTCACTAATGCTTGAAGCTTCACTAATGCCTTTAGTGCTCTTAATGCTCTCCTCGCCTGAAAATTTTCCATAGTAGCCAAAAAGCAAACCAATAAACTTCATAAAGTCTTTAATTTAGGTCAAAATGGAATATTGAAACAACTTGAAGTAAAAATTGGCTCCACCACCAATAATCAAAATTTGAGTTTGCTTGAAAGTGAATAACAAAGACAAGGCGAGTTTAATCATTTGTTGAAGACATAATCATCGTTTTGACAACTAATATTAAACCCAAAGAAAAAAGAGTACTAAATTGATTAGTGGTTTGTGAAATTATTCTATGTTTCTTTTAGTCTCCCAACCACTTCCACTTGTACAAAAAAAACTAGATTTAGTAATTACAACAGAGCCCACCATTCTCATAAGTATATGTCTCAAAGGTCAAATGTACACACACACACACACGAGTTCTTGTTTTCACATTGGTCAAGATTCGAAAACACATATAAGATCTTGGAAGTTACATAATTTAACTCGAATTAGAAAATCTCTAAATTCCGTGTTTTGAACCTTTAATTGATAAACAATTCACCGATAGGAAACTTGAAAAAGGGTAAAAAAAAACATGGTTAAAAAATGAAACTTTGTAAGTAAAGGGAAGATAAATAAGCAACTTGTAAGAGTTTTTTTGGCTAAAGATTTCCACTTTAAAGTTGCTGTCCTAAAGCGAAAAAAGAACACATCTGTAAAATACTAATTAGTCTTGTTTATTTCCATAAAGCTCAAAATTAAAAAGCACAAAATAACGTGGAAAGAAAAAAGACAAATAACTTGGCCCATCTTACAACTAAAATCAAATGATTCACACAAACACTAATCTAAGTTCATTTCGAAATTCTGATCAGATCTTTCATCAAAATTTTGAGAGATAAAAAACAGAAGGAGATCAAAATGTGATTTTTAAAAATAAGAACTATTGATAACCACTAAAAATAGTGTCGGCAGTGTAACAAGTTTCGAAGAAACTTCTTTGTTTCACATTTGTTTGTCTTCTATAGTCAGTTTCTTTGGGACCAAACCCCACACCAAAAAATACAAATTTTACCCATTGTTTTGTTTCCATTTTTAAAATTTGAATTTTGGAATGAGGAGAAAAAAATCCCCGAATTTTCAGACAGCTATTTCACATTATGTAAAGAAATTTCCTAATTAGTAAAAGTTTCAAGATTCAAAAATTTTAAATGATTCTTGAAAACTTTAGAGAAATCAAGAAATTAGTAAACTAACCAGATAACCACGAAAAGCGGATTGAATCTTCCTCGCCGCTAGATTCTCTTGAGCCCACCGACGGTTACTTCTTCCGATTTGAAACACCGACGAGTTTCCACCGCCACCGCCATTTCTCCCGCTTGTGAGTCTCACGACTTCAGCTGCCGCATGAGCAGCAGTAAGAGCTGCTTCCGCAACCGCGGCGGTCGCAGCAGCCACGGCTATCGCATGTTTGTCGGCATCCAAACCGTTTTGCTCCTCCACAAACGTCTTCGCCGCCGGAGCTCTCTTACTGGAATTTGAAGATCTGGTGGTGAAGCTCCACCTCCGTTTATCTCTCGACGGAGCTGATTTATCAGACTTTTTACTCCCGAACAGTCTCCCGAAAAAGCCCATCGTTCATCGTCGGAAAATCGTCGGAGAAGTTTTATCAGAGATTTCTCCGGTGGATTTACACTTCATTTAGTTGCTGAGAATATAATTTTTTTTAGTTACAAAAAAAAAAACATTAACATTTGGTTATGGAGAAGCTACGAATGGTAACGACTTATATATAGATTGCAGAGAACGCATCCACGCGCCTAGTATCGCGTTAGTTACACGCGTATTTTAAAAGGGCTTCTTTTTTTTTTTTTTTTGCTTGACTTTAATAAGTAAAAGAGCGTCGGTTAAAGTCAATGGGCCTGACTAATCCTACCAACCGTACCAGATCTGTGCTTTGCGGTTTGGTTCAAAACCATTTAATATCAATTATACGTCATCTTTTAAAATTATACGTCATCTTTTAAAATTTTACTTAAGTTTGTAATGTGAAGTGAATATTAGATATTTGAATTATGTATAGAGAACATTATGAAAAATAAAAAAAGAGAATAATTGGGAGGACGTGTCATTCTCTGAAGCCCATAATTTCACTGCAGTCTAGTGTCTGTGACTTCTGCATTTTGCAGCTTTTTTCTTTGCTTCAATCCAATGACTGCAAACTTTACAATTGTGTAGGGAATATATATTTTCAAAAATCAGAAATTTTTTTGTGTGTATGATATACATAGGTGTTTATCTTTTATCCAGGCCACATAATGTTATGTTACATTACATAGGTTTGTTTTTGTGGTGGCACAATTCAAATTCTTGTACTTCAATTACATCCAAATGCTCAGTCTCATCGTTTTAAGTATAAGAGAAGTTTTAATCACTAGACTAGATGTTGTTTTTTCCTCATTAATTCATCTGTTTATTTGTTTAGTTATCTATATTTTACTCTATTCAGTAGGATGCAGTTTAGAAGTAAGTCTATAATAAGGGGAAGACAAATAGGGAATATTCGAAAATAAAAACTAGCTGTGATAACGATCGACTAGAACCACTAATAAATAGTATCCTCAAGTCGTATTCAGCAATCAGCAACTAGGGGGGTCAGGTGCAATTTTTAGACTTTCTACCTTTTGAACAGACACTGTTAGCTTGGGCACAAATAAAACTTACATAATTTTCCATGCATATATTAAACAAGCCTCCAATCTAATTATTTCCGATATCTAGACTTAGGTAGATGATTAAAAATGATTATCAGACAGGGAAGGTTTTATTCTCATAATTAGCAAAGCTTTTTATTACACTAGTAGTATCTCAATTTCTAAGCAAAGCTACCAGAACTTTATTATAATAAAAGAGGCAGAAGTGAGAAAAAAAAAAAAAACTAGAATAGTTCCCATTGTTCTTTATTTTTCCCGTTTTCCTTGATCATCTCGGACTTGACTTAGCTTAAGTGCTTAGCTTAAGTGCTTAACTAAGCATTTATACCTGCACAACACAAAAACAAAACAAACAAACAAAAACCTCAGAAACAGATATGAAATATAGAGGTCTATATATCATTAAAGAAACACATTAGCCGAGTTTGCTAGAGCTGATATATGAGGTTCGATCCTACATTTCTACTTAATCTACTCTAGAAAAATAGCTAATCATTTTTAGCCCAACTAATTTTGGACTATTAAGAAATAAGGTCGGGGCTTATCAATTTTTTCTGTTTTTTTCTGCTCGGCTCATCGAATCTTCAGCCAAATCTTTTTGGTTTGGCATAGTTTTGTTCGCAAAACGTATAAATGATCGATTTCTTAATATATACGAAGTAATCTAAAAATTGCTGGTAATCTAGTGGTTAATTAAATTAGATGTAGATACAAAACTATCGTATCCAAACTCAAATTATGTATGAGATTTGTTTTGTTCATCCTCATCTTGGAACGAATCAAATATTCAAACTTGTTGGTTAGAAGTAAAATAAATCCATACCGCAATCCACAGGAGGAAGGTTACAAAGCGAAGGAAGAGAGGTGGCTGCACGGAGAGCGTTGCATAGACAATCTCTATTAGTAGATTGAAGTGCGGCGCAACACTCTGAATTCGGTCTGCCTGAACCGGGCAGCACCATGGCGGCACACACCTGCACATTTGCTAGATCGTTGCCACATTCTTGGGCTTGAACCACCGGTTCAATAGCAGTCATGGCTAGAAAAAGCACACTGAGAACGGCTGCCAAAGACTTGAACGATGCCATGGATAAGCTTGTTTTCTTTATATATATTTGATGTAGTTCTATCTATATGATTTAAGATCTCACAGCTATATATATATATATATAGTTCGAATGTGTATATTTTGAGAGATTAATTAGAATGAGATGAGGAGACGTTTGGCATGGCCACATGGTCTAGTTAGTTCATAATATTCACATGCGAAAAGCTATAAACATGAAAAATCACAACTATTCTCAATTCCATTTAGTTTTGTTTTTTTCTTTCTTTTTCATATTACTAAGTCCACGCTTTTTGTCATATACACAATTATATTATATATGCAATTAACTAGAGTATAAGGAATTGATAAGTTAGCTTGAATCTCTTGTAGACTGTGGGCTGCATGTGACTAGTAGGATGGTTGGTATATGGAAGATGAAAAGTATAAATTTTCCAAGTTCTGGCTTGTTTTGTTGCTGAGTTCCTGAAGAGTATAATTGTATCTATCAACTTTAAATAAACGAGGCAAAAGAAAAGAAAAAAAAGGCATAATATTGACTGATAAGCGATGAGTTGCTGAAGAACAGTCTTCTTTTCCAGAATTAGTAACACTTTCCAGAAAAACCTCTTCATAAAAAGAGAAGCTTTAATCTAAGAAGAAGAAAGAACAACAACATGGTAGTAGACACGTTAACATTAAATCCCCCTCATGAGATTCATATACCTAAGAAAGTTAGTCTTTAGTATTCTTTACAAAGACAACATTGGAACTAACTATCAAAAGACCTCTCATGACTTCCAAGAATATCCCATGTTTTCATCAACCTCATTGCTAAAAAACCCGTTATTCCCAAAGTTGAGCGATGTATTCGAGATTATACCTTCCAGGTTTTGGCTCTGGTCTAACCCCTTGATGCCTCTGAATCTGTTGGAGGTGCTTGGTGTTTCAGCTGCTGCGGGAACATAATCTGTTCTGTTTCTTCCCATGTTGGCATTGCAATTCATCATGTTCTGACCAGAAAGTGACTGCTGTTGTTGACTGGAGCCTCCATTGCTGTTTGCCATCTGTTGCCATATTTGGTGAATCATTTGCTGTTCCAATGTTTGGTTACCGCTACTACAGGAAGGTGGGTGTTGGTGGTATTGCTGGGTTGAGCTATTATAACTGGAGCTTGGCATTTGCCGCTGAGGAGATAAATGGGAAGAAACACCACTTATTGATGGGCTATGCACAAAACCAGGTAACAAAGGACTAGTTCCTTGATAGTTAGGGGATGCACTCCGGTTTCTTGATGGTTCTTGTTGGATCGTGGTGTTGTTTGGGTCTGAATTCAGATGGTTTTGTTTCATGAGCATGGTCTGGTAATTGGTAAGCGCAAAGGCAGCGGCTTGTGCAGAGCCCGGAAGAGTACCTTGACCACTCATATTGTTCATCGGTACGTTTATCCCAGAATTGCGTAAGGCCATTAGCTTGTTGAGACTGTTCCTATCAGGTGGAAGTCCTCGAGCAGCATTTGCTAGTTGCTCCATCTCCTGCATCTGTGGTTTACCAGCCTTCATTCGATATGGATAGCTCTTCAAAGCCTCTGCAAATGTAAAAAGGCAGTAAGAAAGCTTTTTAAAAGCACAACAAAATAAAAGAAAGTGCGTTTTGATGAATCTCAGGGGCTCTCTGGGATTTATGTATTAACTTACCGATTGGACCCACTTTTTGGTCACGGCAAAAGTCAATCATATCTTTCATGCTGCTGACAACCTCAGAAATCTGTTAAAAAAAGAAGACAAGAGTTAAACATAAAAAGGAGACAAGCCACCAGGAAGATGTAGAGATATGAGGATATTACTGAGTCAAGAAAGTAGGCAAGGAGATACCTGCAAACACCGAACATATCGTTTGGAGAAGCCTAAGTCATTGAGTGAATGTGACTCCAAGCTTTTTGCTAGTTGACGTCCAGCAGCCATGACCCTGGAGCAAAAGACTTGGCATCAGCACATCATATTTGTATACATAAGCTAAAATCGCTTTGATCTTCTTTGCATCAATGAAAAATCTTACCTAAATTACCGTATAAGATGCAAGAAATAATGAAAATAAATTGATTGAAAGAAATAAAGAGGAAAGAAAGGTAAAAATTGTCTAGACTCATCGACTCACATGTTGCTATTAGCTTGCAAATCCTGCTGATGAATCCCATCTGATCCACTTTGATCGATTGTGCTCTGACATTTCTCTGCAACCTGAAGCAGTTGGTTCACCTGCACGACCCAAGGAAACAGACAATCCAAACTCTCAGGACCAGGTATTTCAAATAGAGTTACAAGATTGTAAGAACCATTAATGTTACCTGTGGAGCTACTAGGCGACGAGGAAGTAGCTCTTCATGTCGGCGAGTACAAAACTCCCATGAGATAATCTGGCAAAAGCATAAGGATAAGCTAAATTACTCTAATACATAAATGATTGAAAGTGTATGGAATCAAAAGCTCTTTAAACCTTCAGCTCTTGGGAGAATATAATCCGAAGATGGCCTTCGCGGACAACACGGATATGTTCATACACACTCTCCTGAACTGCTTTTCCGTACTCTAACACCATAATTCCAGAACCATATCTGCGTTCAGACGGTACACCCAGATAAAGAAGCTCGTCAAGGACACCACTTGCGAATTTGATTTCGTTAAGCCTTGGTAGGACATCAAAAGTTGCTTCTGCAAAATTCATAACAAAAACTCACTAAGAGAAGATGTTTTGCTACCATAAACATTTCTGATATTTCCCTCTTCTTCATTAGGGGGGATAAGTAAACTGGAACTTACCAAATCCTCTTCCCGATTTAGAACCGCAAAGATCACACTGCCATTCATCCTGCAAATAGCAAAAATACAAACAACAAGAATAAGTAACCTGTGTAACTACAATGCAAGCCCAGCATACATAAGCTAAAATGATCAAGAGAACGAGTATGAAACAAAACAAAAAAAACGAAATAGTTAGGGAGACAAACCGTGGCTGCCTGAGGAGAAACACCAAGTGCGCTATGCCCCACATTATCATAATGAGAAAGACACCATCTTTTCTTTGCACGGGGAGAAAAATACTCCGTTACAAATTTCCTCCAGTAAACAATACTGCTCTCCTACAAAATCAGTAATGACACGACTGGTATCTGTCAAGAGTTTTTTTCTAGAATACACATAAAACAAAAATTCTGACGACTATATGGATACTCACAGAAGGCCTTTGTCGCTGATGATATAGGTACTGCATCAATCTTCGAGCGCAAACGCTATTTTCGTAAGGTCTTGGCCCACCGGTTAGTTGCAGTTGCATTCCTTGTTGTTGCAACTGTTGCTGTTGCTGTTGGTGCTGCTGCTGCAACTGTTGCTGTTGCTGCACTTGTTGCTGCTGCTGCAGCTGAATCCGTTGCAATGGTGGAAGGGACTGGAGATATTGTTGCTGTTGCCTCAGCTTTTGTTGTTGAAGCAAAAGTTGGAATTGTGGATTTTGGCCTTGCTGTTGTTGATGTTGCTGCTGCTGCAATATATCCTGTCTCTGAAGCCACTGACGTAAAATCTGCTGCTGCAAAGCATCATCCTGCTTTGAATCTATTCTAGGTTTTTTCCGTGCTTGGGTTAAGTTATTTGGGTCCTGAAAGAACGATTCAGAAGCACGACGAGCCATGGAAAGCGGGATTTGATTAGTTTGTGATGTAGGCAGTGATGTAGCACTGGAACCTCCTAGCTGAACACTTGGATCATGCCGTTGTACCACAGTTGACCCATCTACAGCTGATGACCCAGAAATACTGATATTGTTAGAGGAAAACGACATTGGAGACGCCGGTAAACGCATATACGACTCATTATTGATACTAGCACTACGCTGCAAATGAGGACCACCTCCAGAGAGCCCAGAATTAGCATCTGTAACAAGCGAACTAGCTCCAGCGCTTGGACCCGGGGTCGAAACACTCATCATAACCGGATTATGCATATCCCCAGAAACCATACTGAGATTATGATACCCACCAGTAGGTCCACATCCAGGAACAGAGTTAGATGAATTCCCATAAGAGGAAGTCAAGTGAGAGTTAATGAAACTTTGAGATTCATCATCTCCTTGAAAGAAAATCCCAGAAGTTGAAGAAGCCATTAAAGGGTAGGTCCCAAGTGAGTCTCAAATCCAAGTTTCTTCCTCAATGCGACACAAATGTCCCACCTTTACTACTGATACCTACAACATAATACATTTATCGATTTAAATCAGATCAATAACATTCTCTTCTATCGAAACATATACTTGAATCTGGTGCTCCATTAATGATAAACAGACATTGAACTTAATCTCTGAAATAAAAAAAACCCCAAAATCAAAACCCTAATTTTAAATAAAGTTCGTTACTTTACATAAATTAACCGATAAACTAACCAATTCCCGAAACAAAAAATAGAAACAATCCCTTAAAAATCTCGGAATAAAAAGCAACAGAAATTAAATTAACAAAAAAAATATTGGGAAGAAGACAGAAAGAAAGAACGTACCAAGAACTGTGAAGTAAAGCTGAGATCAACATAGAACAAAAAGCTGAGAGATCACAACTAGGAATCAAAATTAAACCTAACTCAAATTGGAACAGAAAGAAGAGGAAGAGAAATTAGTAAAGAGAAGAAGAAGAAGAAGAAGGAAAAAATTAGCCTGGAAATTTCAAGCTGTAATATAAAGCTAAAATAAACAATCTTTCTTATTTATTTTATGTGTTTTGTTTTTGCATAAAAAAGGAAAAATCCTGGAGAGAGCTGGAACAATATGAACTTGACGCGCCTTTGTTAATATACCTAGTGGAAATCGTAAGAACCCAAATCTGACCGGACTAGCCGGTGACTTTTGCTAGTAGTACCTTTTTATTACCCGTTAGTCAATACTGACACGTGTCTTGTTTATCGTAACAAGTATCGTTTGATCGATTGGTAACCTTTAGATGTTCTCATTGCGTGGCAGAATACTGACCGGACGATGGATAAAGTTAAATCTATTTTGGATCGTCCGATTGAGAGCAGGGATCGTGTGCGACGCGTGTAGTTTAAAGTTGATTGACCGAATTATGTTTTTTTTTTTTTTTTTGTAATAACTGTACCAATGATTGCAGCTGTAAATGAGTGGGCTTACGACAAATATCCCCTTTTTTTTGCATGATTACTTATTGACCCCAATATTACTCACTTTCACAATTCAACCCCCAAAATATTTCGTATAAGATCCAATGATGGAACTAAGAGTCCAAAATATCAAAGTATTGTTCAGTGGTTTCATCAACCATACATGATACATCAACCGTAATAACACAAAAATAAAGCTCAAGGATAATAAAAAAAAATCTAAATTAGGCTTTTAGGCTCTAGCACATGTCCCTAAATGAACACACCTTACCCAAATGAGATACAGAGCGATGTTATCCGCGAATCGAAGAAAGAAAAAACAACTTTAGAGTTTATCATGTTATGAGTTCAACCCAATAAGCCCATTTCATTAGTTTAGGCCCATTATTAGCCCATAAGGAAGAAATAATTACAAACTCTGTTCTCCAACAGTTCAAAGCTCTGTTCGTGAACAGTCTTGAGGTCAAACCTAAGTACCTAACCATGTCTCTGTTCGAAGCACTAGCTTGTTCAGGAGATGATTAAAGAAAGCTCGCGTGTGGTCTGTATGGTCCATGGATCGGTTAAAACTTGGCAAGAGGACACACCACAAAATTGCAGAGTTTGTCGGAGTTAAAGCATAAAAGCCATGACGTGTAACACAAGTTTCTGTTTCAGTTGTTTAATTAGCTTACCTGGACTTAGAAATGTAGAACACGACTTATATAATACAGAACAAAGATGACAAATAAATTATAAATATAACGACATTTATTAATATCGTCATTACTTATCAGAAACAGAAATAAATATGTGGGGGATACAATACAACATATATTAAATATAGGTGATGACTGATGATAATGAGACATAACAACAATCACATTAGCTGTCACTCCTTTTCTTTAACTTTTCTTTTGTATAAAAATAAAATTTATAGAACAATAATCTGCTTTTTATGATTCTTTATCTTTCTTCTTCTTCCACGAGTTCTGTCCAGAAACAGAAAAATTAATTTATTACAAACAAAAGTATATTTATTTCCCTTTGCTCAGACGTTTCTTCATTATTCTTCTTCTTGATCTTGTTCAGAAATCAACTTCATCTCATCATTTCTCTGTTTCTTTCTCTCTCTCTCTCTCTTAATAAAAGATGATGAAAATGAGAACTGGAACAACTTCCGGTGACGGTGAATTGGAGCTCCGACCTGGAGGAATGGTTGTACAGAAACGAACGGATCATAGCTCTAGCGTGCCACGTGTCATTCGGGTTCGGGTCAAATACGGGTCGGTTCATCACGAGATCAGTATCAACTCTCAATCGACTTTCGGTAAACGACCCATAACAGTCCGAATATATATATTTAATGTTTCATATGCTCTGTTTTTTCTTAATTTGTTGTTGTTGTTGAATTTAACAACAGGGGAATTAAAGAAGATATTGTCTGGTGCGACAGGAGTTCATCATCAAGACATGAAGATTATATACAAAGACAAAGAAAGAGATTCTAAGATGTTTCTTGATCTTTCTGGTGTTAAAGATCGTTCGAAACTTATTCTTAAAGAAGATCCGATTTCTCAGGAGAAACGTCTCCTTGAGTTGAGGAAAATCGCCGCCAAAGAGAAATCCACTAAAGCAATCTCTGATATTAGTTCCCAAGTCGAAAGACTCGCCGGACAAGTAACTTAATAAACATGATTTTAAAATTTCCGGACAACACTCTTGTCTAGTAACTTGAAATCAGAATTGCTGTTATTTTTTTGGATTTTAGCTGTCGGCGTTTGATACAGTGATTGGTAAAGGAGGGAAAGTTGAAGAGAAGAATCTTGAGAATTTGATGGAGATGTTGATGAATCAATTGGTCAAGCTCGATGCCATCTCAGGTGATGGAGACATTAAATTGAAGAAGAAGATGCAGGTACTTAAAATTAAATTTTTAATAGTTAATGACTCTATAACTCAATGTTACTAATCAAATAAATTCATTTTGTTGATTTGTATTACTAAACATGCAGAATTGTGGAACCATTAAGTTACCAATCATAAACCATAAAGTCTTGTTATTTAAGTTTTTCGAAGTTGCTTTAATAACTTTTTTCTATATATAAAATTAGAATCTAATGTGTTTTCTAATGATTATTTAAAAATGTTGGAAGGAGGAAAGATTACAGAAGTATATTGAGGCTCTTGATTTGTTGAATATCAAGAACTCAACGCAACCGCAACCGCAACCTCAATACAAGGAACGAGATTCGCTGACTTTTGATGAGGAAGCGTCAAGGAAACCGACGATCTCCTCATCAAGTCCTCCGGTGATCATAACAACGAGATGGGAAACGTTTGATTCTAATTCCGGACAAACCGTTAAACCGGTTCACCCAAAATTTAAATGGGAATTATTCAACTAAGATATTTTGTGTGCACCCAATTACACGATAATATATAACACTATAATAGTTATTTCATGTAAGTTGTAACATATGTGATTTTTTTTGGTCTAGCATATGATCTGTGATTGGTCTCTTATTATGCTTCAAACGAGTGGTGATGATTGTCATCATCATATATTTATAGAATCGTAATCATTGTATACCTTTGGCAAATATGTAAACTTTTGTGATACCTTAATTTTTGTTTCTTCATTTCTGTTTGAGAGAGGGTTCACTTGAAATGGAATCCAAATTACGTGTGTGAGAATGTTTTGTTGGTTTTCTTCATCTGCAAATTATATGTATTTTCATGATTTCGTTAAACTCATGATTTTACTGATAAATATGGAGAATCACATCATTAAAACAAGTGTTGAACAATATGTTAATGATATGCTACAATAGTGTAGTAAGTAAGTAATTGTAGTGGTGTTGTATAACAGCGACTGTTCAAATGCAAAACGATCCATGACAAAACAAAAACAAACCATAAAACTTCTAAGCAGTCGTTGTAAACCTCCTTGAATATAGGAAAATGAAAAGTACTCATAGTTATGAATGCTTTGATTCGTAGACCAAAGATTTAACATTAACAAATGCTTCGAAGATACATCATAGCATTTTATATCATTTTTGTCCAAAAAAAAAGCATTTATATCATTTCATATCAAATATAAAACTAAATTCCGTTATACGGTTCCATCTTCAACTACAATCACTCATCAATGATATATAAAATCTACAAAATTCATAAAATATCATCCAAATTAATATCCAAAACATATTCAAATAAAATATCCAAATTTAAACATAATCTTAAACCAAAACAATATCCAAATTTAAATAAAATCTTAAACAACAACATACCAAAGTTATCAAATATTAATCTGATACTTTTAAAAGCGAAATTGGGAGAAATTTTTAGAACATGTCATCAAGATCGACCATAAAGTTCATGAGGTCATCATCCTTCCAATCCTGAATCATAAAACATAAACAAAACTAGTAAATATATAAGAAGTTAGATGTAGTTCACACGTAACATTTCAGAAACTACAACTAGTATACCTTAATTATATGCCTATAATTGATTTAAAAAATGAAAATATGGTATCGATGTATAACTAGATTTTTTCCATTCAAAGTAAAAGTTATGTAGAATTCAATAAAATTTGAACAGAATTGTAACCAAAATTAACTAATTAAAATAGGATTGTAAAGTTTAAATACCTGATCAAATGTTAACGGAACATCCACGTCACCTTGTTTCTCCTATGCAATCAATGTTCAAATATCAATTATTTGTCATACCATTGTACACGAAAGTGGTTTGATGTAAAAATAAAAATCAATTATTTGTATAATTATATAATTTTCTTTTCAAAGTGAAAATTATGTAGACTTCAATAAAATTCGAATAAAACTATAACCCAAATTATCATTAAAATAGGATTGCTCAGGTTTAAAAGCATTTTACCTGATCAAATGCCAATGGAACATCCGTCAAATCCGCAACACCTTGTTTCTCCTATGCAATCAATGTTCAAATATCAATTATTTGTCATACCATTGTACATAAAAGTGGTTTGATGGAAAAATAAAAATCAATTATTTGTATAATTATATATTTTTCCTTTCAAAGTGAAAATTATGTAGACTTCAATAAAATTCGAATAAAACTATAACCAAATTATTATTAAAATAGGATTGCTCAGATTTAAAAGCATTTTACCTGATCAAATGCCAATGGAACCTCCGTCAAATCCGCAACACCTTGTTCCTTCTATGCGATCAATGTTCAAATATCAATTATTTATCATACCATTGTACACGAAAGTGGTTTGATGTAAAAATAAAAATCAATTATTTGTATAATTATATATTTTTCCTTTCAAAGTGAAAATTATGTAGACTTCAATAAAATTCGAATAAAACTATAACCAAAATTATTATTAAAATAGGATTGCTCAGATTTAAAAGCATTTTACCTGATCAAATGCCAATGGAACATCCGTCAAATCCGCAACACCTTGTTCCTTCTATGCGATCAATGTTCAAATATCAATTATTTGTCATACCATTGTACACGAAAGTGGTTTGATATAAAAATAAAAATTAATTATTTGTATAATTATATATTTTTCCTTTCAAAATGAAAATTATGTAGACTTCAATAAAATTTGAATAAAACTATAACCAAAATTATTATTAAAATAAGATTGCCCAGATTTAAAAGCATTTTACCTGATCAAATGCCAATGGAACATCCGTCAAATCCGCAACACCTTGTTCCTTCTATCCGATCAATGTTCAAATATCAATTATGTCATATCATTGTACACGAAAGTGGTTTGATGTAAAAATAAAAATAATATATAATTATAAATTTTTCCTTTCAAATTGAAAATAATTTAGACTTCATTAAAATTCAGATAGAACTATAACCAAAATTATTATTAAAATAGGATTGCTAAGCTAAAAGCATTTTACCTGATCAAATGGCAATGGAACATCAATCAAAGCTGCAAGACCTTGTTCCTCCTATGTAACCAATGTTCAAATATCAATTATTTATCATAACATTGTACACGAAAGTGGTTTGATAAAAAAATATATATATATCAATTATTTGTATAATTATATTCTTCTTTTCTTTCGAAAATTATCTAAAATTCAATCTAATTCAAAACAGAGCTATAACCAAAATAAATTTTACTAAAATAGGATTGTAAAGGTTTAAGAACATTTACCTCATCAAATGTAAATAAAACATCTGTCAAATCTGCATCACCTTGTTCTTCCTATACAATAAATGTTCAAATATCAATTATTTGTTATATCAAGTAATTTAGTGTAAAAATATATAGATATTTATAGTTACCTGATTCATAGTGTTCACGTCGGGAGCAGGAAAATTCATTTCTGAATTAGCAGCAAAGGAGTTCAATGTTTTTTCCGAAGAGTTGTTCACCTAAATCATATAGTACACATGATTAATAAATTTTCTATCCATATATATATATATATACACATTACACATGAATATACATGTAATATAAATCTGACTTACGTTATTAATGCTCAAATAATTAATATCCTCAAGAGAATGAGTAGCGAGAATTGAATTCCTATTAAGTTGATTATCATTGGCATATTCATGATTTTCGCCACTCAACAGTTGACCTTGATGCTGCTCAAATTATCACATATAAATCACAACACTAGATTCATATATGTAAAAGATAATAAAAATTATTTAATGTAAAAATAAATAGATATTTATGTTACCTGATTTATAATGTTCATGTCATGAGTAGGAAAAAGCATTTCCAAATTAGCAGCAATAGAATTCAATGTTTCCTCATTAGAGCTTTCTTTCACCTAAATCATAGATTATGTATGATTAAGAAGCTTTCTATTCATATATATATTGTAAAATTTTATTTATGCTATTAAAAGAACGTAAAATAAATATGACTTACGTTATTAATGCTCAAATTATTAATGTCCTCAATAGAACAAGCAGCAAGCATTGCATTTATTTCCAGTTGATCACCATTGGCAAATTGAAAATTTGTATCACTCACTTGACCTTGATGCTGCTCAAATTATCAAATATAAATCACTACATTAGCTTCATATATGAAAGAATAACAAAAAAAGGTTGAATTATTTAATATCGGTTATAAGTTAATTTACCTGATAGGAATTGCCAGAAAATGGGTTGATGCTCTGATGATCATTGTACAAGCTTAGATTCTCTAGTACAGGAACCAACTCATCCGTTTGCGCATTTAAATGACTCAGTGACTGATCTTCATTGAACAATGAAAATGGAGAAGAAAACCTCGAATTTGATGAACTTCCATAACTACTCATGTTGTTTTCATCGAAATTCCAGTTCATGGTACCCAAATTTTGACCAGGAGAGACATTACCATTACCATTAACTCTTGCTCCACCAAGTCCAGCGAGATTTCCAATTTGATCAGTATTGATACCAGTGTAGTTATTATGCATATAACCAGTACCAAAATCAGGTTTCATACCGATAACATCATTTGTTATACCATACTGTCCAAATGAAGGAACTTGAGGCGCTTGAGATATATCAAAGATGCTTCTAGGTAGCAGATCATCCGTTGGTGTAGTGAAATTGTGATGTGGTTGAACCTTGTTGTGTAATAACGATGAAAATGGAGCGGAAAACCTCGAAGTTGAACTCCCATTGTTATTGAGAGTCCAGTTCATGGCGTCCAGACTTTCACCAAGATATCCATTGTCATTACCACTAACTCTTTCTCCACCAAGTCCAGACAGATAACCATTTTTATCTATAGTACTTATCCCAGCGTAACTATTACGCATATAACCAGTATCAAGATTAGAGTTCATACCCGAAATATCGCTTGGTGTACCATATTGTCCAGGCCTAGGAACTTGAGACATTTGAGATGTTCCAAAAACGCTTCTCCTTTCCTCATTTAAAGGCAACACGCTTCCGCTTTCCTCATTTAAAGGCCACATGCCCCTCGAAAATCTGTGGCTTTCTCCCATAGGCAACAAGTTAGATCCGTTTTGGCTCAGATCATAGGTGAGTCCATCGTGCATGGAGTAGATAGAGTCATTGTTGTTCAAAAGGATGCTAGGTTGACCAAAACGATCACCAAGTTGAGCCTTAAACAAATTTTCCTTGCTTAGACCTCTGAAGTACTTATACGAAGGTTGTGGGTTGATGTTGCTAGATGATGCAACGTTGGACTTCATAGCTTTTTTTGCCATGTTGATTTCTCTGGCTCTTTCTTTAACCTTTCTCATGTGTTTCCTATACTTCTGTGTAACGTCAACAATTCCAACATTAATCATATATATTATGTTGATGTAAGATATTTAATCCATCAATAGCATTGTTTATGTGCTTTGAAATACGATTGGCATATTTAAACAATGTTTATAGAAAATAAAACCTGTAAATGGCTGGCTATTTGTGATCTTGATATGCCATCCACATTCATGTATTGTAGAATAGTCTTGGGCACAGCTTCTTCAAAATGATAAAAAAATTAAAGCATTAGTGTGTGTGTAATGCTTTGATAAATGCAAGTAAAAAGATTGTAAAGAGATTTCGACCGAATGATCCTAAATTTCTTAGGGGAGATATTCTATTGTATTGTATCTACTTTGCAAATGAATTAAAAGGTAAGAATCAAAAAGCAGTAAATGATGAATAAAACAGTTTATTAGAAGATTTGCCATCTATTGTTTTTCAAACATTTAGTCTACAAAAACTAATCATAAATTTATTGACGCATAGTACGTCAGCCCTAACTCATATAATATCGACATTTATTAGTAATCTTTTGGTTTAAATGTTTTTAGATGACACATATCATTATTTTTCTTTTCAAAATCTTGGTTAACTTGCTTACTTTTAAAAGTCATTAATATTTTTATAGCTTTTTATAAATTAGGGCTGATGTATTACGCAATACGTCAGCCCTAACTTACGATGTATTGCATTGTTTAATATCGGTAAAATAAAATTGTATTTCATAGTTAAAATTAGATTTGATACTATGGTTGACAATTTTATTGTCACAATTGGCATATTACTCGGCCAGTTAATGAATAAATAAGAGAATCAACTAAAATTTTACTAACCGCATCAACGTATATCAACTTATGAAACTATATCAACCTATCATAGATTTGCAAAAAGTGATACAAAATTAAAAATTTTATGGTCACTCAATACTTAATAAACATACAGCCTAATTAAAAAGAATATTTAGAGACTAATATCTTTTGCAAGTAAGATACATCTGAAATGAACACGAACAGTTAAAAGGTTTATTGATCTAAGTAATACCAACCAAATGATCAAAATCGATCTACACTATAGACTTCAATTCTACTTTCTGGTGCTAAACAATGCAATAACGATATCATTTATCGTAATTGATGTTTAATCATATAATTACTGTATCTTAATTATTAGATAATTTTAACTAGCATCAATACGTTTGTATAGACACTAAAAAACTGATAGCATGTTCCTTTGATTGTACTTGTAGTGGTAAGAGAAGATAACTTTTAATACTTACTAGCAACACCAATGGTTTTAAGGGCTCTCATGAATCTAGTCTGAAGAGGTTTTGTCCATTTGAGCTTAGGCTTCTCTCGAAGCCGTAGCCAATGATTTTTATCATCTGAATCGTTGGTTGCTGGTCTCTTCCCTTTTTGTTTCGAATCATTTGGATCGGTTTCTCCTATATAGAGTCGGATTGTATAGAGACAATATAGTTTTACATTAGTGCAAGAATAATTAAGGAGAAATCTTTATTGGTCACATAATCAGCTGCACATAATCATCGTATGTATCAATGGATATTATTACCGTTCACATTAAGGCGGAGAACTTGTTCACATACAACGTTGATGTCACGATTTGAGATTGGTTGACGCATGATACAAAGAGCTCCGCAGGACAACGCCTCGCGCTCAATGTTCCTGTCCAAATCTGCTAATATCACTGTTATAATCAATCAAAACAAATCGAAAAGAAACCATCGTTAGCATCATATGATTAACATAGCATTAAGAAATCTTTCGTTTATTGTTTCTAGTATTATTTTCTTCTACGACACTGACCTCAGATTCTTCTTGCTTGAGTACTCAAGTTTTCTCCGCTAATCTTTTCTTATCTCATTTTATCTATGTGAGTGACAATTATACTCTAGAGTAACAACCGCTTAGCTGTATTTTTTAATTATCATCTAAAAACAGAAAATAAAATGAGAAATTTTTATTCTTTATAAGGTATTACCCGTTTTATTATAGTAGGACAACTTTTAATAGGAAAAAAACGAATTCTCATTTTTTGTGCTAGGCAAATATTTGCTAATATTTTAAAAAGACAGGTAATTTTTACCCAATACGCTTTAATGATAAATATTTAAAATTAATTACAAGAATAATATACTCGATTTCTGTGTCAACACTCATTACTTCTCCTTTTTTATAATATTCCTTAAAAAATAACGATGACCAATAGTTATCCTGTTTAACTGTCACCTCTCATCACTTATCCTTTTACATAGAAAATTTTCTTTTACCTAGTATTGATGTTTTGAATTAATTTTAAAAAAGGTAAAGAAGAATAAGTAATTTAGCAAATAAGTGGAAAAAAACGAACATACCAATAACTGGTAAATTCCCAAATTCTTCAGCAATTCTTTGTTTTAGCTGAACACCATTCAAACCAGGCATATGGTAATGGGTGATTACAACATCTATTTTGTTGAATTGACCTCTAAGCGTATTACTGCTGCTGACGAATCTTTTGCTGTCATTACTTTGAGTCTTTGACTTCCCCAAATGATTTATCTATAAATTAAAACAATATATATTGGTCAACAAAATAAATCATAGTACTACTATATAATATAGAAATTTTGTGAATGGGTTTAGGCGGACCCGGCTTATGGCCTATAATAAGAAATGTCAATTTGTACTCTGAATATTCTTGAAAAAGTCATTATTTTTTTTTTTTTAATCAATATTTTTTCTTGAAAAAAAAACATTATATTTTCTTGAAAAAAAACATTTTATTTTCTTTTAACAACCTTTTTTCTACACAAAAAAAATATTAATTCTTCTGAATATAGTATTTGTTAGAAATAATTAGAAAAAACAAGATTTACTTTTTCAAAGCTATTTGGAACCTCTAAAATGTCATATTCGACTTTGGATGTATATACACATACATATATATAAACATTTGAAATATACAAGGATTATAAGATTTTCCTCTTTTTTTTTATCAAAGCTATTTTCATAAGACAACAATGAAGTTTTGTTTCTGATTCCAAGAGGTAGCTAGTCGGTAGATCCGAACACAATTTTTTAAAAAGAAATTAATTAGAGCAAAGTTTATGATGGTTATATATATATATATATATATATATGTATATCAGTCAGTAATAATATTGTTTGCTTGATATTATCAATTTATGTTTATGTTAATATTATTATAGTGTAATAAGGTATTTGTATAAGGACCATAAACTAATGAAGACCTTCTACATCCAAAAACAAAATTGAACAAATAACTCGATAACTTAACCTAGCTTTATCCCTGCAAACATATAAGAATATCATGTGAAATCATTACACATATTTGAGAGATTAAATGAAAAATTAGATATGTGCTTGTTATTGAAACGTTGATTGTGTGTCAGGAAATTATGAAAATATCAAATAGATTTTACAAGAAAGCAGGCGTTCGAAAAACATGCATAAAAAGCCAATATATATATATATATATATATATATATATATATATATATATATATATATATGTATGTAAGTAAAAGTGTAAAACCAACAAAACCAAAGTAATAGTTAGGGTTGATGTAGTTGGTATGCAAATATTGGGTATAGTAAAAGTTATTTACTATGATTATCTTTAAATATATTCATCAAAACGAAGTAAGTGAAGGAAAAAACAGATAAATAGAACATTTTTTTACATTGAGAAAAATGAAAACAGCTGAAACCGATTTTTGAGTCAAAGGGCGGGAAAATGAAACTGGTGATCCTAAAAGGTCGATTCCTCTCGACGGTAAAACTCTCTGGCCAACAAGCTTGAGAGCAAAAAAAAAACAACAACAACAAAAACATAAAACAGAGAGAGGAAGACCCCAAAAAGCGAAGCAGATTCACCACAGAAGAACCAAAACATTGCTTCTTCTTCGAAAACACGCCTAAAACAACTTCTGAACACCGGAGAAACTCGCCGGAAAAATAAAGATAAAGAGACTTTTGTATCATTTTTCATCACTTGGATTTCTTGAGATTAACGGTGGTTCTGAAAACTGCGTCATCGCAGACGAAACTCCACCAAAGGTAAGAAAGAGGAATCCCTGCGCCGCGCCAAAGAGCATGAGCATCGACGTAGCCTTTGTATGGAGGGAAATCGAGCATTCTAAGACATAATGTGAGTACGCTCGAGATGAAGAAAGCTCTTAGCTTCCACTTCGATGGATGCGACGTTAAAGCCGCCCATAATCCCCACACTACTAGCTCTATTCCTACAATCCCAAACATAACTTTCCAGTGAAGCCCTGTAAAATTATAAAGTGAGAGAGATGAATTCGAAGAAACCTTCAGTTTCGTTTCATAATGTAAAGTATTATCCCTAAAGAATCATACCTTCATCGAGGTTGTAGCAATTTAGGTAGAGAATATGAGTTCCAACAACCGCAAGAATAGGTGCAGTAACCATGATTTTGACAGATTGATCTTGAATACTGAAAGACCGAAGTATTGCTAGAATAAGCGAAAATCCGGCTAATACAGTAGCTGAAGAGTAATCTAGCCTCACCGTTAATTCAACATCTCTATATAACATAGTTCAAAGCAAAAGAGATATAAGTGAGAATTATTTGACGAATAATGACAATCTTGGTATAGAAATTGGAAAGTTACCTGCTATGACAGATACTACTCCAGAAGAGTGAATTCATTACGATGATGGCATAGATATGCACTAATCCGTTGTACTCGTAGTACGTTTTCCGATTTGGCTGGAGAGGCAATTTATAGTAAACGAGGATGAAATATGAGACCCATCCTTGGAATTGCATCGCAAGGTCGAGAGCAGAGAAAGCAACAGAGACGGGTTCCTGAAAATATACATACATATGAGGAACAATACTTGAGAAGAACACCAGTGTGAAATTTGTTTCTTAAAGCTGAGACTTGCAGAGATACACAGAACTGCAAAGAGAAGATTACCTGAATTCCGTAGACATGTTTGAGTGGCCATTTACCGAAATACTTGGTAGGTCTTTCTCCATTTCTTTTTCTTTCTTCTTCTCTTGTCATCATGCATTCGTACTCACAGTCACTTTGGCAATCCCATTGTTTCCATCTTAGGTAAAGTGGCTCTTGCATGTACCACGGACCGTCAATGGCTTTTCCATCAGCTGAAAATTTACAGTGTTGGAAGCAAGTATCCCCCACGCATCCAGTTTTCTGACATTGATCAACACATGACCTGGAAACCAATTAGCATATTAACACTAGTCTGTTCTTAAACTGAGAAAAAGCCAGGAGGATAAAGCAGCCTACAGAGTGATCTTAGACACTACCATCCAACTAAACCGTTGCCAATATATTTAGCATTAACATACAACACCCATAAGACTTTATTACAACAAACCCCGTCTCTTAGGCAACATCAACCAGTCTAGCTCAATTGTAGTAAGAGTGCCTTGAAACCAATTTCTGATCTTTTTCTTTTCTTACATGTTCTAATTAGGCTCAAGACAGATTAAGCTGTTTAAATGGCCTACAAAGCAAACAACAGAGAGACAGAGAGAGAGACAAGCTTCCACCCAACAAAAAAGGAACACCTAACTCCTCAAAACCACTTGCAGCAAAAGTCCCTATCTAGTTTTTCGCCTTTATAATCTTTCCAACAAAAGCAATGACCCTACTACAATGATAATGAAGGGCTTGTGGAAACACACAAAGATCTCATCTCTAACGTGTCTCAACTCTCACCACACAAAGACTAAAGAAATTTATTTGGAAAGTTCTAAGCTCATACTTGAGTCTTCCCCACCACCTCCTAATCACTCCTTAGTTTGTGGCTCTAAATTTCCACCAAAACAGTGAAACTCAATCCATACCTTACAAGAAAAATCTGAACTTGTATCCTAAAACAGAAAGATGATTAAAGCTAAACACAGAATTTAACAATTGAAATAACTGCCAAAGTTCTGCAATCAATGAATCTAACGGTCGACTCTCACAGTTAATCAAAAGCTAGCCACGCGTTTATAATGTCTAGAAAGCTAATTAAGATAGAAAAGTTTGTATTTTTACTTCTCCAACGATATCTCAGATATGAATAAATCAGAGAAGAGTCCTGAATTGGGAAAAAATTCGATTTAAGAAAAGGAGAAAGGAGAAGACTTTTACTTGTAAAGAGGATCAGAATCTCCATCACTAGCTTCAAGTGTTGAAACAAGACACGAGACGACAACAATAAGCATAACCCATGGCAGATTTCGCGCCATCCGATTACCAAAAACAGAAGAAAGAAGAAAGAGAGAGAGTAGAGAAGTATAAGAGAGGAAAGGAAGAAGCTTTATTCTAGTAGAGGGTAGAGTAAGTCGGTGGGTGATCGGAGAAATTGAATGGGTTTGGATTTGGCAGTTTCTTCTTGTCCATCAAATCGCAGAGACAGGTGGATGCATAGAGCCAGAGAGAGAGAGAGAGAGAAAAGAGAAAAGTGAAGAGAGAGAGAGAGAGAGAAAAGAGAAAAGTGAAGAGAGAGAGAGAGAGAGAGAGAGAGAGAAATCCCGTGAGGGTGAGAGAAGGAAGAAGAGGAGAAGCGCGTGGAGTTAGTGGTCACAGACGTCGATTAACCTCGACTTCTTCTTCTTCTTCCGTCACTTTTTGTTTTATTATTTTCCATCAAGTAGACTTTTTTCTTTTTTTCATTATTTTTTTTTCACATATTTTATCATATGGTCTCACACCAAAACTTTTAGCATTACTACTACCGTTAAAACATCTTTTTTGGTAGGTGATAATTTTATACTAGTTTTATGTTACCATTTTTACACTTAATGAAGGTGAACTTTTGAGATTTCGAAAAAAATGATTCATATGAAGACGACCAGAAGATGCATAGAAAATATTGTTCACTTTGTATATTTACCTTGCCATAGAAATATCACTAAAATCATATAGTTTGTCCTCGCTCCCCAAGCTCTTATAAAGAACAAGTAATATTGACACAGAAAAAAAAAAAATTATATTTCTCTAATACATAGATTTAATGACCCAAACTTTTGAACCTCCAAAAGTTTGGACTAATCGTTCAATCGTGTAGGTTTTATAGGCACACCATGAGGCATGAGTTACACTGAGCTTGTTTGCCGCTCTCATATGCGACACATGGAAGGATATTACTCGACCAAGTCATATTTCATATCAATTAAAATCATTTGTAGTCAACTATCAATGTTCCTTAGCCAGTGTAATAAGTCTACAAAAACCATTTTGAATCTTTTTTTCTTTTCATCTAATATCTAACTCATTCATAGTATTCATTTATAATCTTCGAATATTTGTTCAATCCTTTGATCATCTAACCAATATCATTTATCATTTTTTATAAACATTTCAACTTTTTTCCGAGAGAATTATTTTTCACCATTTCGCTTTTTGCTCACAAAACAACAGAAAACCCTAGTTCATAACTAAATTTTTTGATTCTCCACATTTGGTCACTTTTAACATACTCTAAATGAGAAAAGTAGTTTATCTTCCAAAAATCTTAGGAAAATAGTCTGACTTTGGGTTTAGATAATTTTAGTTTACGCGAAAACAAATAAATACGTGCTTCGGACGAATACATGAACAACACGATGATTCCACAGCCGCACGTTCAAGTCCTGCGCATGATTCCACAGCCGCACGTTCAAGTCCTGCGCGTGTGAAATAAAGCGAACTTGTCCCCGAAATTTTTGGAGGAAATTTCCTTTTGATTTAACCGTTTTCATTTCGTAATTATTAATGTTATAGTTATCTGTCCTAAAAACTACACCAGTCCCCGCCAAACTAAACAATGAATTAAAAAAAAAGTCAAAACAAATCAGTGGTTTTTAGATGTGAAGTTGCGATCAATCAATTATCTTTAAGCATCATCGAGTGACACACACACAAAATCATTATTATCATTGTTATTAATTACAATCGTAGAACTAGAAGAGACGAAATCTTTTTTGAAACGTTAGTGAAAAAGAAGATCAAACATGATATTATGTTGCACGTGGTAATTAGTGTTTGCCAGAGTTTTGTAGACTTGTGAGGTACGAGGAAGATTTTATTCCATTTTCCGAAACTCGTATCTTCTTCTCTTAACGATTTTTACATAATTTCTTTTTCCTATATTCCAACCAATTTATATAAAAATTATTTGAACAAGTGTATGTAACGTAATCCCCTTTTGTGTGCATAAAACACGGCAAACACATTAATTGGAACCTTAGCTTACATTATCTGTGATGATGCTTTTCTATGATATGAAAACGTGACAAGATAAGCTGACATTTGGAGATATGTAATATTTAGAGTTTAGAGTTTTATTTTTCTTTAAAATACAACACAAAAACAAAACTATATATCATATTGGAGCATATAAAAAAGGTCTCTTTCTTTGCAAGTCATCCACAGTATTCAATCAATTCTCCAACAAAAATAGCATCAAATTACAACGTCGGTCAAATAAATCATTAAATTATATAAATCTTTCGTAATCACATTGCAGAAACAAACAAGTTTTAAGATATGTGTCAATTCGCATTTACTTCTTCAAGCTGTAATTTGTTTTGCCATGCTCATCACCCATTATCTCATCTTTTCTTTAAGGCCACCCATTACATTTTCTTTATATTCAATTCAAATCTTCCACAATCATCTAAAGACTTTTTTAATATAGTTAACAAAATAATTAATCAATTTTATACTCATAAACTCAAATATTTATGCTTTATCATTAAGATTCAAGATTGATTATCAGAGACTGAAATAATAGCTTGTAGATCGGCGAGACACTCCGCCGGAAGAGAGAGGAACGTGTTCATAAACAAATCGTCGACGGTCTCAACTTTCGCGACACCGACGAGTCTACACTTTCCTTCTTCGTCCATTCTCTCTCCTTTCCCTCTCTTTGTCTCTCCTATCGATTCCTCCGTCGTCAACACAGTTTTAACAACCAACGCCGGAGCTCTGTATATCCCTCCTCCCGCCGTGAAAAAGAACTTAGCCATGAACTCTAATTCCACCTAACAAATTCAATCAAACCCCATGTCAAAGAATTCGAACTAAAAACAGAGGATTTATAAAACATGAATAAAGAAAAACAGAGGATTTATGAAATTTTCACCTTCCCGGATTCTTGATCGATAGTTCCTTGGAAAATCTCCGGTGAGATATCGATTTTTAGAAACGGTGGCAATGGAAAGCCGAGAAACTTGGTGGTTTGGCTAGTGAGAGAAGGAATATATAAAGTGGCCACATTGAAACAAACAGACAATTCAGAGTTTGATGCTCTGTTTTCGTCACCGCCGTCGATCTTTTGAGCAGTTCCGGTGCCGGAGCCACCTTGAGGAGAGTATTCGAAATCGGGATATCTGGAGATGCCAAGTTTACCTGTTCCAATAGTCTTGAAGCTGACACTGTAGAGATTATTGGGAAGCTGTGTTGTGGTGGGTTTTGGGTTTAGGGAATTTGAAATTAGTTTGATTTGGTTTTGGTATTTGTGGTTAATGTATCTTTTTGGGGATTTGTAGATTGTTGTTAATGGGTTTATTTTTGTTGAAACCATGTTTCTCACTATTAACAATTTTTATGATGTTTTTTTGGTTGTTTGAATCAAAATTTGATTGAAGAAAGCATAAATCTTATCGTCACATTTTTTATGTGGCTAGCTAGTTTCTAGTGTTTATCCTTCACCTTGTGATTCTACATTCGAATATGGGCTCAAATATAGAGACTTATGGGTCAATTACATTTCACTCATTTTTGGGCTAAATATCTCACATGTTGGTGGGCCGTGGACTCGTGGGTCGGTTTGACAAAAACATAAAATAAAACTTGTAACAATAAATTGGTAACTTGTAACTTGTAACTTGTATTAGACTATTAGTTGATGTCAAAGAAAGATATTTTAGCTGGAACTTAGTTGTATGGATAATTTTAGAGAAATGAATTTGGATATGTGATAAAAAAAAAGATAGAAGATTGTAATAACAAAGATAGAAAATCAAGTATTAGCTGTGAATTTGTGATATTAAAAGTTTGAATAGTTAATTTCCTAAAATATTGTTATAACGTTGCGTTTGTGCCACAAACACCTTGACAACACCAAACGGAAGACTTGGCCAAAAGCCCCATTTGTTTAGCTTATGCAAAACATGTTTTCAAGTGAGTCTCTCTCCACTATCCAAGTATCCACTTGAACTTAAACACCCAGTCATGCTTTATGACATAACACACTAAGATATTGTTCATAATGACGCATAAGAAAAGAAACATGTGTAAAACTATAGTAATCAAATTAACAATCCTATAATATCTAAAATCTTCACTCAAATATTCAAGTTTTATATTTGAAAATAAACTTGCATAGCCCACGATCATGAATATATCAACTCTAATTTGTTTCGTCTTCTGATAACAAATTTTGTAGTTTTGGACTGAGAATTTTTATTCGTATATGTTGAGTTAGCGTGGGGTTCTAGTTACATAGTTTTCAATTTTCACTACTTCAATAAATTGTTATTTCCTCTATAAATTGTTTTTGTTACCTTGAAGTCCTGAAGCCCCACCGGAATAAATTGTTATTTCTTCTATTTATCATCCACGTAAACTTCATCTGGAAAGTCATGACTAATAAAGTTATAGGCAAATGCATCACGGTGCTTCTAACTGACCAACTTAACCACGCTATTGACTCTGTTCTTAAGCGTAGGCAGCTCACTTATATTTTGACTGACTTTCGAATGAGAGAAATTCCATAAACCAAGGTTCGATTCTTGTTTAGGAGAGGACTAATTTATCCCCTCTAGTTCTTAGCCCACGAGACGTACGGGCTTTGGTCCGAACTTAGAGGATAACAAAAAAAAAAATTGTTGACTTGAAAAAAGGAAAACAAAAATATTGACTTGTATGATTGTCCTTTTTTTTTTTGTCAAACTGACTTGTATGATTGTATCATTCAAATTTCCAACGCTAAAAAAACACCAAATTGTATAGTAATGAAAGTCAATATAAAGGATGGTTGGAAACTATATAAACTTCTCTAAAACTCTAAAAAAGGGAACCACAACCATTAAAAAAATATTGTTGATAATTATTGCTACTTCTGTAACGTTTCGTGCTCAAATATGTGCATAGGAAACACTTACTGGATGCTTATAATAAGAAGTAAGACTTCAGGCCGTTATGGAAAATAAATATAAACCTATAGAATTGGGACTGCTTTTTTAGAATGTGGACCGATCTGACTTTGTCAAATTTCATTTTAACCGTTGGTCCTCCTTTCGCTTACTCATTTTCCGCACGCCATTAACGATAAAGATTCCCATTACTTTTCGTCGTCAGATTTGTCTAATCTCAGCCATCATATTCCCCAATCCAATTGTACATCAGCACGATGTACTAATCTAGTATCTAACTAAAAAGAAAATCATAAAAAGAGAAGAATATTTATATGCAAAATTCAAAACGTTCATAAGTCGTTTTTTTCAGTACATATCGTCGGGTAGATGAACCAGATACACCATCTGCTACGTAGATATATTTGGCAAGATGTTTCTTTTTCACTTTTTATTTTGTAAGGTTTTTGTAACGTACTTCTTATGTTATTGCTGAAATAGGATCGAGATTAGGAATTAAAGACTTTGCTACGCATTTATCACTATGTGGAAATTTAATTAGATGCTTATAGGAGAAATACATCTTTCTTCAAACTTATCAAAACGTATAGCCTGCTTGGTTTGTTCACCCATCTTCAATGATTCATAATAGAATTTTAAATTTAATATACAAAACAAAAATAGCTAGTTGAACAATTTCAATCAATTATATAAATTCTCAACTCATCGACTTGCATCAAATGTTATGACTGGTTTGGTATTTACACGACAGGACAACCGATACGATGACACTTGGTTCGAATTTTTTTTATCCTAAATATATGAATAATAGAATCAATCGATAACACGTTGACAAAAAACAAAAATGATAACACTATTGAACCACTTTTTAGAATGAATAGAGAATTTTGTATTTTGAGAAATTTAAAAGTCAGAGGTTAATTAAGTAATTAGAAAAACGGTAGTTGGAACGTAGGCTTTTGTGGAACTCATAACTTACGTGTCTTTAAATGGCGGCTACTTTGGAAGGCTACGTTTCTTTTAACCTCATTCTCCATTTTCCTTTGTTAATACGATATCTTTTTAAGAAACTAAAAATGATCCATTAATAAGATATCTTATCGACGTTTCCATATCTCTATTTTTACTTTTTCTAGTTTTACATTTTTATCTAATAGTATTTTTCAGCAAAAGTTTGATATAGAGATATTCCAATTAACATAAAAAAAAAAAAAATAGTCAGTGATAAGGATGATATGACTTCGAGAAAGTTGCTAAAATCTCCCCTTTAGTGAGTCACAACCGTTGACCTGCACCACAAGGCACAAGAGACCAAGTCTCTAACCCAACCAACACAACACAAAACAAAACAACCTACACTAAAAGACCAAAATACCCTCACCTCTCTTGCCATATAAAACCCTCTCGAGCGACGCATGTCAAATAAACCTAATTAATATTCAACTTCGAAAAGAGAGAGAGAATTCGAACAGTTTTTTATATAAATTAAAGGCATGAGAGGTTCAAGAACAGGTTCTCCAGACATGAGTGCTTGGTGTTCTGCTGTTGTGTTGTTGTCTTTAATACTTTTGTTATCCGTTCGTGAGAACAACGCTTCTAATTCGATTAGAGGGTCTCAATTCTCAACGAAACCTTGTGAGGAGATTTACGTCGTCGGAGAAGGAGAGACACTTCACACCATCGGCGATAAGTGCGGCGACCCGTTTATCGTGGAGCGAAACCCGCATATCCATGATCCGGATGATGTCTTTCCAGGTCTTGTTCTCAAGATCGCACCTTTTTACTTCTCCAGAAAATTGTAAGACATATAACAAAAAAAAAACTTCTTTTTTGTCTTTTACTTTTGTTTGAAGCATACTTTATCTAAGTATGTATGTATATATACTAAAGGATTCCAAAATAAATACAGAGATTTTAAAGAAACAGAGCAAAAAACAGAGTTGCTTATTCATGTGTTTGAGGACTTGCTTCTTTTTTTAGAAACGTTTTAGGTATAGATGGTAATTATCGATAAGTTTCGGCCTTTGGGTTGGAAAATTTGATAAAACAAAATTAGTCGCTGATTAATGCAATAACGAAACGTCAAGCTAGAAAAAGGTCAACGACTTTTGTATTACCGCAAATTTCACAAGATCTGGTGTTTTAAAACCATACACATGTAATTAAAGCTCATCTATGACACTCTTCAAAAGAGTACAATGCTTGACAACACTGCAAACTGGAAGCATGTCCCTATAGCAACCTATCTGGCTGATCTAATCAAAATCTCAAAGCTTTGTAAGTTGAATTTTATGCATATCTCTAGACAAGCAAACGGTGTTGCGGATAGGTTAGCAAAGCAGGCAAGATGTAATTCTCAAGATTATGTAATCTGTTGGACAGTACCCCTGAAATCATTTTTCATATAGCGAAGAAACTTGACGACAAAAAAGTAAAAGACTTCTAATAATAGTCTAGTTTTGTGGAGATAATTTTGGTAATTCTGTATTTAATTGGTAATTCTGTATTTTGGTAATTAGTTTTTGCTTTCCTTTTTTTTTTTTTTGCAATAAATATAATTTCCAAAAACTAATAACTCCACACCTAGACTAATTATGTCGTCATCTCCGAAAACCACAGCTTCTAAGTTCAAAATCAAAATTTCCAAAATTAAAGTAAAACGAACATTATTACCGTGCATGTCGACATTACTCCCAAAGATTTACACAATTCCATATCTTTAGGATATAATAACACTTCCAACCTATCAAACAAAATTCAATATCTCCAAAACCTCTGCAAACAAGAATCCCTTATATATAAGAAACGTGAGTTGTTCACTGTTACAAACTCACAATCAAAGCCACAAAGGAAGAAGAAAAAAAAAAACAACCCTAACTTTTGTCAAAAGCAAACGATGATGAGTAGATTCCGAAAAACCCTAATTTCTGCTTTCGTTCTCTACTTGGTTATTCTACCTCTCATAGTCTCAGCGGCAGAAGAAGAAAACGAATGCGGCGGATCCAATGGTGGCTCTGCTGCGGAGAAAGCATCGGCTCTTAAATACAAGATCATAGCTTTCTTTTCCATCTTATTCGCCGGAATATTTGGCGTTTGTTTACCTATTTTTGGCCTCAAGTCGGAGAGCAATTTCTTCATGTTCGTGAAGGCATTCGCTGCCGGCGTAATCCTAGCCACCGGTTTTGTCCACATTCTTCCCGATGCTACCGAGAGTCTCACGAGTCCGTGCCTTGGAGAAGAGCCACCGTGGGGGGATTTTCCGATGACGGGACTCGTTGCTATGGTTGCATCGATCTTGACAATGTTGATTGAGTCCTTTGCTTCAGGGTATTTGAACAGATCTCGCTTGGCGAAAGAGGTTAAGACTTTGCCGGTGAGTACAGGCGGAGATAAGGAGGAACATGCTCATACTGGCTCTGCTCATACTCATGCCTCACAAGGACATTCTCATGGCTCTCTTCTTGTTCCACAAGATGATCACATTGATATGAGGAAAAAGATTGTAACTCAGGTACGTCAAACACAAAAAAACCTAGTTGCAAAAATCCAAATCTCGAGTTTTAGACAATCCCATGCTAATCACATGTTCTGTATTTTTCTTATGGTGTTTAGATATTGGAATTGGGGATTGTGGTTCACTCAGTGATAATAGGAATATCTTTAGGAGTATCACCAAGTGTAAGCACAATAAAGCCTCTCATAGCTGCAATTACCTTCCATCAATTGTTTGAAGGTTTTGGCCTTGGTGGTTGCATCTCTGAGGTAATCTTAATTAATTAAAATCTTCTTTCTTTCTTTTATATGATTGCTATCGACTGAGAAATAAATTGGTACTTTTGTGCAGGCAAAGTTTAAAGTAAAGAAAATATGGGTTATGTTGTTGTTCTTTGCACTCACGGCACCACTAGGGATCGGAATTGGTATTGGAGTGGCGGAGATTTACAACGAGAATAGCCCAATGGCCCTAAAAGTGTCCGGTTTTCTTAACGCTGCAGCTTCTGGAATCTTGATTTACATGGCGCTTGTTGATTTGGTAGCTCCACTTTTTATGAACCCCAAAGCTCAGAGTAGTATGAGGATACAAGTAGCTTGTAGCGTATCTCTTGTTCTTGGTGCTGGTTTGATGTCTCTTTTAGCTATTTGGGCTTGAAAGTTTTAGATTTATTGTTTGTTTTTTGAGTTTTTTAGAACAGTGAAAATAACATTTTGATTCGGATTTTGATACTATGACAATCTTTTAAAGAAATTATATGAGAAAGAGAATGTAAATCAAAAACACTTACCTAGGATGTCTCATGACGTAGAACTCAAGTAATTAAGTGAAGAACAACTACTTGGAGGACAAAGTAAATCACTCCACAACCTGAGAAACAGAGTAAGAAATGAGATTTTGCAGCAGTTGAAAATTTGATGATTTTGTAATGAGTAAAATGACTTTCACAACGTTGGCTCTTCGTAAAAGCATAAATCAAGAGATCACATTCTTGTCAAAACGATCCGTTTTCAACTTATGGATATTCATGGAATAACCCCTTCAATAGGATATGTCATTTTATCAGTTTTTATTCCAATTCTTCCACTTCCTTAGTCACCAGTCTACATTTTAATTATCTTGAGACCAAAAAAGCCTAGCTTATTACCCTTTTTCTTGAAAAAAAATCATTCTACTACTCAGCCGTATTTGAAATCATGAATGTGGGATGTATAATAGACTAATAGTAAAATGCTTCATTAGTAGAGACATGCCTTCGAAACTTGGTGGGTAAAAAAACATCTTTGAATGGCTTCATAATGAAGCAAAATAATGAGAGAACATGAGAAGCATCATCATCAAAAGGCAACACTTCAAAAAGAAAAAAAATGGATATGGATATCCATGGGAATAACCCCATCAAAGCATCTTCCCCTTTTTCTTCAATCACTCAAATGTCAAAATGGTCACCAGTTTTATTAGAACTCATATATATACACTGAGTCATGAGTCCATTAATAACAAACCAACCTTCTCTCAAAGCAAACCAAAAAAAAACAATGAAGGAGGAAGTTACGATAAGCGGAGCAGTAATAGGGCATCTTTCTATTGGCAGGCGACTCGGCTATTTGTATATTTTGTGTTCTTGGCGATTGGCTATGTCCCTTGCCAAAGGAGAGTTGCCCTGTCACTGCTTCCGCTTAAACACAATCTGAAACCGATTCTGCTAATTCCAATCCTTCTTTTCGACATGTCCGAAGCCGAGATTGATAGATATATCAGTAAGTTTTCATTTTCCCCATTTTCCTTTTGATTTATGCTTTACATTTTCAAAACAAACGAAACTTGAGGATTAAAAATCCTTTGACGAAATAGAAAAAGAGAGAAACACACTTGCATTTCTTGTTCTTCAGGCAGAAATTTCCAGAGCATATAGATATACAGAAAATAGGTCTCTCTAGCTACAAACTATAGCTAGGGGTTCTCGCAATTTTAATTTTAATAGCATTTAATTTGCAATTTTTTTTATTTTTTTGATAAAATGTGAAATTTGTATATCAAAAAGGAAAAAGTGGATGTACATACATACTTAAAGAATATAGTGAGACCAGAAACAGAGCCTTATGGCACTTAAAACAGAGGATGGAGACTTATAGCACTAACGGCATGTCGTGAGATCTTATTGTTGGTGTAGATGATGAGCCCAACATTGAGCTAAGTCACCAAACTTAGAGTCTGACCGATAGTTGAGAGAAACGAGGCGACACGAGATGATTTTATTGACGCGTTGTGCCAAAACTTGGGGTGAAGTGTTTAATTTGCACATTGCATCTTTGACATCAAATTTCCATTTCATCAACCATCTAAACCCCTTTATACCTTTGATATAAGCAACAATTTAAAGTCTAAAAACCATTGATCTTCCGAAAGAAGACAAAAAAAAAACTATTTTGTTTCCCCAATGAAATATTTTTCCAAGTCCAAGTAATGTTCCATGAACCAGAATCATATCTCTTGAACTATATCTAGATTGAAGTGTAAACCAAGACGAATCTGCGCACTAAAGACACAACAATAGACTTTACCGAGAAAGGTTACGAGTTACGACAATATTGACGGACCATAATCACGTAGATAGTTCATAGTTGAAACGGCTGAATAATTAATTTCAGAAAATGTTAACCGGTGAATTTCTCCGGTTTGCAGTGATTTCGCTTTGGTTGAAGCAAAACGCCGCTAAAAGTAAACCTTCTCTTTAAGTTGGAATCTCTCTTAAAAGGCTTTTGGGCCTTCTTTATAATCTTGTATCTAAATAGGCCTTTGGGCTTAATTTATTTAGGAATTTGAGCGTCTCTCTTTACATATTAAAAGATAATGCAAAAATCGAATATAATCCAAAAATATTGGTAAGGAAAATCAGTATTAAATTAGACTTGTTGCTCCAAATTGTATTATTCAGATAAGAACAGTAATCGAACAAGTGAAACGAATCAGTGCAAGACACGTGATAAAGCACTGACATATATTGTACGATGATGTCGATGCCATATTCGACACTGTTAGAGCAACATTATTGGTAGTAGTGGCTCTTAGCATTAGATGATAGAGACATTTACCTAAGAAATACTTTTTAACCCACCAAATGTCTCTTAGCTAAGAGACATTCTTAACAATTTTAAGATATTTGCTTTATTTTTATCTATTTTAAGCTAAGATCTTTTTCTAAGATCTTCCTAAGAGACTACCATTAATGATGGTCTTACTGTTTGAAAGTGCCCCTTTCGATACTGTTTTCTCCTTCACTCTCTTTTTCCTTAGATTAAAAATATAGAAAGAGGACAGAGTATTGTTTTCTTAAATCATAGCCATTAGGATAATGACACGTTATAGGCTCTCTAATTATCTTTCGATTTATTTTAACGACTCTGCTCATGGGGAACTAGTCACAATGCCATCAATTGATTTCTTCTCTAAATTGATGTGTTTTTTTTTTTTTTTTTTTGTCTCTATACATCTTTGTATGGAATCATGTATTTTTTTTCACCAAAAAAAGGATTCATGTTTACTTTTTTTTTTTTTTTTTTTTTAGTGTTTACTTAATTAAACTGGTTTAACAACATATTTTAGCTACGAGCTGGTCGAGAAGTGAGTTTGTTACTACTATACAAAAACATAAGTTTCACGAAATTCTCTCTAAAAAAATTTGAACAAATCACAAAAGTTTTTAAATTGATATCTATATAAATTAACTCCCCCTAAAAAAAAGTTAACTCCCACTAATCCTATAATTAAGTATTCTGTTCTCTAGTAATGACGACATAGTTGAAAGTTCAAAACCAAAAAATTATTAATATTGCTCACAGTCCATCGCTCTTCTCTAGTTCTCTCTACAAAATATTTCTATTTAGCGGAGACTTCCAAAATTCGTATTTCTTTCTTTCCTCGTTAATTTTGCCAAAACAGGGTAAAGAATATGTTTATTTCGTAGACCAAATGGATCTTTCCTAATGCTCAATAAATAGCTTTTTTATTTTTTAAGTTATATTTCGTACGGCTATTATTTTAATGCAACATAGGAACCTGCCACGATTGTCTTTTCTGAATTATTTTTAAGGTTGAAATACTATAATTGGTTCACAACTACAATACAATAGTTATGATCTTTACTCCCATGGCGTGAAGGAGAAATATCTGATAAATTACCCTTTTATTAACTCTGTAGTAACTTACTTCAAAAAGAGATGAAATTATTAACCGGGCCTTGTGGCCTAGTGGTAAAGGGGTCACAGCTGTGACTTCCGCCACCAGGGTTCGAGGCACGGCCACTGGCAGGTTTACATAGGGGAATTACCAGCCTCGTGGGATTAGTCCTTGGGCCTAGGAAGCATTTGGGAGACCCGCAGTTATTCAAAAAAAAAAAAAAAAGAGATGAAATTATTAAACGGTATTAATCTTACTGGTAGTAACCAGTCCTACCGAGATTTTGGAGTTCTGGTTGTAAGACGAATTTTGAAAGGACAAAAGATCTTCTTCTTGTTCCAAAAGGAGGAAGCTTTGCAAACACACATTCCTTGCAACGGCAATGGTTTTAATTATCTGTTATCGAGGAAAATTGACAGAGTAAACAAAATCGTGAATCTTTTCAAATATAATATATTTTCGTTTTGTAAACATGGAAAGTTGATAAATGAAGAGTATAAGCTACAAAAATGATAATATTAATTTGTTATATATCCCACAGGAGGAGGAGTTATATTTTAGTTTTTGCTGACAATTGTATCAATTATTATAAGCAAGTGTGTGTGGTTGTTTCCAGATAAATAAAATAAAAACAAGAATTATCCTGTTTCTTGTTTTGGCATCTAATTATCCTTTTGTATGTGGGGAGGAGAAGATATGGACACAAATTATAAATATTCTATACATAATTATTATTATCATCAAGAACAAAAATAAAAATAACTAAGGATGGCATCATTTTATTGTGTGGCCCATAAAACAAAAAGAAAAGTAATAAAACATTAAAGAAATTTGCCCCTTCCTTCTCTCACAGATCATTCTAGGGTTCCTGACAGAAAACCAAATACCTTTTTCTCTTTCCATTTTTGTAGAATTTCAACTCCTTCTTTCCTCAATCTTTCACAATGATCTTTTCCTGATAGGTTCTAGATTTAAAATTAACCCTTTGTTCACTAGCTACTGGCTAGCTTCTCTCTTCTTCAATCTTCTCTGCCGACATTTAATTACTCTTCCTTTCCGGTGAGATCTCTCTCTCTCTCTTTTATGACTCTGGTTATGTTGACCGGTCACTGGCTTGTTTAGGGTTTCAATCTTTACAGATCTAATTGTGGCAGAAAAGAGCAAGTCAAAGCAGGAAAAATGGTGAGAGGAAAGATAGAGATGAAGAAAATAGAAAACGCAACGAGTAGACAAGTGACTTTCTCAAAAAGAAGAAATGGTTTGTTGAAGAAAGCTTATGAGCTCTCAGTACTCTGTGATGCTCAAATCTCCCTCATCATCTTCTCTCAGAGAGGAAGGCTTTATGAATTCTCTAGCTCTGAGTATGTCTTCTTCGACTTCTTCTTGATTCTTTTAATTCATTTTTCTTTTACTTTTTTTGGGGGTTAATTAGGCTTTTAGGTCATGTGTTTGTGTCTGGTCTGATTTATTTTCTGAATCGTAATTGACTAAAGCAACCTTCTTAGATTTTGGTACTTGAGAGATTCGATCCTTGCCTGAGTCCTAAAGATTTCTTTCTTTTCTTCCCCTATTAATATAATTTCATTTTTTCTATGTTTATAATATTCATTTGATTAGAAATCTAGACAAACTCTTTTCTTGTTTTTTTTTTCTGATCTATCTGATGAACTTTTCATCCAAACTAAATAATGTGTCTAGGGTTTCCAAATTCTTGAAAGTATGAACAGAAAACAACATCGGAACCAGCTCTAAATAGGATTTCTTATATAATTTGATGATTATTTATTGTGATCCGTACCAAGTCGCACATATTTTTACCCATTTATTTGGTGATAATATATATAAAAAAAAAAGTCTTACTTTTTCTTGCCCCTAGTTAATTAGGTTGTGTACTTTCGTTTTTGGTTTTCGTTATGTATTTATTTGGGCTCTTCTTTTGTAGCCATAGTAACAATGCTTGCTCTTCCTTGTGCGATTCAGGTGTGCAGTGCATACATAGTTTCCTGTCTATATATGTTATATGCCTGTATATAGACTTGTGAGTACTACTTAATTATATATATATATATATTCAAGAAACATCTAGCCAATCTCGGAATTTTATAAAACGCATCTCATTTACATCTTTAAGTTTCTGCTATAATCAGTGTTAGATCCAAGTAGCCAAAGTTGTGATTTGTTTTTCTCTATAGTAATATATATTGTTGATTAGAGTTTTCCAAATGGGTTAATGGTTCTAGATTCAATTATTTGATATTGAGCAAATAAAATTGCAAAAAAAAAAAGGAGTAGAAGAAACGGACAAAAAAAGGCATGGTGAATTCATAGGGCATGGGTTTAGATAGTTACCTAGCTATAGAGATATTAACCAACAGCAAAAAGATATTGTAGTACAATCTAAGAGACATACTAATACAGTCAAATAAATTTTCATATCTCGTTGCGATAAGATGTACGTTTTATTTCGAATATAGTAGAGCTAATTCAAGATAAAACATAGAAATTACGAAGATATAAGTACATTAGTTCATAGTTCTGAAAAGATATGTCTATGTTTGATCATCAGTATGCAGAAGACGATCGAACGCTACCGCAAGTACACAAAAGACCATGAAACCAGCAATCACGACTCACAAATTTACTTACAGGTTTGTTACGAAAAAAAAAAAAAATCTTGTTGACCTTTACGGGTTTTATCCTTGGTAATAATAATCAGACTTAAAATTAACATGATTTCTATGCTATTGATTCTTTGACTTTTCTTGGCCAACGAAACCAAATCTTATGAGATCAATTACTACATTACAAAACAACTGATGGATCGATGGTCACAAAGATTGCTCATCAGTTTACTTTATATTGGCCAATATATACAAAGATTACATACGTACTGATCTATTTTACTTCTCTATGATTTTATTTTGTGGGCGTAATGTAGGAATTGAAACAAGAAGCAAGCCACATGATAACAAAGATTGACCACCTTGAGTTTCACAAGCGGTATAATGTCTTAAGACTTTTTGTTTCTTTTTCTTTTCGTTGCTACTTCTCTTAGATCACAATCTTTGATTATTATTTCTTTGCATTTACGTTATTTGTTTTCGTTTTACATAAACCCATGTAAGCTTAGACTTTTTAACCAAACTTTCTTAGTTAATTGTAGTAAACCTATAACCTTAGACTTCATTAGTTATAACCAATTTTTTTTATATCTATATAGATAGACTTTTTGACGTTTTTGTTAGCATTTTAGTAACATCATTTATGTATTTGTTAGTTATTTCTTCTTGAATTGTTTTTATTTATTTATTAAGAACTCAAATATTTGAGTATTGACTAGTTTGTATTGATATAGGATTTTCTATTTCTGGTAGCATATTTTACAATTAGTCTATCTCAAAAAATCTAATTTTATATCTATATAATATTTAATTTTTTACCCTGCGCATGATAAACTCCGCAGTGATGGATGATGAATCTAATTAACAATCTATCTTTGATCTCAAATAGGAGAACTATCTTGGAGATTTACAAAATTTATCATGAACTTTTTTTTTCGTGTGTATAGGAAGCTATTGGGACAAGAAATTGCTTTTTGTTCTCTAGAAGAGCTTCAAGAAATTGATTGTCAACTACAAAAAAGTCTGGGCAAGGTCCGAGAAAGAAAGGTATATTTATTCTTCATCACTATCTTGGTATATGATGATAACATCTATAATGTACATATACAATACATGTTGACTTGAATAGTCTCCATCTAATCATCTAGTTATAGTCCTCATTTAGATATGAACTTAAACCCGAATCTTTGCAACGATTTAGCGACATATCTCAATCAATATACTAACATTGATCAAGACACATGTGTACTTTATATATTAGTGTTGTTATCATGCAAATTTTAAAAGTTGGACAAAATGTTTTATAGGCTCAGTTGTTCAAGGAGCAGGTGGAGAAACAAAAAGCAAAGGTTTGATACATTATGTTATAACATATAAGATATATATATATATATATATATATATATATATATATATATATATATATATATATATCAATTTTTTAACTAGCTTTTGTATATGAAATTGGTGAGAGAGTGTTGGTTTTGTTTCAGGAGAAACAATTGTTAGAAGAGAACGTTAAGTTACATCGAAAGGTGATTCATCTCTCTTAACAATTCACATATTTTGATATTTACCTATTCACATATTTAGAATTATATATATTGATACTAGTTCAACTGAAATTTACATATATATATATATATATGAATTGCTAATGCTTTAATATGCGGAAAATATTACCCAAAGACCTCTAATTGTTTTCTTCGGGTTGATAGGTTTTTTCTTTTTTCGCCTTCGGGTTGATAGTTTAAATTCAAGATTTTTACATTGTTAGAAACCATACGGTGCAGCTCGGTAAAATTTGATTCTAGTTCAAGTTGTAATTTTGTGATAAAGTATAAGATTAGTTTTAACTTATAAGGATTTCAAAGAAAAATTAGGTTTAAGTTTAGACCTTTTCACTTGCTTTTGTTTATAACTTTTGGAAAGTAAAAATCTGAAAACAGTACAATTTGGATATCATTGTATCGTTTTTCTAGAGAGTAAATTATAAATGATATGTTTTGTGGTTGATGAAATTGCAATCTATGAACAGAATGTTATAGAACCATGGAGAGGATCGAGTGATCGGCAGCAAGAGAAATACAAAGTTATAGATCTGAATTTGGAAGTTGAAACGGATTTATTCATCGGTTTGCCAAATAGAAACTGTTAGTAACATTATATAATATGTTTATTTACTTATCATGAAATATTATTCAAAATCATTCAATAAATTGTGAGGTAATGATTTGGGATAGTATATTTTGAGTTGTTATAGTTCTAGTTCATTTAAAGAGAGTAATATATGTATATCTATAGCCCACATGATGGTGGGCTGGTGGCTTGGCAGGCCCAGGGTGATTGGGTGCAACTCCCTCCTCTCCATGGTTCGACTCCTTGTGCTGTTATCAACATTATTGTGGGAAGTCTGCCAGTTGGGCTTTGGTCCAATTGGTTTACCTGGTAGTCAGAAATGCAGGCGGCCTGACTACTCCCTGACACTTAGTCGGAAGACATTCCAAACTCGGGATAGGCAGAGTGGTAGCCCGTAAGGGCCTAACCGTTAACACGGTAGACCAGTCCACTATGTAGCACCTCGGTGCGTTCCTACCGGGGCCGACCGGATAGCGGATAGGGTTTATCAAAAAAAAAAATGTATATCTATATTCAAAATCCTTCAACTTATTGTGGGTTATGATGTTCTTACACGATTCACACTGTATTTGGGAGCTCATGTTCGTACTTGGAATGCCCAGTCATCATCCAAAATCCAAAACCAATGTTAGGCCTAAGGATTTATTTGCAGCATAAACTAAACCTACCAAGTTATGGGCTCCAAGCGGCCCAATAAGGGTCCAATGGATTACATTAATATAGAGCCCAACCACCCACCGTCTTTGTTGCAGCTACTCCTTTGCATGTGTATATTTTAATCAGATACACATATATAGAGGTTATATTACTAATTACTTGATATGATTATATTAATACTCTAATGTATAGGAGTTAAATGCATCAGCTCACGGTTAGCTGCTTAATTCTGCCGTATTTGAATTTTGAAATTCACTAACTTCGACCGTTGCTTTTGTAAATTAATTTTATTCATTGAATACAATTATTATTAAGTATGGAGAACATATATTACCTATTGTAACCATGAGTTTCAGGGAAAATAATCCTCTGAGAATCTTTCGAATCTCGTATTTTACAGCTATCTCAATGTAATTCTTTTCTTTCTTTGTCAGTACTACCTTCAAGACAAAAAATCTATCGATTATAAAATTATATAATCTTCTCATGTTATACTTCTAGTTCTAGTTGATAAAATTACTTGTGTGTTTTTTTTTTGGGTCAAAATTTACTTATATATTATATATCGAAATTTTTAATAATTACATTATCGTACACGTACATAGGTTAGAGGAGCCATGCATATGGCTGATTCGTTTTATAGTCTTTCTAAGACTTTACATAGTATGCTTTCTAACTTTACACTTTTTCCTGATTTTCTGTAAATACTTTTCGGTTTTCTGTTGGACTATTGTAACCCAACATGTAATATAGACACTTGCAATTTTTAAAAACAAATATAAAAATAAAAGAAGAAGAGTAAATTGGAACCAAAGGTAAATTATTCTCTTTTCTTAAAAGGGTCGCCCAACTGTATTTCCCTTACATTTTAACTTATTGTAAATTCATCTAAATCTTTTTTCCATAAATTCATTGTAGTTTTACTATTAGAATTAGAATTGCTAGTTTGTTACGGGCCATGATTTCAGTTTTAGCCAATTTATGGTTGAGCATTCTTTCGAATAAAGGAAGAATGTCTTTCTCTTCTAGTTATACGTACATTATACGTAAACTTATTATCATGTTGAAATATGTGTAGTATCGAAACTAATTAGCTTTAAAAATCTCAATGTCTAAATCTTCAATTTCATATATTGTGTATAATATATACTCCTTAGGAAAACATTTCTTCACTTCGTTTTTCATTTAACTTTGTCCAAGGATACCGTACGCGCAAAGAGTACTCTCGGACGCTTAGAATTTACACTATACATTTGAGAAAATAATATGCATACTCTCAAAAGTGGACTGTACATGTTTTCTGTTAATTATTTAATATAACTCGACTATGTTCATAGATTTACCAACAAAACATTTAATTCCAACAAACTGGGTAGTCAATTAATATTTGCTAGAAAAGATGCAAAGAGATTAACTAGTTTATATGAACATCATTTAATAGATTTTGGTCAACCTTTATCAATATCGTGATATCATATAGTAACGATCGATTAGTAAAAGAATTAAGATGAAATTATTAAAAAACCTAAGCCCATGTGACTTCGCTCTGATCTTTATTTTTTTGCTGCTTATTTTGAATTTCCCGCTCAACGGTCGACAGATTAGTTGGACACCTAGGCTACGACCAGAGCCGTGCTAACATTAACAGATAGCAGAAGCGATAAAAACTAGAATGCCCTAATTAATTAAAAAATTGAGTGTAATTTTTTTTTAAAAACAAACAGAGTATATAAAAAAAAAGAGAAACATAAATAATTTTATCTAAGCAGAAAAATTTGATAGAAAAACTATAGAGAAAAAAGCTTTGTCACTAAAATCTACTTGAATCATCGTAAGCCGTAACTAGAGATAAACCGAACAAACCTCTCTTTTTATCCTAATTAATAATTACAGTATCTACAACATTTAATATATATATATATATATATATATATATATATATATATAATTGCTTAATTATATTTAGAAGCAATGGATGCCCTTAAAACTTTCAAAGTTGATAAAATATTATGCCCTTAATTTGTTTTTAAAAAATGGATGCCATAGGCCAATGTTTCAAATTCTTGCACTATGGCACGGCCCTGGCTACGACAAATATAATATGATCATAAGATAACATCTATACACTCGCATACAACAAAACACACACACACACACACATATATATATAAAGACATTTAAATGTGGAAATCTGATGATACTCCAGAGCATGTAAATTTGTAGATATTCCAGCATGTTATAAGTTAAGACTAGTCATCCATATTGATCATGTTTGCTGTACAAAAATATATATCTTTTATTTAACATAGTGAATTAGATTTTATTTCTTAAATGTATATTTCAGAACTTCATTAAAGTAATAAACGATCAAAATATTTGAATTGTATGGTTTTATCTATCTTTTCTAATTATTTTTTTGTTAGGTGATGAGATTTCAATGCTGACATTTATGTTTGATAGTGTAATTTTTTTTTTTATAGTTTAATTGTAACTATCTTAGGAATCCTATAATGATTAAGTTTGTACATCCGGTGAAAGTAGATTTACAATCTCGGCCACCTTATTAAGTCCGTAACCAAACAGAAAAGAAAACAATTTCTTTGCCATGCAATATATTTTTAACAAACTAATACTATATAATATATGAATTCTAATTGCATGAATGGTGTCTTCATTACGACAGATATATGTGGCTTTAATCTTCACGTAAATGTCTCGGGTCCATGCAAAATCTATCTTTCGTATTGTCTTTTTACTACTTTACAAGGTTCTCTTCACCTTTTTACTTTTCTCCTTTTTTTTTTCTTTCTTAAAAATATATATTTATATCTGTAAGAAATATTCTTCTCTTACACTCCTTTGCTGTAATTATTTGGACAATCGTCAGAATTATTTAAGCTCTCTGAGATGCACAAACTCTCATAATAGTCCCATGACATGATAATACGAACAAAGATACATAAGATTCCTCTCGAAATTTACATACGTTTTTTGTACCCATCGTCAACGTCATAATCGTCGTCAAAGGTTTTTGAAAACTTGTTGCTTCATGGATTTATGTTAAATTTATAATTCTATATTTTTTAATTTCTTGATCTTTTCAATATGTTTAAAAAACAAAGAGGTCGGAAAAAAGTTCACATAGTCCATAGATAAACAAACTTACTCAAACATAAATGAATTGTCTATATATAATAGGAAAACAGTTAATAGGCCATTATTCGTTACACTAAAATGTTATCAATCAATTGACCAAGAGGTTTCAATAACTATAGTGTTTTGTTTTTTTCTTTTACTATAAAAATTGAGATAATTTTGTCACATCAATGTAACTATAATGTCACATTTCTTTTAGAGTGAATAATTCTGTATGCAAAAGTGTGATGTGTGTCACATCGTCAGAGAGCTTGAAACCTTTAACTGCTGTTTGTGTCAAATGTTGTGGGACTAATAGGGTAGATTCCAATTTCCAAACCGGTAATTATATCTTTCTGAATATATTTTTATCATGTTATGCTTGACTGTTTCATTTATATATTTTGTGTAATTAAAGTGAATGGTTTCATTGGATGATTTTTTGAAAAGCTTGGATGCTATTGTCCAATATAGTTTCCTTTCTTTGTTTGTAAGTTGGCCGTATGACATATTACACATAATGAACCTAATTATATGCAATACGCAAAGCACATAAGACCATAACACTCAGCACATTATTCATGAACCCCTTTACGTGTAAAGTACATTGACGTAATTCATAAACACTCAATATTTAGAAGATATAATTCAAACTCATGTAAAATTGAAAAAAAAAAAAAAAACAAGTTCAAATTTTCACACAAAGACATGGCTAATATGGCAAAAGTAAACAAAACAAAATTCAAACAAACAAAATGTTTTGGGCCCAAAATTATTTTCTTCTCCTACGATCCCTAAAATAGTATATGCTTCTCTAATTTCCGTCATTCCGTGTATAGTATTCAAACCTATACGACCATATCCGAATATAGCTACGAAATCAAATATTTCAAATATTTCTGATAGACCCCATAATTGATCTTGACTATGATTCAAATGTCATCAAATGCGTGAATGAAACTTCTATTGACACATCTATTTTTCATTTCTTTTCTTTTAAGCTCTTATTGACACATCTTTTATCTTCAAGTTTTCGTAACAAAGAAACAAAACATAGCCAACAATATAAAATCAAAATATTCAAAAACTCATGAATACTAAAGCGGAGTATTCTTTAGTCTACATAGCATATGCAAAACCCATGGGATGTTGGAATACACGGGGGACAAAAACATCTGAAATTGACAGATCTATCTTTCTACCATAAAGCTCCGCTTCGGTCCACACTCTACAATTTCAAAATTTTTATTTTATTTATTTATAACGGCTACAAAGTATTTGAAAATTAATATAATCTATATAAAAAAAAGATATCTCTATACAAAGAAGAACCAGTAAATGTCTGCCATGTGGAATTCTTTTATCCACGTGGAAGCCTTAATCTCATAGAGGACGAGTCGTGGTGGGACCCCACATTTGAAGAGTATCTCGTCACGTGAACACCCCACGTGCCACTGACATCATCGTTACGCTTAAGCGGCGCCGTTTTGACCATCCACGTGGCAAAGTAATCCGTCGTCGTTTCAGTCACGAGTGTTTCAAAGATTCCTCTCTCGATCTCCGTGACGATTCCTTCGCCGTCTTCTTCAAACGCCGATTCAATCTCCGGGAAGTCTCCGGCGACGAGAGCATCAATATCTTCGAGAACCAAACACTTTGCTAACGGAAACCGCTCGATTCTCCGAGATAACTCGTCGATTAGCTCCGATCCCTTTAGATTCCTCTGAGATTGAATCGGGTAATGGCAAACCCAAGGTTTCAAATTGATGTGTGGTTTTAAGATATCGGCGAGGATTTCGTCTACTAAGTGGAAGAGTAGCTTTCTATTGCATCGAAGAGCTAGATTTTCCGGTGAGTTTCTAGGTCTGGTTGATGTAACAGCGAAATGTTCGAGGAAGTAGAAGATTGATGGATCGAGTGGGTGTGAAGGAGAGAACCATTTAGCGTATGAGATTGGTGTGTCTCTGTCGATTCCTGTTCGTCTTAGGGTTCTTGTTATGTACTCTAACTCGCCGCCGGCGATTGGTGCAATGTGGGGTTGTGATTGGCTCGGAAAACTAGGAATCTCTGATGATGCTCTGTTTCTTGGTGTTTGTGTTTCTCTGAGCTTTAAGTTTGACTGCAAAACTCAAAAACATTAATAAATATTTAAACTTTGGATAAGGGAAGCAGTGATTTCAAAGAGAGAGTTAGGTGTCGTGTACCGATTTGTGATGAAGTGATGAATCTTTCTTCTTGATGGTGGGAACACTAGTGAAGTTGATGAGATGATTAATGGATAAGGGAGTTTTCTTGTTGGAAGATTTGTCTCCTTGGATAAGGAGAAGACCATTGTTGTTGTTGTTGTTACTTGTTGTTGGTGATCGAACAAACGGCTCTTCCTGCATTGTCTGTGGCGGTTTCACTAATCTCGACTTGAAATTCTCTGGTTTCTTGAACTTCTTTGTAGACTTCCTCTGTTTTTCTTTCACTTCTTGTCCTTGCTCTCCCTGTGGCTCCTCTTGCACTGTTGGTAATCTGGTCTTGTCTTGAACCTTCACTGTTGTTTTCTCCAGAATCTTGGTAGCAACATTATTTGTCTGAGGTGAGGTTGGTTTGGTTTTGGGGGTTTCCGTTAATCCTAATCTCGGGGATGATGATGAATCATGAGTGATGATTGTTGTGATCTTAGAAGAAGCTTTCTTGGACTCATGAATCTCTCTTGATTGTTGTTCTTTGTTGGTTATATCAGTTCCCATTCTTCTTCTTCGGCTAACGTTCTCCTTCAACTGCATCACTATCTGTCTAGCATACTCTCGTGGACTGCGATTCTCTTTATCTTCATGTATCTTCATCTCTTTGACCCTCGTGAGCCTGACATTGTTAATACCAGCCTCTCTTTCAGGAAACACGTTGATGGTGTTGTTGTTGTCTCTGAGATGAAGTGAAGAACGTTGGTGTTCGTAACAGTTGACGTCAACGGATCTCCTTCCGAGTGAAATCCTCGGTGTTTCGGGGAGAGAACGTGTACCTCCGTCGACAGAGTTTCTTTGGAGAGAGTAATGTCTGTGTTTCTTGGTCTGAGAAGCTCTTGTTGGCGTCTTGAGATCAATTAAGGTAGACGAAGATGAAGAAGATGGAGTTGGAGATGATCTGTAATTATCAGGAACAAGATCAAGACCCATGAGTCTAGCAACCAAAGTTGGTGTCTTTATGCTCGGAGAATAAGTTTCAGTGGGTGTAAGAGATGCTGATGATGATCTTGCTTGTGGTTTGGTCTTAATTTTAATACCCATCTGTAAAAAAACATGATTAGGGTCAAAAGGAAGAAACTTTTGAGGAACCCAAGAAGATAAAAAACAGAGTGGATAATGAAGTTTTTAGTCACTTACAGAGATATTTAAATTTCCATCTTTTCTGGTTGGCGAAAAAGAAGTTTCCTCCTCTGTCTCCTCCGTTGATTCCAAGCTGTTTCTCGGTGCATCTACTCCTGAATTTGATGTATAACAGAGGATCAAATATTGTAATGTAAAAGATTAAAGAAGTGGGAAAAAGATGGTACCTTTGGGAAGATGAAGATGGTGGTGGTTAATAGGAAACTGTAAGTGTTGAAAATCAAAAATGTTGAACACAGCACTCATGCATCCCGCCGCCGTTGCAGTATTTCCGGCGAGAGATGGCTGCGGCGGCGGTGGTTTAATGTCTTCTTTCTTTGACTTGCTTGAGGATTTCTTCTTCCCTCCGCCTCCTCCGCCGAGCCAGGACCAGTCTCTTCCCATTTTTTGTTTTGTCAAGTTATAATGATAAGAGCTCTGAGTTGTTGAATTGGTTTTTGTGACTTGAGGAGGAAGAAGGAGAAATATGAAGTGTGGAAATGGTTTTTATAAGATTAAAAAATATAGCTGAGAGAAAGTGGATCCATGAACCTGTATAAATAAATACGTATAGTTTTTTCATAGGCTTTTTTTCGTCAACTATTTTCTCGTAGGGTTTTAATTAGGAGAAGTTTGTCAAATGTAAAATCAATTAATATTTGAAAAAGAAGAATGTAGAAATGGCTATTTGTAATAAAAATAAGAATTACATTTTTGGTTAGAAAAGGTAAGTAGGGGCCTGCTTGTTTTGGCTTCTTTGAAATACGTAATGTTTTCTGTATCCCGTCGGTATCACATGATGTATATTTGTTGAAACTTGAAAGAATAAAAAAGATACATCACTAGCTTTTTTTTTCCTTTTCTCAACAGACATAACTCGTTACCATAAATTTATAATGTAAACGACGATACACAGTTTGAACTGTTTTGCAGAGTTTAAATCCACATTTTCTAATAATACTGTTAAAAATCCATATACTCTAATGTAACATCTTTTACAAGTTACAACTATGTGATCAAACTCTGCTTTCGTAATATAGTCAAGACTCAAGAGATTAAGACTCACGATATGATATAACGATCGATACTTCATGGAGAATATTAGAATAATAAAAAATATTCATACTAATTTCTTAAAATAATAATATGCCTATGCTTACTTACAAACTATGTCAGACTCGCAACTACAACAATCCACAACACTAATTATTTTAAAATATTATTCAAAAGCTCAAACTACAATAAGATTCGTACACTAAACTCCATGGCGGTGTTACCAAACAACGAGGGGATCTTCAATCGTGACCCTTATGTTTCAAACCATGACGTCTTCCTCCTTTCAAATTTTATCCTTAAGATTGTTTTTGACTTGCTTTCTCACAATTCAATATTACTATCCAATAACCATTAAACAAGTACAATGTGATCTTATCTATCAATAAATGTGATGTGAAAATCACCACTTAGATAGTTAGTACGTATATTATATCTTTACATAGTAATGACTAATGATGAGTATACTAAAATCACCACTACGTAGTGGGATCACATTAATCCAAATGACCGTTGTTTGGTCATCACTCGTATGACTAATTAGTTTTACGTATTTAATTTGCGAAAGTATTGGCTATATCATATTGGTTCCACTCAATATTCATACGGATGGATGTATTTATTATTCCTTAGATTCTATGTATATACAGTAAAGGATATCAGCTCTAGCAATGAAAGTAAAACAAAATTAGCCCATATATATAGTGCGCATGTAAGAAAGAAAGAAAGATTTTGTACAATGTAAATTCATAAATGAAGAGAAGAGACTGGACCATAACATGGTATTATTTAAGTGAATGTAGCCAATACAAATCACATGAATTTTTTTAGGTATGGTCATAGTACGAGCCAAATTAAAGTTGTCCTTATAATTAAAACAAAACTAAAAACAAAGAACAGAGAAAAGGACTGATTTTTTAAACGATTGTGCTTAAAACAAACAAAACGAAGAAGAGACGAAAGAGCCAATGAGGTATATTGTCTCCCCAGTCTCATACTAATTAAGAAAGATCTCAGTTTACATTTCTGGATTTATCTTCTATAAACATCAATGCAACATCCTGCAATTTTGCTATCACCTATAAAGGGACCACAACTTCTAACTATGGACCATTTTAGATATGTTTATGTCAAGATTCCAAGTGGTAATCACAATTCAAACTACATCATTTATTGGTTATTTACTTATCTTCTAAGTCCAACATGAATGGATTAGTAGTATATTTATTTAATCTTTTCGGTATTCTCAATCTTAATCCTCGAGTTAAATATGTTAACATGTATAGACGATTATATTCACTTAATACTACTACTCTCAATTTTGGTCTATATTAGTCAGTAAATAATCATGAACATGGTAAGATTGTTAACATGTTTAGAAGATGCAATTATCGGTAATTAGTAGTTTAGAGGTCATCACTTAGCTTTATTAGTCGAAATCATAAATCGATTTTTTGTTGAAAGTTTGTTTTTTTTGGCTGAAAATGTAAATGGTTATTACGTATATTTGTAAATTAGATTGGATTTTGATTCAGAAAACTTTGGTTCTGAAAACATGCAATGATTGTTTGTGAAACGTATTTATAATTAAATGCCGAGTGAGTGAATCGAAACTCTCGTAACAAACATAATGTTGTCGTATCAGTTTTTTTTCCGTAGAGCAGAGTGGCAACATTAATGTGCTAAATCAACCAGTACCTTCTATAAGGAGTAGGTCCATATTCTAATAATGAAATATAACTCTTGCAAATTAAATAAATTTCATGTAAATGTCCTCTGTGAGTCTATGACTAAACTATTGTGCCCACAAGCTGTTTCTTCCATATCAGTACCGATATTTAATTTTCAAGACTTGGTTAGAACACCATAGGTACAACTAAAAAACAATTCTAATTCATGAAAATATTAGAGAGCATTTGGCATTGTTTTAATTCAACTTTATTTTAAAGATCGTGTTTTTGATATTGAGATGCATAGGCATCCATGAAACGTTTGTGAAGCTACAATGCCCAAACAAGACATCGTCGTTTATTGTCATAACATAACTAACATATGTTGCAAACACAAATGTGTTTTAAATGAAATTGCTTGCTATAGGTTTGATCGTTAGAGACTTAGAAGTTTTTAAGAATGAAAAAAAAAAAGCCAAGTTTCTTCCAAATTACTGAATCAGTTCCCACATTGGTTAGATCTTTTTTTTGGCGGCAAAAAAATATAAATAACTTAATTAGATCGACATTGGTACAATTCAAATAAACGTACCAATAGATTGAGTTAATATTATAGGTCCTTCAAAGATACATAACTTGCTTACGTTCTTGAAACATAAATGGTTGTAATGATTTTTTTTCCCAGAACGAAATTGTCTTTTCTGAGAGAGCAAATTAAGTAGATAATGTTATTGTCAGCAAATGGTTGCTCCAGAAATTCAATTACAACTTCGGTTATATTGGACCCAACGTAGGCCCATTAAGCCCAAATCCATGTGTATTGCCAGAGCCCAAATGTTTCTCTTCTCATCATATTGTTTGTTTAGTAGTATTTATACTCCCAATTGAAAAATAGAGAGAGCACTAGAGCAAACAAACACTTAGAAATATTATACACATATAAAATGGTGTCTTCGTCTTCAATATATCTATATAAATGAAAGAAATAGAAGACAAAAGAGATGCATGTGACGCGGGTCTCTCTTTTGTATTTGGGCCATCATTGGGCCTTGGCTTGTGGCGGGGGTTCAATTCACCCCCACGTGCTACATTTTTGGCTGATTGTGACCTGTTTGCTACTATCAGATACACAGCTATGCATTTACATGTGTTGGCCGACAAACCAAAAAAACCATATGGAGCCTTCGTGATTCTCGAATCGAATTGCACATCTCAAATATTTGGGCTTCAGATATAAAGATAAAATCATGGGCCTAAAGATTTTAAGCTTTCTAAATACTATAATGATCCGTCAGCTCTTGGGCCTTTTAAGATTACAATTTTATTTTATGCAAATTCATAACAGAATCGGCCAAAAAAAAAAAAAAAAGTTACAGAAGAGAGGAAATGAAGTTTTTGATGGAAACGAAGAGAGTTTTACGTTTACAAGGATCTCTGATCTCAGCACCGTGAGCATCGCCGCCGGTATACTGCTCCACCACTTCTACTCCTTTCTTCTTCATCAGCTTAGCCACATCTATCTGCCGATCTATCATTGGATCATCCTCTCCTCCGATCATCATCACTTTCCATCTCAACCGTCCGATTTTCTCCAAATCCTCCGATCCATCTCTCACCGTCGGATTCGAGTACTCATGATCCCGGTCAGCGCCTACGGGAAGAGACAGATCCCACATTACGTCGGTGACTATGGGAGGACAAACCTGATCGTTCACAAGTCTAATTTCAGATCCACATCGTTCTTCTCCCCCGAAGAACGGATGGTGTAGAATCAATCCACGGATCTGTAACGGAATCAGATCGGAGACGGAATCTACCGATCTTAGTCCGACGTTGTAAGCCAAGTTCCCTCCGGCGCTAGTTCCCATAAGGAACACATTTGAGAAATCGGCGTGAGATTTGATCCACTCATCGTCGGAGGTTTTAATCCACTCCAGAGCTTCAATACCGTCGTCATACGCCGCCGGTAATCGGTGCTCCGGAGCTAACCGGTACGAAGGAGATACGACAATCGCGTTGAGATCTCGCGCCATCTCGGAGCAGAAATCGTGGAAGGCTTGCATATCGACACTGCAGAGGATGAATCCTCCGCCGTGATAATACACAACGAGAGGGAGTTTCTGAGACGAAACGCCGGCGTTTACGGCGGAAGAGGGAAGATAGAGACGGAGCCACGTTGACTTTGAGTGGTTCACGGGAAGATCTTTTGAAACGGCGGGGTTTTCTGGGGAAGGATCAGGTGTAGCTGCGGCGCATGGGAAGTTGGTGAGGTCGCGAGTGATTGAACCATCTGGATTCTTTACGATGTTAAGATAAGCGTAAGGATCAGAGATTGGAGTTGGTTCGGACATTTTTTTTGTTGTTCTTGGTCTTTTTGGATTCTTCTAATATGTATAAATTGATTCACTCGAATATGCTACTCTTTATATAATCCAAAAAAACAGTGAAGAAAATTATTTTTAAAGTAAGATTCGGCAGATTCACGCATTAGTTTAGTCCAAAAACGAGAAATCTGAAATCTACAACTACAAAGGTAGTCAAAAGTCAAAACTAAGGCAAATGTATCTTTAACTAATGTGCATACTAATTTGATAACTAGTACTCCCTCCGTTTCAGTTTAGTTGTCGTTTTAGGATTAAAATTTTGTTTCATAATAGTTGTCGTTTTAGGTTTTCAATGCAAATGTTTGGTGAAAATTCATGTTTTGTCATTAATGTTTTAATATTTTGACCAATGAAAAAATTATAAAATATATTAATAAAGGGTAAAACAAAAAATTTAATGATTTTCTTAATTTGTGTGCGAAAACCTTAAACGACAACTAAAACGAAACGGAGGGAGTATGAATTAGGCTTTTGACTTTTGACGTAACTGGTATGAATGATAATATGTGATTAACGCAACGTAAGTGGAGTGAGAGAAAAGATAAACCGCACAATCGGTACAAGTAGAGAAAATGTAATGCTCTTCTTGGTTCATAAGTCGCTGTCTCTCTCATAAATGATAATCTAGAAGTTGCTGTTGGCAAAAGGCAAAAGCCAAAACTAATTTAAAGTTTGACAAACTATTTACCAGGAAAGACGCAGAAAGTATTAAACAGTCGACCAACTATAGCTACTTAATTTTAGTGTTCTTTTTCATCGTTATAGACGACAGAAACCTGACGGTTGAATTGAAACTTACAAAACAATTCCCATTAGTGACGAAGTAATAATTTAATCATCATTATCATCCAAATTACACAAAATTGATAAAGAGGATACAAGAGAGCCTCCTTAAGTTTGTTCAAAGAAAGACTAAAAGGAAAACACACAGAAAACACCTATTATAGTGTAGAAATCATCAGCGCAAGAAGATAGTAATGAAATTATAAGAGGGAGTTTAGTATCTTTTTTTATCAAAAGGAGACAAGTTGGGTTCGAGTTCTCAATATCTCTGGCCCCTACCACCACCACCACCACCTCTTCCTCTGCCACCACCACCAAACCGATTTCCACCACCACCACCAAACCGGTTTCCACCAGCATTGCGACCGTATCTTTTTTGTGGCAATGGTTCTCTCTCCTGAAGTTTAGGCATCTCCTTAACCACTTCCAAGCTCATACTTCCAGCACTCTTTTGTCCTGCTGCAAGGAACAAGTCTAGATCCGATTGCTTAACATCGAACACCGCTCCGGTTTTATCTGCTGTTAGAGATAACCCTTCAATCTGTTCCACCTTGTCATCTGGTAAAACTCTCCTTAGCAATCCATAAACAAATCTGTTGCAGCAAATCATTTTAGCACTTGCTTTAGATCTTAACAAAGACTACAAAAGCAGAGTATAAGGAGAGAGAGGAACTTACGATGGCGAGTACATTGGTTTCCCTGCTTCAAGATGTAGTGTCACATGGTTCTCCATTGATGTAAGAAGTGACCTTTTCTTTATCTCAGTGAAGCCCTGTATAGTTATCAAAACTCGTAAGTACTTGTTTTAATAGGAACAAAAGAAACAAATAATGTTTCAAGGGAAAATTTTCATGAGACTAACCGCAGTTTTTGCAAGAGCTTTTGCGAGGAGTACTTCAGCTGATAAACCAGAAGATTCTAATAATTCCTTGGCAGCTCCCAGGAATGCAGGAACCACACTGCATTTAACATATTCTTAGATAAATATATGACATTCCAAGTTATTTATTAAACTTGAAAGAAAGATTGAAATCGCAAGTGTAAGCATACCTGTCACAGACTTTTTTAATATTCTCAGCAGCTTCCATACCAACAGCTCTGGCAATATCATCAGGCTGAGGTGCAGAAATGTACTCAAATTTTATACCAGCTTCCTTTTCGATCCTTGATACACTCGACTTTCTAGACTCGTAGAGTGTAACCGCAACTCCAGTGTTGCCTGCAACAAAAATAATATAGAGATTATGACAACAGCAAGCAAACGTTATGCTATCATTATGCAACAGCGCAAAATTATCAAAGAGCCGTAATGTCTGCTTTACCAGCTCTTCCTGTTCGGCCTGAACGATGAATATATGCTTCAACTTCACGTGGAGGCTCACACTGTAACACATTTAAACAAGATGTGATGTTAGAACACCAACGAGGCATTAAACCAGAATGATTAAAGCTCATGGGCGACGACTAACCTGGATAATTAACTGCACATCATTGATATCTAGACCACGAGCAGCAACATTTGTAGCCACCAATGTCGAAAACTTGCCATTCCTAAATCCAGCAAGAGTAACCTATAATCACAGGACTCATAGTTAGCAAGCTGATACTGCTCTGTTTGAGCAATTCAACAGGATAAGAAGAAAGATCATATCCTCCCTACTTAACTTTGCCTATGCAAGAGAGCTTGAAATAAAACTTAATACATACCTCACGTTGTGCTTGAGGTATTTCACCATGCAAGGCTCTTGACCCAGCCAACAAACCAGAAAGCTCGGAAACTTCATGTTTCTTCTCAGCGAAAATAATGGTTTGGCCTCCACTAGATTGTGAAAACAAAAATTGGATAAGAGACTTTAGCAATTACAAAAATATTGGTTAGAAAATGTAGCAACGTAATTGAAGTACTAAAGGATACCTGCTATAGCAACTGATAATATCAGGAATCAACCGAGCCATGGCCGCCTTATTACAGGGAATAGCGATGTGTCGAACACTATTACTGGCCTTCATTTTATCATTACCAACAAGATCAATAGTCTTCTGGTCTCTTTTAAGAAACCTGTTAGAGATCTAGTAGGGGCAAGAAAAGTCTCAGCCACAAATAAAGAGAAAAGGAACATAGCAGCAAATTATAAAGCTTAACTCATAAAAATAGCCACAAATATTTGAAAGGGACATACATTTTTCACCCATGATGGCAAAGTAGCACTGAAGAGAAGAGTCTGGACTTTAGTAGCATCCTCCACTTTCCCTGAAGTTATAGAAAGAAGAAATAAGATACAAAGAGTAAGCTGTTTCATATAAAAAAAAAACGAAAACTACATTACATACCTAATATAAGTTCAACATCCTCAACAAATCCCATCCTCAACATTTCATCAGCTTCATCAAGAACACGGAATTGTAGATGGCTGAGATCAATGTTTTGTCTTTCAATATGATCCTGCAATGAAAATCAATTACAAGGTCAAGAGAGCAAACAAACAAAAGTGATATCCTGAATTGAAGGGACAAAATTTATAGTTTATACAGAAATTTATGTTTAGAAAATAGAGAGAGGGAGAGAGAGAGAGAGAGACGAACCTTAATACGACCAGGGGTTCCAACTACAATGTCAACACCTCTCCTTAATTTATTCTCCTGACCTACATAGCTATCACCTCCATAGAGACAACATGAACTTAACCCAAGTGATGCTCCATATGCATCAAAGTCAGCAGCCACCTATCAAAGAAAACCACACCATAAGTAAAACCTAGAGAACAAAAAACGAATTTGCACCAAATCTCTTAACAACAGAATCATTACCTGCTTGGCCAATTCTCTGGTCGGTAAAAGGACCAAAACACTTGGTGCCCTGGCATATCCCATCTTCCTTTTGTTTTTGGCAGGTCCATTAACCAACGATTCCAATATAGGCAACACAAAAGCCAATGTTTTACCCTGCACCACACCACATATGATCAGCAAAGTCCCCTAACTTTGAAAAATTCACTCCAAAGTCCAAACAAGCAAGAGATTCACAATACCGAGTCTCTAAGTCTCACGAATTTTTAACTAAATAGCAAATTACGCACCCCTAATAACAAACATTACACAAATATATATCCAAAAAGGCTCGAACTTGACCAATTCAATACAGAGACAAACTTATAATAAGCAAAACCCAAATTTCAAAATCAAATTGTAACCAATACCTGACCAGTACGAGCCCTTCCAACTAAATCAGCACCATCGAGAACCATATCGAAAGTTGTAGCTTGAATCGGGAAAAGAGCTTCAATACCATTCGCCTTAAGCTTCTCCCTCAACGGAGCAGAAATCCGAAACTTCGAAATAGCATTAGGGTTATCAACTTCAACATCTTCAACACCCAACTTAACCTTCTTGCTGCTCTTCTTCTTCTCCGAGCTAGAATCGCTCTTCACTTCCTCCTCCTCCTCCGAAGCCTTACGCTTCTTATCCTTCTTCTTACTCTTCTTCTTCTCCGACTCTTCTTCATCAGAATCAGATAGTTTCAGCTTCGGCTCCTTCTTACCCTTCTTAGAATCAAGCTCTGGGGTATCCAAAGCTATCTTCTTCTTCATCTTCTTCTCTTCTTTCTTATCAGATAACATTAGGGAAGGCATTTAGAAGGAAGATAATAATGGAGAATCGAATCTCGTCTGCTTTTTGAGAGATTGAGGCGATTGAAAGTGCGAAAGCAGAGAGAGACGACAAAGAGGACGACAATTGCTAGGGTTTACCACTCTTTATATAGTTTTGAGATTTTAGAGGTTCCTTTTATCAAAACCCTAATTTACTCTAACTGTGCAATCTATTCCGTTAATTAGTTTGTGTTGCTTGCCGTTTTTATATAATGATAGAAGAATGCGTGTCGTTTTTGTCATGTGAATAGGTCAAAGACTCAAAAATATCTTTCTTTTTATTTATTTTTTTGTGGGCAAAAAATATCTTGCTTTCTTTTTTTTTTAATCAAAGGACTTAAAAATATCTAAGTTTTTAACATTGTTCGACAGTTACGGTAATTTAACAAATATAAAAATGATGTGATCCACCCAGAAACAAGATCAACACATGGTTACAAAACCTCAAATATAATAATTTCGATTTCTTACTCATTTCTAACACTTATATATAGTTGATGAACTGTCACAAATACACACTGCTCATAAGATTTACACACTATGTAATTAGGAGTAAGCAACTTCATTATAGATTTATGGTTAATACAGATATGAGACCCATTTCTCGAAGAACGGTACACATTTATTCTTTACAAGTCCTAATATGCTCATACAAAACCCGACAGTAAAAACCTGGAACCATAACAGCTTACAAGAGCAATGTTGTACCGGCGACAACGAACCCTAGGAGTATGATCACGCTCCTTCTGAGACCAATGGCTAGGACACTAGAATCTGAGGCGCTGTTGCAGTAATTGAAACCATACCATACACTCTCAGGGATGTGTGTGTTATATGAGAAGGTGACCGCTTTGGAGCCATGACTATATATTTTTACACTGTCTGGGATCCAACCATCTGGACCAGACCTGTAGAGATACACATAGCATATCTGGTATGTGCATGGTCCGTTTATCTGAAATGTATCTGATGAACATTGCTCGAACGTTTTTGTAGATGGATCGTCAAGCCTCGGTGCATATATCTGATTCAAAAAAACAAAATTTGAGCTGTGACTTTTGTCGCGCCAAAGCTAAAAACTGAACATCCTTGCGGTTTATTAGTGACAGATACATGAACAAATTAGACACTAGTTACAATCAAAACCAATCCACTGAAACCTTCATCTATTCTAAAGATGTGTATATTCCTCTAAAACTCAAATGTTCCAATAGTAGAACTTGATACTCCAACTCTAAGGTTGATTTAGCGTCGATATTTTAGTAATCGGGTGTGTAAAGTTGTAAACCATGAAGATGTACTTCAGATTTTGGTAGCTAGATTTCTTCCATAAGAGTGACAATGTTATGCATATTCAGTAGCTAAATAGCCATTAAGAACAGACTAGAAATCTAATGAAACCAAAGATGAGCTCAAAATATGAGAAAATACACTGTAAGTCTGTAACTAAGCTCAATTACGAAGAATCAGATACAAGCATCAACCAATTTTGCGAAAACAACTTTGTTTTTTGGAAGGAAACATTCAATTGCAACCCTAACTAAGCCTAATCGATAAACCAAAGTCTTACCAAATCAAAATCAAATGTTCTGAAGAAATCAAAATCTCACTCAGCGGAGGAAATCTAACCTGATTACCATAGCCATCGCCGAAAGCGACGCTGATCTGATCGCGCGTGTACTTAGTCGACGAACAGCTCGTAGAGATGATCACTGTGTAAGAACAGGTATTCCCCAATCTCTGCATCATAGATGAAATTTCACACGCATATAAGGAAACTCATAAGTTTCTCGGGAAAATCCTACACAAAGACGATATGAAGGAAACTTCACACAGAGAACGATAGCGAACCTGGATGAGGCTGACGTTGAATGATTCAGCAACGTGAGGCTCCAAGACTTTGGATTCGGAAACAGATATGAATATAAGGAAGACGAAGGAGATGAGAGTGAGGAAGAGTCGTACGGATACCATTTTCGTGCTTCGAGAAATCGCAGGCAGAGATTACAAAAACGAAGAGAAATCGAAACAGTAATTGAGAAGATAAAGTATCGAACCAGTTCGAGCTAAACCGGATTGGACCGGGTCAAATTCAATTTTGAAATTAAAACCGAATTAAATGGCAACGCTTCCAAGTTACAGGCCACACATCTCATGTCAGTGTCATTAGGTAGAGGAGTAAATGTAATTAATGTTCTCTCTCTCTCTTTTTTGTGTAGAAAAATGTAATTAATGTTTTGAATAGAAATTGATTAGAGAGATTAGACATATATCTGTAGGTTTTATGTGCTTCTCTAGATGATTCTTAATCAAGTAACCAGCTTGAGCTTTGAAGATAGTTGATATACTGGAATTTCTATAAACTCAAATCAAGAATTTACAAATTTTGGTATTATGAATTCTGATATGGGAAAATAAAGGTATTTACGGAATTTTTAGAAATACTAGTATTTTCATGGTGTGTAGTATGTCACAAAAAATTGATGCAGATTTCATAAGGAATACTAGTACGTTAAAAACTCAGAACTCATACATTAATTAGTTTCCACAATATCCAACTACAAAGACAAACAAAGGATTACACCATGAGGTCCATGACCATACTCATTACTTTAGTCATTAGTTATTAAGCAAACTCTTAACTAAAATAACTCAAACAACCACAGCCGCAAACGCAAACACAACCGCAGCAGCAAATGCAACAACCAAACTCTGACCACTTCCACGTCCAGAGGCAGCAGACGGCGGTGATGGTGGTGGCGGCGGGATTGAAGGTGGTTCAGGAGGAAAATAAGGCGGTGAAGGCGGTGGGACAGATGGAGAAAACGGAGGGAAATCCGGGGAAGGCGGTGGCAAATCGGTGTTGTTGCATCTGTTGTTGCCGTACCAAATGTTCTCAGGGACGTTTTTGTTGAAATCAAATTTCACGGATTTGGAACCTTCCTTGTAGATTTCGACGGTCTCCGGGATCCAGCCGTCGGTACCGGAACGGTAGATGTAGACGGAGCAGATAGTGTTGAGACATTCACCTTTGACTTGGAATGTGTCCGATGAACATTTCTCGAAACCTCCTCCTCCACTTAGTGGTTCGTCTAGTCTCGGTGCGACTACCTAATAGAATAAATTTAATACTCAATAATATACGTTTTTAGAAAGAAAGAAGATGGAGTATGTATAACTTAAGGGTTTGAAATCAATACAAACACAACAAATATGTATTTGGACCCACAAATAGAACAAAACAACCCAAGAGTTGTCATAATCAAACCTTGTTACCGTTGGCGTCACCCAAAGCAATAGTGATCTGATCTCTAGACCAATCAGGAGAGAAACAGCTTGTAGTAACAATTACAGTGTAAGGGCAGCTTTCTTCTTCATGAAGATCAAGAGAAGAGATTAGTGGCTGATAGGTTAGAGAAAGAATGGGATCAGTGAAGCAGAGTAAAAGAAGGGGGAGGATAGATGACAGAGAGAAGAACTCCATTGTTGTCTTCTTGAAAGAGAGATGGGATATGAGAGTTAAATAGAGAACTAGAGAAGTTGTTATATAGAGTCTCACTTTTGTTACCTTCTTACTTACTCAGTTACACTTGGCGCAACACAATCCACAAACAAGCATAATATAGCTTCTAGACTACGAAAAATATCTTTCCTGAAGAAAAGTGATTGTTGATAGTTGGTGTACTTTTTTTTCAGTACAATTACTTTGAAATTTGAATATTAGTATTAGTTTCGAAGATTTTACACCAACTCTCCAATTTCTTAAGGCCAAGTTATTTGGGTGAACTTATCTATAATTCTATATATGTAACCAATTTTTTTGTAGACTTGTTCTTTACTTTTGGTATCTATGTACAAAAAAAAAAAAAAGGAAAACACAAAGTAAAACCGATTGTTATAATGATGTTGTTACACTGGCAAAAAGACAAAACAGACACAATCAACAAAACCATAAAACAACTGATCCAGCTTCTTTTCTTGTTACAGATATTGGATTTCTTGGTAATTAACATATTTCTACTTTCCCAAAGAAAACAAAAACATATACATCTCAATTTATTTGGAGTCATCAACGTGTCACGAGTATTACACGATGATCAAACCTAACCCCGAAATCAAATTCTACTTCTCCTACCTACCACCTTTTTATCATCGTACAATTTATTAAATAAAATAACCCTTCTACGTGCAAAGATGCGGGCCTTTGGTTGATTTTTTCACTTCCCACCTAATTAAGTAGCCCAAAGATTACATATATATAAAATACTCAAAACTATTTAAACTATCAACATCGAGCCTGTAAATTAAATAGGATCAAAAAGAAAACTATACATTGTCTCCAAAAGAAAATATATAAACGAGAATTCCACACATAGAACAACTTCCTTGGCTACTAACAAAAATTCAACTAACAAAACTTATTCATCTTTCAAACAAAAATGTGAAATTTACAGTGTAATTATAACGTTACTGGAGCTAAAAACTTTCAAAATCCTTACTAATAAATAAATAATTTATGGAATCCATCATCTTCCTTTTTCTCATCTCCATTTGTACCAATTCTCTTGCTCCTTGAATCTCCTAAAAACTCCATCTATCGCCACATCAAAGGCGTCTTTGAAAGTCTCTAAACCATTCGGAGACTTTGCGTAAACCAAATTCGGTATCAAATCAATCACTCTTTCTCTCATCTTCCTCACATCTTCTTTGCTATACCGTCCCAACACTTCCTTTATAGACGTCGTGCCGTTTTTAATCCCATTCCGGTCTATAAAAACCGAGTAACTATCTGGTTTATCCGGTAAAAACCACTGATACTGCATGTAAGCGCTTCGTCTCCAAAAGAAAACCGGAATCGAACCGGCCAACATACAATCAAATATCGACCGGCGAGTGAAGCTATCTCCTCGAGGCTGGAGACAAAAATCAGACCCGAGAAACGTCTCCAAAATCGCCGACGAGCCATTCGAGCATTTCCCGACGGTACAATCCACCGTCCTACACTTCCCACGTGACTCCTCACAGTGACGGAGAAGCAATCCTCTAAAATCATTCACAATCCCGGCGCGTGGAGCTCCGGCGAAACAGAACAAAGTCTCACGACGGCGATTCCGAACGAAATCTTGCCAATTCACGACGTCTGAGTCCGTTCTAGGATGGAATCCGGTAGGGTACGGTACACCGACGTCAAAATGGTCCCAAGAGTTACGCTCAATAAGGAGGCGCGTGATGTTACGCATACCGGGGATATAAATACAGTTAGATCCCCAATCTTCGTCTTTAGACCTGCGAAAATCCCATGTGATGCGTCCCATGGTAATGAAATGATCCCAACCGTTGGATCTATTCCAATAAGGTTGATCTTTGACCCACTGTGTCATCATTTTACAATGACGGTCACGATCAGCCGCTGCGTAATTGGACCATAAATATTGACCAACCGCGAGTCCAGCGTAGAACGGGATATAAAAAGCCGTAGCTGATTCCGGATCCAAAGTCCGACACCGGTGGTTTAAAATCCGGTTATGGAAAATGATTTCGGTTACGAATTGATCAGTCCAAAACCATGATTGAACCAAATCTTTAGGGATCACGTTGCTCAACGACGTCGCTTCTTGACCAAATCCGTCGTTGGAAAGTGCGTCGCAGCGAGAGCTCCATGGATTGAGATTATCACACTGTTGTAGAATCACTTCGTTGAAGATCTTTGGCATGTCGTAGACGAAGACTCGTCCTGAATCGCATCGTTCGTCAGAGGAGGAAGATAGAGGGGGATTGGAGGAGGCGGCGGAGATGACGGTGGCGGTGGTGGTAGCGACGGCGACAGGAGAAGGGAAGTTTTCAGGGATGTGACGGTGAGGGAAAGGGATGGATCGGAGAGTGAGGAAGAGGATGAGTTGGAGAGAGAGGAGAGAAATGATCAGCCATGTGCAGTGGCTACGAGAGGCGGTGATGTAGGACGAGCGGTTAACGGCCGAGTTTAGCGAGTTGAAGGAGCTTTTCCGATCAATGGCGGTGGAGGTGTCAGGGGTTCTGGATTTTTTGAGGAGATGTTCAGGACTAGAAGGATTTGAGACAGGAAGCATAGTTTATAATTAGCTGAAGATGATTTTAGAATCCGTCGCCGGAAATTGTGGGTCCGTTACGACGACGGAGCTAAAATCTCCGGGGAAAATGAAAATGAGCGTTTGTGTAGTTGTGTTCTTGTGTGGTTCTCGTTGAAGGCGTAAAGCTAACTCTGTGAGAGAGAGAACTTAAGAGTTCTCGAGAAACAGGGAGATTCTGTTTCTTTTACTTTTTTTTTGCAATAAAAATGGAAACTATATTTAATTGCTTTGTTTCCCACCAAACTATATAAAGGTTCACGATTTTCTCCCCCTAACTATTTTAGATTTCAGAATGTAACTCTAAACTGTACAATGTTAAGTAACAACCAATAAATTTTAATTATAGTTAATCAAATATGAGTGATGTACAGTATAAAATCAAAATTATTAACAAAATTCGAAACAATATTCAACTACAAATATTTTGGACTAAAATTCATTAATGTATTGGGTGTCAGATAGATCATGCTAAACCTTTGGGAAGGTTACATAAAAGTTTAATAAGATAGGGGTCCTGATTTTTTAATAGTTCTCAAGGCGTTGGAGACATTACGGAGTGGAAAGAAACTGACACGTGCCTATGGCATTGACCGTCTGTGCCGGCAACCGACAAAGGAAGACCACAGCAGCCGGTGAAGAGTGAACACTTGGAACTTAGTGTAATTGACAACGTGTCTTTGTAGAAGCAGAAACTATTATTCTAGATTTTTTTTTTCTACCAGAGTTTGTGTCAGAAACTAACTATTATTTGCCTCTCAAGTAGTCTCAACCAAGATTTCCATCCAAATCTGGGAAAAAAGAAATATCACATTAGAATCTTTAATTGAAATTATTGCTTTAAATTTAGAAACAATCATCGGATTAAAGTATGGTAACTGATCGTAGAAATTAGGAAAGTTATACAAAAAATATAAGCGTTAGACCATGATTAATGGCAGGTTCTTAAGAAAATCTTAAGCTGGATCTTAGAAATAAATGATTAAAATTAAATCTCACTTAAGCCATTATTGCTAAGAGAGTGTCTTAGCTAAGCAACAAAAACATAGTTAAGATCCATATTTTACAAATATATTATTTAAATATTTCTAAGATTTATTTCTAAGACACTATGGATAATCATGCTCTTACAAACTTACGAAATAATTTAGTCAACAAAACCAACCTAGTAAATGGAAAGAAGAAGATCGTGCATATGGGACAAGTGGCAAAATCAAGGGTCAGGAATTTATAACGGACTAGAAAAGCGGGGAATTGCACCGAAACGGTGACGTTTACGTGTAGTTGACAGATTAGAGTGAACTGTGTTCGATGTTGAAAGAACTTAAGCGCCATGTGAGCTTTGTGGCCATGCCTATTTAATCCACGAGTCATGCCGCATGACGTGTCACATGCTCCAAGGTTTTGCCGACAAAATTTGTTTTATTTCGTGACCTATGTCTAAACCGGAGAAAACCGGATATATGGAGACTAATTTTGGTTCGATCGGTTTGTGTTCAGTCAGATTTTTATTATAAACCCAACAACCCAAGCACATAGTGAACTCGAACTTGATTCGGTTCGGTATTGGACCATCTCTATTGGCAAGCATATTAACTGTTGTTAGTAACATTGAATAAAAATTTCAATCGAAGAGTTCGTTGGAGTAATAACAAATTACAACAAGCGTTAGTTTTATGGGTCAAAGTCTAGGACTAGTTTATTATAGATTTGTCGGTCAAGCTTTCACGAAAGTGAAGACTATTAAAGTTAATATAGAGCTTAGAAAAATAGATAGTGGTATGTGATAATAGAGAAAACAAAAATAATAGCTAGTGTAGCGATCGATGTACACTAGGTCACTCACTATCCTTTGTTTTTTTTTTTATGTTAATGGTTAGCTCTATCCTTTGTTGATAAATAGGAACGAGCATATCGCATAAACTTTTTTGGTTGCTGATAAGTTCATTGAAAAATATCGTGTACCGTACAGTTTGATCTTATAGTCGAATGACAGTTTGAAGAATAGTTCCAAAATGAGAAAACAAAACGATAATTAGTAAAAAGAATTGAGCAAATGGATATTTCTTTAAGGAACTTGTTTGTTGATACTTCCTATAGAACGTACACTAAAATATGATAGTCAATAAATCATAACGTTCTGGCTTGTAAAAAACGAAATTAATCCCTAAACAAATGTTAAAATAGTATCGTCAAAATTCATGGATCCAACTCAAACGCAAAGTTACAAACTTACAATTACCCCCAAACCAGACGACCTATGAGTCAACGTTATAAAATATGAAATATAGTGATTATTCGTTTACACATAATACATGTTTCGCATGATTCGGGTTCGATGCATTTGACTTTGAGCATTGTATAGTTTTCGTTAATTCGGAACGTCATGAACTCATGATTCATGAATTTAGCCGTCTATATGATAGTCAGATAGTGTACGGAAAACTAATTATGTAGTGCAATACTAAAAAGTCAGATTAGTTAATTATATTGTACGGAGATATTTAGTTCAATGGACAGCAGTATTTTGTACACCAATAAAAAATACACAGCAATAAAAATTGCTACGCGTATGAAAATAGTGCGTATAAATATATGTATTACAACAGTATTTAGAGTATATCAAGTATCATCTAACAAATAGTGCGTAAGAAAAAATAACATTGTGATATGTATAATTTGCTTAAGTGCTTTTGATAATACAGACCGAAAAAACTAATATGCATATTGTAACGAAGTCGCATGGAAACACAATTTATGATAAGTTGATAATAAAACAACAAATTGAGATAAAATGTTGATAAACCATGAAAGTGTCGGCGTATGTAAATTAAATGCGGTGATTAATGTGATCATTAGAGCGTGGGTGGCAAACACGGCGGTCTTAGTGGAGATTGATCAGCTGATATTACTCTTACCGGGACGAATCTAATTCAATATCCATGGGACCATGGCTTGTTAAATTAAAAACCTAAGACATACGCAATCTCTAATTCGCTAATATAGTTAATTCTTTAATATTTTTGGACTAATAATGTAATCATATGATTATTAAGTCGCAAAAAGAGTGCTTACCAACCAAAAAAGTGGATTAATAAACTTGGTGGGAAAAGTTACAATACCTTTAATGATTACTCTTGTACCAAGGACACTGGCGAAGCACTACGAGCAGAGAGAAGAAGCTCAATAATGTACTAAAAGTTGTAGATTTTCATAGATTAAATTAAATACACCATAATAAATAGAAAGCTGGTAATGTTATAATTTATGGTTTATGATTTAGATTTTAGAAACGATAGTATGCTTATTGGTAGATGAAAAAAAAAAAAAAGTATGCTTATTGGTAACAATCATAAACACGGAATATGTATATTTGAAATCAAAGGAATGAATGTATGCATTTGGATGTCTCTGAAGAAGATGGACTTGTTAGATAATTTCATACCTCAGTGACTCAGTCAGTGTTAAACTGCTAATAGTCATGGAGCCCAAATTGCTCTAAACATATTATATTCCGAAAGACTTTTATGGAGACGATATAAAGAGTCCAATGGCCCATTAGATACAATGTTCACAATTTTAACGGTTTGTTATTTATAAGTATTGGGCCTGACTTATCTGGTTAATGATACGAAGGAACAAATCCCAATTTGCAAGGTTTTGAAATTTTTAACACGTAGTTGGTAAGAAATACTGAAATAGGCAACAAAAAGAAAAAAAAAAAACCAATTTGAAATCAGACAAAACAATATGTCAAAATACCAACTACGCATTAATGATTAAACATTCCCAAATCATACAAATTCCTGTCATTAAGGAAACAATGGTCAGTATATTCAAAATGATTACAAAAATTCAAACCAAAAATTAAAAACGAGTTCAATTATTTTTGTTATAAAAATAGTAATGTCAACAGAAGACTAGATTGGGAAACCTGAAGCGAGCAGAGCTTTTTAAAAACTTAGTTTTGAACGGCTGGGATCAGATGGTACGATACCCACCGTAAGTTACCCTAGGGATGCAAGCCAAAGGCCCAAATCAGTTACTACTTACTGCCACAACCATCGTCTCAGCCTTTTTGTCTCAGCTTTTTACTAATGAAGCATACAATGTCTTAGCTTGTCACATCTTGCCACGTGTTCACTATTCTCTTCTCTTATTGGCTCTTTCATTCGTAGGCTTCTGTTAATAGATCTCTCTATAACTCTTAACAGTCTTTTCTTTCTCTTTATTTCGTTTTGGTATTATTATTTCGTTTCCAATTGAAAAAATAGAGGAGGAAAACCCTAGTTTTAAGTTTTTAGTAAGTGGAACGTGAACCAATTTACCTCTTTTGTAAAAGTTGAAAACAAATGCCTAAAATGTTTATAACATCAACGAGGTATGCCCACGATATAGAGGTATGTCGCATTTATATACATAGTGGAAACCTACGAGCTTTATCAAAGTATAAACGCGTTTTCTTTAAAAACTCACGGAAAAAATAAAAATATAAATCATAAAATTAGGTCAATAAATTACTTTAGTCAAATAATCAAATGACAGAAAAACCGTAATTGAATAAAAAGGTTAGTATGAAACTATGAATAATGAATTACTGATTTCTTATTGCACAGCCGAAAATTTTAAAAATAGGAAAATTTATAACAGATTAAATGTTCAGTAAAAAAAGTGTGGTCATAATTCTCACATAGGTCATATATAGCTGAACCCATGCATCTTTACAGTCTATAGAAAGTACTAGAGACGCATATAGCTGAACCTATACTATATTCATTTATTAATTTTTTGGTTCTCGTGGATACAAAATTCCTCCAACATTTATTAGAACGAATAAAACTAGTATGATGATAATTAGTTATTTACTTTGTGGTAAACATATTAACGTTGAGTAAACTTCAAAATAGAGTGAAATAGGAGACTAATTTTTTCCCCCTTGGGTTTCTAACTATTCTTTAAATAATTTTGAAGTATTTTAAATTTCATGAATAGAATGTTCGACAACAATAAACAACAAATAATCTGCAGCTAAAACGAAAAATACAGGAGAGTCAAGCGAGATTACATTAATCAACATCAAACTATCTTCAAAGTTCAAATGTAACAACTTAATTTCTGTATAATTTAGTCTTCCTATTTTCTTAAAAAATAGAGAAGAAAACAAAAGTTTGACCGATAGGGCGGTTTAGACCGTATAGTACAACTGTACAACAAAAGGGACTCTGAGACCTAAAGATCCAAAAACTATGCATAAAAAGATACGGTCGGACCAATTTAATCTAACAAGACCAATCCTTATGCTAAACTATTTACCAATACATTTCCATATAACACAACATTTATCATCGTATTATTTTACTTTTGAATTCCCAATAAAGACATCTCCAGGGAAGTTGGATACAACAAGAGAGAATATTGGCTTAATCAAACGATTAGAGTTATCCATAGAGCCTTGGAGCTTTTGTCACATAAATATATGTATTTTTTTTTTTATCTTGGTATATAGTCATAAAGTATATACCAACATGACTCTCATTTGTATTAATCACAAGGTACAATTCCACCAATTTTTTCCGTCTCAATCGTACAACTTTAATTGTTTAATCAATCCATAAAAAACCTACATGTGACATGGTCTCTATAAGATACATAGTAAAAAAACCACATCAACTTACAACAAAATTTAATCATATTCGTTAAAAAAACGAACGGTCGATAAAATTATAACCAAAACCGGTCCAACCGGTTTCCCCAATCACTATCAAAGCATTAACTAACTTTCACAAGGAAAAGCATAGTTCAGTTTATCTACATCGCGTCCCATCCTATTTACCGTGTACTCGAATTATCCACCGTTCGATCGAACACGCGCTACAGATCTAGCGCGTGAACGAGGTTCTTACATAGTGGAATGTTACCATGCATTGGAAAGCGGCGTCTACAACAAACGGCGGGTCATGTCACCGTCAAAATCAACCTTTCTATATTCTTAACGCCGTTACTCTCTCCGTTTACTACAAACGTTAATGCGTGTGAGAGTGAAGATCATGTACTAATTTGAAGTGGCTAATGTTTTCAACGTGACATTATTATCATAGTTAATGGTTGATCAGAGTTTTAAGTAAATGATATAAGTGTGTGTATATAATTGTATACATATATACTCTCACTCTGACAGATTTGTCGTGGTCTTAGTATTCTCTTTCATGGCTAGTTATATAGGACTCTAGTACATTATCTCACTCTCCATTTCTCTCTCTCTTCTTTAACATCTCTGGCTCTGCATTTCTTGCAGTTCACGCTAATCACCTGTGTTTGGTTCCCTTTCTCTCTCTCCAACAATGGCAGAACAAGCCTGAACTTTCGTTCTTTTGTGTTTTGGTTTCCTCTGCTTTGTTGTTTCTGAATCAAACTTCAGCGAGCTTCTTGGCTTATTACCTCAAAAGGAAAGAAGAAAAAAAATGAAGGAGAAGATGCAGCGAATGGTTTTATGTTTAGCAATGGTGATTTTTCTGCTTCTTGGTGTTGCTTCTTCTATGAACAACGAAGGTTTGTTTCTTCTAGCTCTTTTGTTTTGTCTTTTTTTCCCGTGGTCTTTGCTAAAAACTTGATTTTGTGTTTCAAAAATTAGGGTTTAGGTGGGTTTCTTCTTAAACCCCTTGTCTGATTTTTCTGAAATATTGAATCTAAAGTCGCCTGTGTTAGAAGTTATCAAGACTTAAAATCTTCGGTTTCTATCAAACATTTGGTTTCCCCAAGAAAAAGAGTTAAAGTTGAAAGCTTTTTCATACCCAATACTTAGCTCTGGCTTGTTCTTCATCAAATGCATATAAAGATGCAATCTTTTCTCCATTTTCCAAGAAATTTTGATCATGATTAGTACACAGAAGAAGAAAGCCTGTTCCTAGACCATGGAAAGTTTGTATTTTTTCTAAAGCTTTCTCTGTTTCCCGAGAACAAAAACGAAGCTTAATCCTTAGTTTGTGTCCTAGAGAGAAAAAGATATGAAATTTCAAGAAATTCCTTAGTTTGGGTCTATCTAATGGTTTAACTATTTGACTGATGTTTCGCGTTTTAAACGATTTTAATAATCCTTATTGAATATATTTATCAATTTTGAAAATCCACAGGGAAAGCTTTGATGGCGATAAAAGGCTCTTTCAGCAACTTAGTGAATATGCTTTTGGATTGGGACGATGTTCACAACACTGACTTCTGTTCTTGGAGAGGTGTCTACTGCGACAACGTTACCTTCTCCGTTGTCTCGCTGTAAGAACTTTCTTTGAGTTCAATTATTATTGTGTTGTTGAAAAAAGTCTCTCTTTTTAGGTCTTGTAATTTTCTGTTTATTTCTTGAGAAGAAATCTGTCCAGTCTGAATCTTGGAGGGGAGATATCTTCAGCTATTGGAGATCTAAGGAATTTGGAATCAATGTAATGTGTTTTTTTTTTTTGGTCTTTCTTTGTGGATTTGCATGTTTGAAATGTTGTAGATTTTGTTTATAAAGGCTTTATCCAATTGCAGAGACTTGCAAGGAAATAAATTGGCTGGTCAAATTCCAGATGAGATTGGAAACTGTGCTTCTCTTGTTTATCTGTAAGTCTTTCTAATAAAACATAATTTTACAGTAATCAATTTTCAAGTCTTTAGATTTGACGTCCATATTCTCTTTCGTACAGGGATTTATCTGATAATCTGTTATATGGTGACATACCTTTCTCAATCTCGAAACTCAAGCAGCTTGAAACTCTGTATGTGTTTTACTTACACGTTTTTTCCCGATTTTTATTTCCATTTTTGGCTTCTTGTTCATATTTTTTTCTAGTGGATTGTTATGAACCTTTGAACTTGTGGATTTATCAGGAATCTGAAGAACAATCAGCTCACAGGCCCAGTACCAGCAACCTTGACCCAGATTCCAAACCTTAAGAGACTGTGAGTTCTGTAGCTACATCATTTACACATGGGTCAATATTTGGAAATTATTTTAAACCTGTCATTTTTAATTTCTTATCATTATGTTGCAGTGATCTTGCAGGCAATCATCTAACGGGTGAGATATCGAGATTGCTTTACTGGAATGAAGTTTTGCAGTATCTGTAAGTTCATTGGATTCATTTTCTCCATTCTCTTTACACCATAAGAGAAGCTTTTTTTCCTCCTTCTAATGCTTTCTCTCTGCAGCGGTTTACGTGGGAATATGTTGACTGGAACGTTATCTTCTGATATGTGTCAGCTAACCGGTTTGTGGTACTTGTAAGTGGATCCAACGCTCTGCCATCTCTTGACTCTTGTATAGCTCCTGGTGATTCTTTGATTCATTTAAGTCTTGAGTTTTTTTAACTTGTGTTTTGTTGTTTGAAGTGATGTGAGAGGAAATAATCTAACTGGAACTATCCCTGAGAGCATCGGAAATTGCACAAGCTTTCAAATCCTGTATGTGCTCTTTACAAAACATTAGACTTCCAACATATGAGTGTATTGTGGACTCATGCCTTTTGATATTACAGGGACATATCTTATAATCAGATAACCGGAGAGATTCCTTACAATATTGGCTTTCTCCAAGTTGCTACTCTGTGAGTATTGAGACTTTTTAACCTTAGTTTGATCGATGATTGTAAACATGCGGTTATTGAACTGAGAATTGTTCCTTTTTGAAGGTCACTTCAAGGAAACAGATTGACTGGTAGAATTCCAGAAGTTATTGGTCTAATGCAGGCTCTTGCTGTTTTGTAAGTTCAGTTCATATGGAAAAGTAACAACAAATTACATCTCGAATTTGGTCCGTCTAACTTTGTGAATCCTATTCAATTCACAGGGATTTGAGTGACAATGAGCTTGTTGGTCCTATACCACCGATACTTGGCAATCTCTCATTTACCGGAAAGTTGTGAGTCTTTTGTTAAACTCTAGTATCTCATATGTTCAGCTCTTGGCGTATGCATTAACACCTTTTTTTTTGTGTTGAAATAGGTATCTCCATGGCAATAAGCTCACTGGTCCAATCCCATCCGAGCTTGGGAATATGTCGCGTCTCAGCTATTTGTAAGCTTGTTCCAAACTTCAAATCTGTTTAGTTAACTTTTGCATTTCATATACTCATCTTTTTCAGTTTTCTTTTACCGATTTCTCAGGCAGCTAAACGACAATAAACTAGTGGGAACTATTCCACCTGAGCTTGGAAAGCTGGAACAATTGTTTGAACTGTGAGTTTTTTTGCCCTGCTCTAAATTTTTTCACTTGATCTTTTGAAACATTACATTTGATCCTTGTTTTTACTGATCCATTTTCCGACATGAAAGGAATCTTGCCAACAACCGTTTAGTAGGGCCTATACCATCCAACATTAGTTCATGTGCAGCCTTGAATCAATTGTAAGCTATAAGATAAATCTTTCTAAATTCATGCTTTCCTCTTCTTATTCATAAACCTAAGTTCTGCTGCTCTACTTGTTTTCAGCAATGTTCATGGGAACCTCTTGAGTGGATCTATTCCACTGGCGTTTCGTAATCTCGGGAGCTTGACTTATCTGTGAGTTTCAATCAATACAATGCTGTAAGTGTAACATTGCATCCCTCTAAACATTTCTATTGACCGTTGAATCCTTTCGATGCAGAAATCTTTCGTCGAACAATTTCAAGGGAAAAATACCAGTTGAGCTTGGACATATAATCAATCTTGACAAACTGTATGTCTTCTCAATTTTGTTACTTCGTTTGGTTTTATGTTTTAGATTGAATTTGCACCAAACTTATCATCTGTTTTTGTTTCCAGAGATCTGTCTGGCAATAACTTCTCAGGGTCTATACCATTAACGCTTGGTGATCTTGAACACCTTCTCATATTGTAAGTATTTTACCCTTAAAGTTGTAAATTTGTAATGTTTTTCGTGCTAAACTCTTGTGTTTGTTAACTTCTGATCTTTTGCTTTATTGAACAGAAATCTTAGCAGAAACTATCTTAGTGGACAATTACCTGCAGAGTTTGGGAACCTTCGAAGCATTCAGATGATGTAAGGCTCAAAGTGGCTTCTTCTGGTTATATCAAAACCATCCCTTTAACTGACTTATATGTTTTACTTGCAGTGATGTTTCATTTAATCTGTTGTCCGGAGTTATTCCAACTGAACTTGGCCAATTGCAGAATTTAAACTCTTTGTAAGTTAATTATATGATCTCATCATTTGCATTATATACAATATAGAAGTATTAATCTTTTATGTTTATGTGCAGAATATTGAACAACAACAAGCTTCATGGGAAAATTCCAGATCAGCTTACGAACTGTTTCACTCTTGTCAATCTGTAATTTCTTTTGCAAGAGACATTCACTTATGATCAATATTAGCTTTTTGGAAGATTTGTGAATCCAACAATTTCTTTTAAAACGTTTTAGGAATGTCTCCTTCAACAATCTCTCCGGGATAATCCCACCAATGAAAAACTTCTCACGTTTTGCTCCAGCCAGGTTTGAACGTACTCTTAGACAGTAGTCTGTCATTATGATCAATACACATAATCTTTCGATGTAAAACTGAGATCATTACCATTGTATAGCTTTGTTGGAAATCCGTATCTTTGTGGAAACTGGGTTGGATCTATTTGCGGTCCTTTGCCGAAATCCCGAGGTATCTACTAGATTTATCCTCTAAGCATTTTCTTCAATAGATGCCTTTTGTTGTTTATTTGGGCTTACTTGGCTTTCTTTTCTTGTTCTTTTCAGTATTCTCCAGAGGTGCTGTGATCTGCATTGTTCTTGGCGTCATTGCTCTCCTATGTATGATTTTCCTAGCAGTTTACAAATCGAAGCAGCAGAAAAAGATTCTAATAGGCTCCTCAAAACAAGCCGAAGGTAATGATGATGGCTTCATAGTTCTTCTTAACCCATGTTCTGTTCGGTTCGTAGATGTTAATATCATTCTGTTCCCATTCTCAGGCTCAACCAAGCTAGTGATTCTCCACATGGACATGGCAATTCATACATTTGATGATATAATGAGAGTAACCGAGAATCTTAGTGAAAAGTTTATAATTGGATACGGTGCTTCTAGCACGGTATACAAATGTGCATTGAAAAGTTCCCGACCTATTGCCATTAAGCGACTCTACAATCAGTATCCGCATAACTTGCGGGAATTTGAGACAGAACTCGAGACCATAGGAAGCATCAGGCACAGGAACATAGTCAGCTTGCATGGGTATGCCTTGTCTCCTATTGGCAACCTTCTTTTCTATGACTACATGGAAAATGGATCACTTTGGGACCTTCTTCATGGTAAGTTTTTATAACTTTTTTTGGTTCAATTTGTGAAAGAATGATTTGCAGATAAAGTAATAAAATGTTTTGATTCTTTTGGTTACTTTTAGGTTCACTGAAGAAAGTGAAGCTTGATTGGGAGACGAGGTTGAAGATAGCGGTTGGAGCTGCGCAAGGACTCGCCTATCTTCACCACGATTGTACTCCTCGGATCATTCACCGTGACATCAAGTCATCGAACATACTTCTTGATGAGAATTTCGAAGCACATTTATCGGATTTCGGGATTGCTAAGAGCATACCAGCGAGCAAAACTCATGCTTCGACTTATGTTTTGGGAACAATTGGTTATATAGACCCAGAGTATGCTCGTACTTCGCGTCTCAATGAGAAATCTGATATCTACAGCTTCGGGATTGTTCTTCTTGAGCTTCTTACTGGGAAGAAAGCAGTGGATAACGAAGCTAACTTGCATCAACTGGTATATGAATCAAGAATCACTTAGAAGATAGATTATGATCTTTGAACCTTTAAAGAGTTAACTTTGTTTTTCTTCTATTGCAGATATTGTCAAAGGCTGACGATAATACTGTGATGGAAGCAGTTGATCCAGAGGTTACTGTGACATGTATGGACTTGGGACATATCAGGAAGACATTTCAGCTGGCTCTCTTATGCACAAAGCGAAACCCTTTAGAGAGACCCACAATGCTTGAAGTCTCTAGGGTTCTGCTCTCCCTTCTTCCATCTCTGCAAGTAGCAAAGAAGCTGCCTTCTCTAGATCAATCGAACAAAAAGCCGCAGCAAGAGAATGTAGTAAGGAGTCCTGAGGCAGAAGCATCGCAATGGTTTGTTCAGTTCCGTGAAGTCATCTCCAAAAGTAGCATATAAAGATTTCAGCTTTAAAAAGATTCCAGGGTTTGTTTAGTTTCTTGTTTCCCAAGGAAAAAATAGTGTTGCTGATTGGAAGGGAAGGATGGTTTTTCTTATAGTGAATTTAGGGTAGTAGAAGGGGTATTTTGGGTAAGGAAAAAGAAGGTATGGGATGGCATTTAAGACAAGAACAAAGGTTATATGAAAGAAAAGGATATGTGAAGTTAATGTTTGTTTTGTTTTCTCCCAAGAACATGTTCACGAGTTCGTTGAAGTCTTTGGTCTTATGTTTTAAAGGCTCATGTCATTGTCCAACAACGAAAAATTTATTAAAAAATCTCTTTCTCTATGCATATATCTAAACAAGTTTACACGTTTACTTATATATAGACATAGGAAGTGTTACATGTATAAAACATGAAAGAACATCTTCAAGGTGAAGATTATGCAGTGATTAGGTTCCTTGCAACTTCCTGTGAATCGAATTTCCGGCACAAATCCAGGCTCCTGTTCAAATTATATCATCAATGGTGTCTGATATCTATTATGGCCTGTTCTTTTTTGAGCTATTAGAGCTTTAAACGGATTATATATATTAGGATTGCTTATTAGTTACCTATTAATATCTGTCCTGCATGAGCTCTGATTTCCATATTCGATGCGGATTGCTTCACCCAATTCTTCTTTGCTTGATCTCTGTCAAGAAAAGGAAGATGTTGGAGTAAAAAAGGACATTTCCTTGGATTTTTAGTACAAAAAACTGAATTACCTTTGGGTCTAGAGGGGAAGTTTTAGATTCATACACTTGGCAAGTTATCTTTCTGCTGTGATTTTCTTTGACTATCCTAGTTTTTGAGGAATCAATGGACATTAATCTGCAGAAGATGTGGTGTGTGAGAAAGTTTTAGGAAAATATGATTCAAATGAAGTTTCAAAGCAATTGCACTAACGTTCTGGAGTTAGTAGCATCATTCTCTTGTATGACATCGGTTTTAGCCTGCAATGTGAGACATATCATTTAAGTAAATGTAATCATGGAGGCGAAGAATCGACAAAGAGAACAATGAGATTTGAGACTTACATTTGAAGAGCGTTCCTTTGCTCTCAGTGATGTTCTTAGACGAAATGCCTGATGCAGAAATTCTGTTAACGGATGAGGAACGATATTAACACTTTTGGGTAGTAGCTGTTGGAAGATACATTATACCTGAAGATCTTTGGACCGTGGTGTATTACTTTTGGGTAAAGATGTTGAAGAAGGTTCCAGAGTAATCTGCAAGATCCAAAACATAAGCTTCTGAGAATGTGGTAATAAATAAACTGAGATTGAAACACACAAAAGAGAATAAGTACATTTTTGTTCCTAATGTGTCTTTTAGAACTTGATGTCGCAATCTGCTCGGTCTCTGTGTTAACCTTAGACCTGAAACTCTCAAGAGAAAACATGTTATATGAAATCTGAAAGCCAACAAACAAACACTTTTGACACAGAGTCCTTACCTGTGTCTTTCAGATCTTTCTGCAGTTCTAAGATTTGGTTCCTTTGGAACAGTGAGTTTGGTTCTTCTGCTAACAGGAGCCATCTTAAAAGAAAAATAGAATGACTCATTGAACCTATCAGTAGAAAAATATCTAGAATTAGCAAATTCAAAATCCATAAGAGAACACACCTTAGCTTCCATTTTTTGCCTTTTGGTGTCTTGGTTTTTTAACTTAGAGACTAAGATTGGAGATACATTTTCACCAAACTTGGCTAATGATCTCTGACATCTGAAACATCAAAAAAAAAGCTGCTGATGCCACAAAAGAGAACAACAAAAAAACCAAATTCACATAGTAAATGGTTTCTTCATCAGTTTACCTTGTCAGCAGTTGAACAGAGTAAATATCTAATGGTTTGTTCTGCCTTGCAAGCAAAGAAGCCGTAGGTCTTGTCAAAGTAGAGTTACTTGGTTTGGTTTTAGATTTCGATTTTGTCTTGGTCACATCTTTAACGGTTTGGTTGTAATATATGAACCCTGACAACAACAACAAAATAAAAACTAAGGTCTCAAGCATCATTATCTTTTTCTAAACAGTAAAAAATAATGCAGAAACCAAGATTTCAGAATCACTACCGTTGAATTTATCTTTGCGATTGAGACCGGTATCATCGGTATCCAAGGAGGATTCAATGATCTCCACAGGCTTAGAGTCTGATATGGTATTTGTAATTTGCTTAAACGGCTCAAATTTCCAATTGAACTTTGGGCTAAAAGCTGAGATAATTAGCACAAAGCCATTTATAAATATTCAACAAGAAATTTTATGTTATAATATTAAACAGAATCGTTGAATTAGAGTGTGTTCTTACGTGAAGGAGGATAGTTTCCAGAGGATTGAAACCAGGTTTCGATTTCTTCAGTCTCGGAATCAAGTTCAGGTCTAGAGAAATCATAGAACCTCGGTGCATCGAATTCGAAATCAATATCGAATTCAAAATCATCTCCAGAAAAACTTATTGATGATGATTCCGGAACCATAATGGATCCTCGATAATTCCGATCTTAGACGACGGAATCCAGTAGGAGCGTTTCGCATCAATCCAATCGAAAATGTCCCTCTCCTTCTCTCCCTCCTCCTCCTCGTCTTCCTCCTCCTCGAATCGTAGAATCTCTGGAAATTTTCTCCAGATAATTAGAACGAGAGAGAGAGAGGGAGAGAAAATTGGAGATGAGAAGAGCTCTAGTTTTTTTCTTGTGGAGAAGAGAGAGAGAGAGAAGGTAACGGCCCTAAAATTCAGTTGGCGCGGGATGTATAACAATAACAGCTCATATTTTTAGTATTCTCAATTTGGTTCTTTACTTTTCGAAAATCACAAAATAGACCCCTAGTTATTATTTCGTAACCACAACACCAAATGTCTTCATCCAATAATTTGTGGTCTTTAGTTTGTTTAAAAATTTTAAGATTAGAAAGTGTATGTGTATATCTATATTAAACTTTACACAAATTTTCTCCTTTGATTCTTGGTTTTGGCAAGATTTTAAATCTTAAATCTTTGAAAATAGTGTTTTAATTTATGAATTAAACTATGATAATTTCTTGGTTGGAGATATTTAAAGCGTATCTAGACTAGAAATTAACTTCTTCATTTTTTTTTATTATTTCAACATGTCGTAACGCACTTAAATAACAAGATATACATATTTGGCTCAAATATCTTCCATTGTTAAACGTAGAAAGGACAACTAAAAATCTATGTATCATGAAGCAAAAAGAAACTAAAATCTAAAAAGTTATTTTTAGGGGAGAAAATAGAGATTTCAAATGATTAGGGGGAAGAAAACAAATATAGGAAAGAAGCGTTCTTTCTCTGCCTGTAATTTTTTTTTTTTTTTTTTTTTAAACGACTTACCTGTTATTTCTTTCTTGACTAGATAATTTTTTTTTGTTTCCTAAATTCTATCCGAATTTTTTTCAAGGAAAAACCAACGGCTGTGTCCTTCAATCCAGGTAAAGAATCTCGTCCTTTTTCCAGGAAAATTCAAAAGAAATTAAAGTTTCAGCAATTAAAATGATTTTCATTTAAAACAAAAAATTTGTATTCATGTGTTTTCTAAAAATTGAAAGTTTTAGAATTTGTTATTGTTTGAAAAAATGAAAAGAAATTATCTATTGAGGAAAAAAAAAAGACCATCTTCATAGGATTTGATTAAGATAACGAATGCGGAAGAATTTGTTATTGTTTGAACAAATGAAAAGAAATTATCTATTGAGGAAAAAAAAAAGACCATCTTCATAGGATTTGATTAAGATAACGAATGTGGAAGAATTTTGAATGTATTTGCAGAGTTTGGAGATAAATAATGTCCAACTCTCAAATCGAATCAACTTGTGCATCTCTTCTACAAGAACTTGAGGTTTGTGATGATTGCTTCAACTCCAAGAAAACGCTTTTTGTTTCATACAAAAACTATATACATTTTTGATTTAAATTCTGTTTCTGATTCAGATTATATGGAACGAGATTGGAGAAACTGAAACAGAAAGGGAGAAGATTTTGATTGAGATCGAAGAAGAATGCAGAGAAGTTTACAATCGAAAAGTCGAAAAGTGTGAAGAAGAGAAGATTCGGATAAAACAAGAGATTGCGGATTCAGAAGCAAGAGTTATTGATATATGTTCTGTAATGGACGAGCCACCAATTCTTGGAAGACAACATCAATCTGATCAACAAAATGGGAGAAGCTTGAAAGATGAGTTAGTAAAGATTCTTCAGAAACTTGAGGAAATGGAAAAGAGAAAATCAGAGAGGAAGAAACAGTTTATTCAAGTAATTGAAGATATAAGATGTGTAAGAGATGAGATTAATGGAGAATCTGATGAGAGTACTTGTTCATTTGATTTTTCGGTTGATGAATCCGATTTATCTCTTAAAAAGCTTGAAGAGTTACACAGAGAGCTTTATACACTTCAAGAACAAAAGGTTTTTCCAAACTCTTACCTTAAATTTGATTTCATTTCTTGATCAAAAGGTTAACTAATGTCCTTTAATGTTTATTTTGGCTCAGAGAAACCGGGTGAAACAGATTCAAGATCATCTAAAAACTCTCGAATCGCTTTGTTCGGTTCTCGGTTTGAATTTTCGAGAAACTGTCACCACGATTCACCCAAGTTTAGTAGAATCTGAAGGGTCAAGAAGTATAAGTAATGAAACACTTGACAAGTTAGCTTCATCAATAAAACAATGGCATGAGATAAAGATACAGAGAATGCAAGAAGTGAGTTAAGTTTTTACTATCTTAAAAGCTCTGCTCTTTGTTTCTTATATATAAGCTCTTTTATGGATTGCAGCTTCAAGATCTCGTGACAACGATGCTTGAGTTTTGGAATTTAATGGATACACCAGCAGAAGAACAACAAAAGTTCATGGATGTTTCATGTAATATAGCTGCTACTGTTTCAGAAATAACCAAACCAAATAGTCTTTCTATAGATTTGCTAGAAGAGGTAACTTCACAACAACTTTACATCAAATCTTTTGTAAGCTTTCTGAGACTTTTTTCGCCGATGGATTGCTTTAATGTTTAAAAGGTTAAAGCTGAGCTGTGTCGGTTGGAGGAGTTGAAGTGGAGCAAAATGAAAGAACTTGTTCTAAAGAAAAGGTCAGAGCTTGAAGAGATATGCAGAAGAACACACATAGTTCTTGAAGAGGAAGAAGATATCGCGGTTGAGAATGTAATCAAAGCCATTGAATCAGGAGATGTGAACCCTGAAAATATACTAGAACAGATCGAGTATCGAGCTGGGAAAGTGAAAGAGGAAGCTCTAAGCAGAAAAGAGATTCTTGAAAAATCAGAGAAATGGTTGAATGCTTGTGTGGAAGAGAATTGGCTTGAAGAGTATAATCAGGTTTGTCTTTTTTTTTGTTCATAAAAGATTTTCAATTCTTACATTTTGTGGTTACTTACGATTTTTTGTATAGGATGAAAACCGATACAACGCTGGAAAAGGATCTCATTTAATCCTCAAACGCGCAGAGAAAGCTCGTGCTCTTGTTAATAAACTTCCAGGTTTCATATAAATGACCCAACACATTGTTATCTTTGTGAATGCTTATCTTTACTAAAAAACTTTTTCACTCTTCTTAGCTATGGTTGAAGCATTAGCTTCCAAGATTACTATTTGGGAATCAGAGAAAGAATCTGAGTTTCTCTTTGATGGTGTATGATCTTATCTTCTTCCCTCAAACAAAAAACCCTTATAGGTTTTCTCTTTACATACTTCATTTAATCTTTTAATCTGATTACTTCATTCAGAATCGCCTACTTTCGATGCTCGAAGAATATACGGAACTCAGAGAAGAGAAAGAACAAGAACGCCGCAGAAAAAGGGTATTAGTTTTACATGCAAATCATATTTTTAATCAATTGTTACAAGAATCACCAAGAACAATGCTTGTTGGATTTTGGTGTTTATAGGATCTGAAGAAACTTCAGGGTCAAGTGATATCAGAGCAAGACAAAGGAAGTGTTACGAAGCCTCAAAGCGCGAAAAAGGGTCTTAAAGTGTCAACTAACAAGAGATTTGTCTCATCACCTCACACTCCTGGAACTGATTCGCCTCAGTCAGCAAAATCGAATCAATATTTTACTCCTCTATCACGCCATGGCTGAAAGATGAGCAGAGATTTCAAAAACAGTCTTTTTATAGATCAACTGGTAATAGTTTCTTTCTTACACACAGAGATTATGTACAAGTATAGTTCTTATTCGCTGGCGTTTATATGAGTATGCAGCCATAGAGACAAGAGATCAGAGAGAAATAACATTCTCACAAAACCTGCTAATTCAAAGAGAAGGTCTCAAAACTGATGATTGGATCCAAGTGTGCATTATACACTGATTGTGTTGAGGAAAGATTAGTTTGACTTTGACCGACCAATGTACTTGCTGCAAAAAACAATGTCAATTTTTTCCTAACATCTTTTGAAAGTTTGTTCTCTTCATGATATGTAAATACTTTTAGTTGATTTTGTAATTAACATCATCTAGAAACTTTGACGCATAGTTAATCTTATTACAATTATTACATGAGAAATAAATCTAAATCTTACGCTTATTTAGAAATTTAATTGGTCTTAGTATTGGTATTCAAAGCAATTATCTTTGGTCAACCTTACTTCAAAAGTGATTAACTGGAAAAAGACAAAGGAGATTGTCAGAAGTTTGGTATTCTTTATTTATTTTCCTTTTCTTTTTGAAATTTTACTTTATTTTTTCTTCGTATTTCCGTTTTATTTAATTAGAAATATTAAATTTCCAAGACGGACGTGGATCTTTCCCTAAACCGAAATCAATACTTTGATTTTTGTAATTATTATATCGATTTTCAACTAATTAAATCCTTAATATTCGTATTAAATAATACAACTGTCTACATGATATTTTTATTATATATTATCATTTCTTTTCCTGAAATTTTCCATTTTATTTATTTAGAGGTTCCTTTTTTCTTTGCAAAAACCCTAAATTCATTCTTCTTAGAGAGAAAAAATTATATTCGTTTGTGAAATTTTTAGGGGATATTGCATGTAATTTTGGGATTTTTGAGGTTTAATCTCCATTGAAAAAAGCTCTGGCATTTCTCTGCTACAGTGTTGGTTTTCAGCTGCAGAATTGTTGAAAAAAAAAGTAAATCTAAAAACTCAAATCTCTTGTCTTTGATCTTTGATCCTTTTGAGCTATTTCATATCTCTTTGTCTTTTTATTGTTCTTACTTAGTACAAGAAGAAAGAAAAGAAACCTTTGCTTCTTCTTCATCTGAAAAAAGCTCAATTTTTTTTTTTTTTTGTGTGTGTGGTAATCAGAGTTTGGTGAATTTCAAGAGCAGAGTATTTTGTAATTTTGGGAAATTTGTGGGTAATAAGAAAATGGAGGAGAAAGGTGGAATAAGTCCAAGTGGGGTCGTCACAGTTAAGGAAGATGAAGCTTTGGTTCCAAGAACAGAGTTTCAACAAAACCCTAGCTTTCTCCAATTCGTGAGTCCCACGACGGTAGTGACTCCTCTGCCTCTTCCACCAGCTCCGTCTCCGGCTCCGGTTCCAGCCACCGTGACTCCTGACTCAGCCGCAGCATCGACCGGATCAGATCCGACGAAGAAGAAGAGAGGAAGACCGAGGAAGTACGCACCAGATGGAAGTCTAAACCCTAGGTTTTCGAGACCAACTCTGTCTCCAACTCCAATCTCATCTTCGATTCCATTGTCTGGAGATTATCAATGGAAACGAGGCAAAGCTCAGCAGCAGCATCAGCCTCTTGAATTCGTCAAGAAATCTCACAAATTCGAGTATGGAAGCCCAGGTAATTAAAAGTTGAAACCTTTGTGTTTGAACTGTTTGCATTGGTTTCAGTGAGACAAGATCTGATCTGGGTTTTGGGTTTTCTTGTTGAGTGATTTTATGTTGTGTGGATTTTGAGATGTTGGGAAGTGGGACCAACATAACTGGATTTTGCTGGGTACACTTTTGTCTGAAGAAGCTATTACAATCAGACCAGTTAGAGACAGAGAAAGGGAATCTGATGATGCTGACCAAACAAAAACAGAAATAAAAAGATGATTTTTTCTTTAAAAAAAAAAAAGACAGGATAATCTCTGTCTCTTTCTTTTTATCTTAGAAGATAAGTGTGTCTAATTGTGGATTAAGTTGTTTAGCAGATCTTACGATTTCTCATTATCTGGTTAAATCTGTTTTTATTACTGTGTGAATAAAAAGAGATTTAGATGTTCTTGCAAGTTAGTTGGTCTTTGTTTTGAATCATTGAGTTAGTTGCTTGAGGATTAGGATTAATTAATTAGCTGATTAGTCTAATGCAAATTCTGTTTTACTATCTCTTGCAGCTCCTACTACTCCTCCTCCTGGACTCTCATGTTATGTGGGTGCAAATTTTACGACCCATCAATTTACTGTCAATGCCGGTGAGGTAATAAATTGCCCACAACGCATTCTTTTGATTTCTTTCTTCAACACCGTTCTTGTAACTCAAGCTTTGATATTGGATTCTATCTGTCTTTGTTTGACAATTTCTTGTATCAGGATGTGACGATGAAGGTTATGCCGTATTCGCAACAAGGATCTCGAGCTATTTGCATTCTTTCTGCAACTGGTTCGATCTCCAACGTCACTCTTGGTCAGCCTACCAATGCAGGTGGCACTCTTACATATGAGGTAACAAAACATTGAATCAAATTTCGCTATTTCCCCGAAAAATCGCTTTGAAACATTTCGCGAGTAAAACTGTTATTGTCTTTTTCTTTTCTAAGGGTCGATTTGAGATACTATCGCTATCTGGTTCCTTTATGCCTACTGAAAATGGAGGAACAAAAGGTCGGACTGGTGGGATGAGCATTTCTTTAGCCGGACCAAATGGCAAAATCTTCGGTGGTGGCCTTGCCGGTATGCTTATAGCAGCCGGTCCTGTTCAGGTGACACAATTTGATTACAGAAATGAAACATATTTACAGATTCAGAGTACAGAAAACTCGGATTTTCGCTGAAATTCCCTAAAGTCGTATTATTTGTTACAGGTGGTAATGGGAAGTTTCATTGTGATGCACCAAGCAGAACAAAATCAGAAGAAGAAACCTCGAGTTATAGAGCCTTTTGCTCCACCACAACCACAACCACCATCACAACTGCAACAACAACCTCCTACTTTCACCATAACCACCGTGAATTCATCTTCTCCAGCTGTAACCACCGTAGAGGAGCCGAAACAACAACCTTACGGTGGTGGTATTGTGAGACCGATGGCTCAAGTGCCTTCTTCATTCAACAACGACAACTCAACTATGAACAATTTCACACCGCCCTATCACGGATACGGGAATATGAACACGGGTACTAACAAAGAAGAACATGAAGACGACGATGGTGGTGAAGATGATGATTCGGGCGATACTAGGAGCCAATCTCTTAGTGGTTGAGCAATTCTCGGATTAAAGTCAGAAAGTTTTCTTGTGTAGAAAGGAAGGGAGCTTAAAGGATTCAGCTTTTCTTTGCTTTTTTAGAGGTTTGTTTTAGTTGTGTGAGGGTTTTCTTCTTTTGTGTGTTTTCTAATTTCTAGCAGTTTTTTTTTCTTTGTGATCGGTTTAGATTTAACTATGTCGAAGTCATAGACTAAACGATGTTCTTATTGTTGAGGTCATTGGGATTAAAATTTAGTAAGACTTCTGTTATATGGTTCATATTCGTGCAAATTTACCCCAATCATAAGATTCACTACAAACAAAAGTTTTTGAATTGTATGATACAGTGTAGTAACACTTACCTCAAAATCCTACCTGTGATTCTTTATTTGTTACAATAAGCCATTTCTCAACGTTATTAAATCATTCATAAGTTTAACATTTGCTTCAAGTCAAGATTCTTTGAGTAATTGCAAACACCAAGTTTCAGTGGATTCAGGGTTTAAATTGTAACAAATAAAAAGTCAATAAACAAAGGAAGAAGTGGACATAAACATAACAAAAATAGTATTAGGTAACATTTATAATAACTGAGGAAATACAGGGGGCTCAATAATAAATACAAACTCTTTGCTAATTCTCAAAACCCTTCCCTTTCCTTTATCGCAGTCGCTACTGGCCTCCGTTGGTCTTCATCGTGACTCTCTTCTCGCCATTAATTCCGATTAATCGGAGAGTTTCGACTTCAGGTAATCAAAATTCGAACTTTTTGTCTTTGTGTTTTAAGTTGTTTATTGGGTAGTTACTAGATCTTCTCTTTCGATTTTTGTTTCAGCGTTCGTGCGATTCAACGTTTGATTTGAAGAATCAGTAGCAATGTATAACCTTAGTAGGATCATTTCTCGTCTCTCCTCGGTTTCGCTTAACCCTAGCACGAGAGCGTCTGGGTTTCTGACTGAGAACGCTTCCGCTTCATCGAAATTCTTACAATCTGCTACGAATCGAGCATTTTCTGCAAAATCAGGATCTGATGGAGTTGGAGGTGATGATAATGGTTGGGATATTTCAACAGGAGGATCATTTGGTGGTACAGGATCTGATGATCTTGATTGGGATAATAAATCTATGTGGTCTACTGGTTTAACTAAGGAGCATTTTGATGGTGTCTCTGTTGGTCGTCAGAAGAATGCGGCGAATCCTTCTTCTGATAGTACCGCTTCTGATTCGGGTGATGCAATGAGCAAGTTGGGTCCAAAGGAAGTAGCTTTGGTTAATGAAATGAACGAGTATGATGATATGCTTAAAGAGATTGAGCAAGATAATAGGCAAGGCAGGGCTTTTGTTGATGGGATTAAACAGAGAATGATGGAGATTAGTGTGTTGTTGAAGCAAGTGAAAGAGCCTGGAGCTAGAGGGTCTTATCTTAAGGACTCTGAGAAGACTGAGATGTATAGATTGCACAAAGAGAATCCTGAGGTGTATACGGTTGAAAGGCTTGCTAAGGATTATAGGATTATGAGGCAGCGTGTTCACGCCATTCTTTTTCTTAAAGAAGATGAAGAAGAAGAGGAGAGGAAGCTTGGTCGTCCCTTGGATGATTCTGTTGAGCGTTTGCTTGATGAGTACCCTGAGTAAGTTACTTTACATGGAAACTATTATTTCTGTTCATACCTTGGTATATGCTACTTCAGTTTTACATGAATTGAGATGGAGTAACTGTGTGTGCTCACTTTTATTTATTCTCTATGGCCACAATAGTTTTTTAAGTTTTGCCATTTTTCCATATCTTAAGATTAGTGTTGCCTTGTTAGTGAACGTTTATGATACAAACTTGGATAGGTCGCGGAATCTGTGGCTTTGTCTTCCTTAAACCCTCATCTAGTATTGGTATATCATGCAGGTTCTTCATTTCGCATGACCGGGAATTTCATGTGGCCTCACTTAATTACAAACCCGACTTCAAGGTCATGCCAGAAGGATGGGATGGTACAATCAAAGATATGGATGAAGTCCATTATGAGATCTCAAAGAAAGAGGATGACATGCTTTATGAAGAATTTGTCCGAAAGTTTGAGTTCAACAAAATGAAAGTAAGGCCCTTCTTCTGCCCACTTGAGTATGCATTGACTTAGTAAACCAATACTACATTTGGTCTATTGAGACATTTTCCCACTTATATGTTAATTATCAAGTGACCTGCTTGCAACTTAGAATGAAAACTTGAGACTAGACGCAAGTTTGGAACCCTCTACTCTAAATTTGGTAGTTTGTAAGATCAACCTTGAAAGGCATAGCTTAAATTTCTCGGGGAACTTCCTTAGAAAGATTGAAGGTAATAATGGTATTGCTACTTGCTTGTGGATTGTTTACAAGGTTATTGGTTTGATAGATCCACCCCATTTGATTGATATATAATATCAGCTTTCCTGCTTGAGTTCTTGTTGAGTTGTTAGATGTACTTTGGTCATTTCTCCTTGTTGATAACAAACGTTTCCTTACCTTTTGCTCTCTAAACCAGTGGAGAGGAGAAGTGAAGTGCCACAAGTACAGTAGGAGGCGTTCATCAGACGGATGGAAAATCACGGTTGAGAAATTGGGTGCTCAGGGAAAACGTGGATCGGGAGGTGGCTGGAAATTTGTGAGTCTTCCAGATGGATCAAGCCGACCACTCAACGAAATGGAAAAGATCTATGTTAAGCGCGAAACCCCGCTTCGTCGCCGTAAGATCCTCCCCTGATTTCATAAGAACCAGACTCCATCAATGGTTATATCAGGATGGGAATGTTATGTCTCCTGTGTGTTCTTGTTTGATTCTATTTTGCTTTTGTTTGATGTTAAGTTGAATAGTATAAGATGGGTAGCTTTTGTTTTCGTTTAGAGCTCTCTAACTTTATCAGTGAGGTTCAAATAAATCATAAGACCCATTATTGTTTGAATAGAATAATGCTCTTGTATTATAAGAATTCTCTATCATGTTTAAGGTTCCTTAATCATTTGAGAAGAAGTCAAACATGATTTAGAGAAGCTTTATATATTTGTTGTGGTACGTTTAGCAAAGCTAAAATAAAATTATGGTTGTCTTTGTCTAGGAAGCATGGTATCGACGGAGATGATGCGTTACTCGCCCGGGAACCAGAAGCGGAGGTCGAAGCGGAAACAGAAGCGGAAGGAGAGGCGCGTTGAATGTCTCAAAGCTGGCAAGCAAACGTGATTCCCAAAATGAGGTGTTTGGAAGCTTGGAAACGTTGGTGGTGTGGATCGGTAGCGTCAACGATGGCTATATCACATTTGACGGGCTTACAATTTTATAATTGGGTTGATAACTTGTTTTGTGGCCCAACTTACCTTTGCACCATATAAGCATTTAATGTTTGGTATTTTAGGTTTAGGTCATTTCATATTTATTAATATATTCAAAGAAACATATAAAATAAAAAAGATAAATCAGCACCCATGATTTTAAAAAAAAAAACAGTAATAAAAGATGATGTCTCCTGGAATGGTCGAAGCAGAATCTGTAGCCACTCACTGTTCTTTATCGTTGTCTCCTCCTCAACATTATCCCAATCCCACGTTCGCTTTTTTCTTTTTTTTTAGTTTGGATTTTATTTTTCATCAACCATAAAATCATTGAATAGATCCATTCTTTTATCCCACCAATCTTTGAATTATTTACATCCCATTTACAATATTCAAAATTTAGTTTTAATACATGTATACGATCCGGTGATTTGATCTTGGTCGAAAAAAACAATCTTTTAAGACTTTTCTGAAGTATGTCGCGACGATAAAGACTATTGAGGATTCATGTCTTATAATGTCTGTTGTGTAGTGCATGCATCGAACTCCAATTATACCTACACGTACGAATTTAAAAGTTTTGTGCTATTTAAATTTGTATACCTAGGTTAGGTATTATCATACGATCTTAACATTTCTAGGGTATTTTGAACGTGGAACCAGAAAAATATATGAAATCGGATGTATTAGAAGTTCTCTAAATATTTATTTTGCTATTCTTTCTTATGTTTTTGGCAAACTTTTGATAATTTTCTTTCTTATCTATTTGTTTGTAATCTACAATTTCAAATCAACCAATAGGAACTGTTTCGAGTTGCACTTGGACCACAATATCTTACACTAAATTAAAACTCGAACCACATCAAAATCTTTTCGGAGCTTTGGACCAGTTCCGTCTGACCAATTTAACCTTTCATTACCCTTATCTTGATAGGGTACTATAAAGCAATAATAATGACAGATGCATGAAACTAGTTCAAGTGGAAAAAGCATCGTGCACTGATATATCTTCATCAATTGCAAGAACATGTCTCAATAAACCCAAAACCATTCAAACATTTTTTTCTGAATCATATCTATCAGCATGGGACACTGTGGCTCTTTCTGCCTTTGGATTCAACGCATCCTTCATGATCTTTTTTGTAACTGCATCTCATTAGTAGCAATCACCACCTATTCGAAATAAATTTATGTATAAGATGTCGATTTAAAGTATTTAGTAAAAATCAATTAATGTTTTCTACAATAAGATTAATGGATTATATATAGTCGGACGCTTGCCAAAACCCAAAGAGAGTGGATATGTTTCACCATAAGCTTAACATTAATTTCTCAGTCTTGGTTTGCACAATGATTAATGCATAATTAGATTAAGTCTATATGAAGCTTCATGGGAACCCGTACGAGAGAGGACGGTCACTAGATTGTACAATCAAGAACGTAATATATTTATTTATCCATTAATCTAAACCGTACGTTCTATGGCTGATTAGTTTTATGAAATCAAGAATCTAATCTTGTAAGAAAAACTGTAGGCTTATTGTCAGAACAAACATGGACCCATGTTCTCTATGTCCCCAAGATGTGTACCAATCTCAATTCACTTCTTTTGTTGCACTATTTAAAAAAAAACTTTTATTTTATATTTTTAATCTCATTGAGATCTCCATTGCCCCTGCTGCACAAGACATTACAGCTCATTTTTTCCTTATAATTCAATCTCTCTTTTTTCTACTAATTAGTTTAAACTAATCAAATTTGGCTAATTAGCGTTGAAACTATCTATCATATCAAAATGTAAATAGTTTTTGTGAGTATGCATGTATGCATGTTCCAACATCTATATTAATGACTAACTTTTAAGTCATGATTTTCTTAAAGAGTTTTTATTTTGTATCTATGATTGTATTACACACAATATTTATTTACCATTGTTTAGCATGTAAACATGTGTTTAAAAATTACCTAGAACATTCATTGCCATACTATACACTGATGCACAGCAAAAAAAAAAATTAAATCATTAGAACCAGTACATGTTATTGCCCTTTCCTACTCGTATATTTCGCCAATATAAATATTTTCTAGTATTTCTGATTAATTGGGATGCACATTTCAAAGTTAATTATTAAATGCCACTATGAAGAATCCTTGAACATAGTCTAATTCAGTTTTAAGATCATAAGGAACATTAACAGTGACAATAGCTAAGGTCTCTCGACAATGAGACAATCCACTTTTTAAATACAAGATATATACCATATTGTATACATATGTAGGATACTATTACAACTTGACCAAATTTATTCAATTTCTCCTCCTCTTTATATCAATAAGAAACTATTCATGATACTGGACCAGCCTGTTTGAATCTTGTCCCATCCACAAATCTCCGATTATATAAATAAAGAACCTTCACCCCTAAAACCAAAACCATCATCAACAACTTCAAAACTTTCTAAGCAAGAGATTGAAAGAAAATCGAATTTCTTTCTAAGACTCTCAAATTATCTAAAAAGAAAAATGGCTTTTTGGTCTGCTGAGAATGCTACTAAAGCCTATCTTAGTACATTGAAAACGGTAAGAGTTTTTATCCTTAAAACCAAAAAAACTACAGGTTTTGTTTCATACTACGATAAAAGATTAGTTAATATTGTTTGCCTAGTTTATTTCTTGGATTAATGTCACATTTTAACATATCTCTCTATATGCATTTTCAGGATCAAAGGACAAAAGAACCAAACGTGGCCGAATTCATATCAGCCCTAGCGGCCGGCAATAGCGCCAGAAAGATCGCTGTGGCTTGCGCCGGAGCAGCAAACGCCGACATACTCGTTGCCCTAATCGCGGCGGCTAACCAAACGCGTGGTCGAGTTGTATGCGTTTTACGTGGTATCGAAGAACTAATCATATCCAAGAAAATGTTGGAACCATCAGAGATTCATCAGATACAATTCGTAGTCGGAGAATCTAACGACGACACTCTAATCAATGATCATTTCGGAGAAGCAGATTTCGTTCTCGTGGATTGTAACCTCGAGAACCACCAAGAGATCGTTAGAAAGATCCTTAGTCATCACGAAGAAAACGCAAGAACCGGCGGTAGAAGCGGTATGGCGGTTGTGGTGGGTTATAACGCGTTTTCGAGAGGGTCGTGGAGGTTTAGCGATGGGAGGAAAACGCAGTTTTTGCCAATAGGAGAAGGGTTGCTTGTGACGAGGGTCAACGATAATCAGAAGATGACGATGAAAAATCACCATCGTGAGGAAGTGAGGAAGAGTCGTTGGGTGGTGAAGGTTGATAAGTGCACTGGAGAGGAACATGTGTTTAGGGTTAGGGTTCCAAGAGGAGAAGCCATTATTGAGGCTTAAGTTTAAATCTCTTACATTATCGGGTACTTTAGAGCAAAGATCACCTCTGTGATGGTTCAGACGAGTGAAAGTAGTAAGAATTAAGATTAGTTATTTGTATTAGTAATTATAAGAGTTTTGATTGGTATTGGAGTGTTTTGTGTGGTGAGAGAAGAGTGAAGAAAGTCTATGTTTTTCAAGTAAATGACTTTTTTTTTGTAAGTGTAAATATGAAAAGATGTGTTTTGTTTTAAATTTCTTTCTGATTTTTTTTTTTTTTTTTTTGTCTTTTCTTGAGCATATGTACACGCATTGTTGTTCTTCAGATTTTGGATGTTTAGCAAATAAAATATTAAAAAAATGCACATGCATGAGAAGATGGCATCTGATGAAACTAATATAATGAAACATTAAAGTAATCGTATGTATTTAGCTGTCTTATACAGATTCTCAAAATAGATGTAGACGTCTAATATTGAGTTGTTGAGCTAAATTTTTGTTGACCCTATTAATTAAAAACCGACAAGCACGTCAACCAGATATATTATTATTAGTTTACTTGAAGACATGTATTCGTTTGCCTTCAAATTGTTTTTTTTTTTTTTTAATTATTATCACCGTTACGTTTAATATAAAACCAAAAAGAATATAGTGAAATCTGTAAAGACGAAATATAAACGTAATTCTTATTAATGAAGATGAACTATATATAACTCGTATGTGATTTTGTTTTTTCGCTTAATCATTGTTTTGAGTGTCTGATTTGGAATCACACTATGTCATATAAGTTCATCATCTCTAAGGAATATGGTTTTATTTTGGTCTGAGTCTTTCGACTTTTGGTCGTTCCATTTCTCATTGAATCAAATCTATATGCTCAAAGGTAAAACAAAATCTTCTACAGTACTATATTAAAAAAAAAAACTTGTACAGTACTTATATATAGATATAGGATCCAAATTCTCATCGACCTAAACTTATAGTTAAGTCATGAATTCAACTAGGCTTGTACACATAGCTGGGAGGCACCAAACAAACTACTTCTTCGAAGTAGACAAGTCGTAATGAAATGTATTTTATTTATATCAACCGACATACATGTACGTTAAGAATTATGTTATACAATAAAAATAGATAACAATTTGAAGAGAAGAGTCGTTGTTGACAATGATCCGTTCATTAATATATGCATTGTCACAATCTCCATATGTCCCATAACCTTCCCCTATCCCCATGACCACCCCATCTCTTCCTTATCCATCATCTCCCACACCTCATCACTCTCAAAGACAACGACATTTTTCACTCATATATATACATACATAACAAAAAACCATTCGAAACAATACAAATCAAACAAACATAACTTAAATGAAAAAAAAAAATGAAAAAAAAAAAACAAGGGAAATGGACCATCAGAGAGACTTATCTCAATAACATAATGGGCTTATGGTTTAATACATTATGGGCTTAGGTAACGAAGCCCATTTGATTAAAGCCTTGTAGTGTTCTTCAGCAGTAGAAAGAAGAAACCCTAAGAAAAACCCTGCCAGAAATTTCAGTTTTTTGACGAACTAACTGATTCTTTGTGATCGGAAAACATGGTGGTTGGTCTAAGAGAGTTCACACTCAGAACCGGAGATGGCTCCGGAAAACCGGTACTAGACGAATCTAACGGCGAGGAACTTATGCACGTTCAGACTTCCGTCGCCGTCGCTCTCGGAAACCGTCCCGTTGAGTCTCCCGGAACTCTCTACATAACTTCCAGGTGAATAATTACTCAGAACCTAGTCCTTCTCGATTGAGATAAATGTCGTAGCTTAATTTGGTGTTTGATTTCAGGAAATTAATTTGGCTGAGCGATGTAGACATGGCTAAAGGTTATGCAGTTGATTTCTTATCGATATCGCTTCACGCTGTTTCTCGAGATCCTGAGGCTTATTCTTCTCCTTGTATCTATACTCAGGTATTGGAGACTTGAAATTTTTTAGGTTTTGTTAGACTTACTACTAAAAAGGGGAATTATGTTGTTCTTGTTGATTTTGATTAGTTCTTAGACACACACAAACTTATGTGTTTGATGATTTTTTCAATTGCTTGTGAGAGGTGTGATTAAGTCTTCTCTGTTCTCATTTTGCTAAGTTTGTGGTTTCTATTGTGAAGATTGAAGTTGAAGAAGATGAGGATGATGAGTCTGATACTGAATCTACTGAAGTTTTGGACTTATCAAAGATCAGAGAGATGAGGCTTGTTCCTTCTGACCCTTCCCAGTGTGAGTTTTTGTTTAGCAATCTTTAGAGCTATTTGAATCGTTTGTTTCACTATATAAGAGTCTCAGATATCCTTTTGTCTTGTCTTATGAAAAAGTGGAGACGCTGTTCGATGTATTCTGCGAGTGTGCTGAGCTGAATCCTGAACCAGTTGAAGGTAAAAACATATAATCACAGGTTTACTACTATCACTAATTGCAATTTTTTTGTTCCCTAGCCATTTACATTTTTGGTGTCATTGCATATTTTAGAAGAAGAAGAAGAAAGTGGACATAATTGGGTGTTTAGTGCTGATCAGATGGATGTTCGTGGAGGAGGTTTGTTTTCATACAACGAGAGACCGAATTCAAGAGTGTGTTAATGTATTCATCTTGAATGTTATGAAAGAAATGTGATGGTTTTCTGTGTTTTGTTGACCAGCAGATGAAGATGCAGAATGGCAAATATCTCAGAGTCCGACAAGTGTAATTGGTCATTCCAATGGAGATGAAGGTCTTGCTCAGCCTATGCTTGAGGTAATATAAACATCTGCTTATCAATACTCAATTTTTTTTTGTTTTAAAAAAATAGCTGGTTTCATCTGACTTTTGTGTTCACACTGCAGCTCCAAATCAATGATCAGAGGTTTGAGGATGCTGAAGAGATGGTTCATGAAAGTGAGACCAAGGATCACTAAACAGTTCACAATTGTACTCGAAAACATAGTTATGTTTTATTTTAATGATCAAAGAGTTGTACTATGCTAAACTATAAAATTATTATGTTATTATTAGTACTTTGCTTTTCAAAATATGTCTAGTCAATAGTTTTAATCTTTAACGTAATACATCTCTAAAATTGAATTCAGTAGAAGTAATTCCGATTGCAAGTTGGCTACTTCATGAAGTTATATCAAGAAGGTCGAAGGATCTTAAATTGAGAATAGAGCAAGCAATTATAATATAAAATTATAAATCTTCAAAATCTATTCAATTAAGAAAACACAAGAACTTAGGTTTCACTACAACAAAAACATTTGTTTATGCAACTCAAAAGGAGTGTAGTTACGAACCGAGGAAAAGAAGATTGTTTCTTAAAGAGAATTTGAAGAAAAGAGATAACAAAGCCACACTAGTAGGGTTGATCTACGAGTCCGCGATGGTAACCTCAACTTCAACACCAGGTTCAATGGTGATGGAAGTGATCTGCTTGACCACATCAGGAGAACTGAAGAGATCAATCACTCGCTTGTGTACCCGAAGTTCAAATCTGTCCCATGTGTTGGTTCCTGTTACAACACCAAGTTAAAATAGTCTCAGCGAATGTGAAGACACATGCATAGACAGAGTATAAAACAGTATCGATCAGATGTTCTAAGACTTAATATCCTTTGTTTAATCAAGTGAATGAACTATAGGAATGGTTCCAAAACTCAAGCTCTAGTGTTTCTGAAGACATAAAAGATGAGATAATCATAACCATACCTTCACCACAAGGAGCTTTTCGAGTAGTGATCTTTAGAACCTTGGTTGGCATTCTCACTGGTCCCTTGACTCTAAGTCTCTTGTCCTTAGCTCCACGGACCAAATCAGTGCACACTACATATCATTTTGCAACAAATGAACAAAAAAAATGATTCAGCATTTGAATCAAATCATCAAATAAAAACCTCTACATTGAATCCATTAAGTAACAACTTAAATGCAAATGGTTCAGTAACAATACACTGGAACATCTCTCAGATAGTGAAACACACTAAACTCTCAAAATTCTCTCAAGTGTAACCTAAAACCCCTGTTCTAAAAATCCCCGCCTAGTCCCGATTACTCCCCGCTTAATCGCTAGGCCCACCCTATCCGCCTCGATTAATGACTAATCCCCTAAAAAATCAGTAACCCGATTATTCTCCGCCTAATCCGATTATTTCCCGCCTAATCCGATTATTTCCCGCCTAATCTTATATACCCCGATTATTTTTTAGATTGCAAGTATAAAAAAACTTTTTATTTTTGTTATTCAATCATTTGAATGGGGAGTTTGTGATGTTTTACAATAACTTGTGTTCAAATTTTAATAAAAATCATAAATTTGTAATAAAAATCATAAATTTTTACAATATTGGATTAATATATTTTAAAAATATTAAAATAACCCTAAAACTAATCCCCGATTAATCCCCGATTTTAATCCGATTTTCCGATTAATCGCTAGGCCCATGCCGAGCGCCCGACTAGCGCCTAGCGATTTTTCAAACAAGGCCTAAAACTAGTGAAACACTAAATTCTCTAGGACTGAGAGAGCTGTTCAAAAAGATTAGGAAAAGAAGTAAACCTTTTTCGAGGTTCTTGACATTCTTGGAAGAGAGAGTAATCCTGATCTTGTGAATCTGCTCAAGTGGCTCTTCCAAACCAGCCTTTCCTGGTTTCATTGGTTGTTGATACGTCATATTTTTAAGCTTCTTCTGAAAATTCACAAACACGCCAACCAATCGATTACATAAACATAAGAATACCAAAATTTCAGATGAACATGAAAAATGAAGAACTTGGGTAAGTGAAGAGAACCTGAGAGACGAACGAAGCTCGACGGCGGATTGCTTTTTGCTGCAAGGAAGGAAGGAAACCTAAGAGACGTTTTATGTGATATGAAAACCCTAATTTATATGGACTTGTTGGGCCCAATCAATATATAGCCCAATAACTACAGCGATATTTGCTCTGTTTTTTTTTACATATTCCAACAAAAAAAAGTGTTTTGACTTCTTTTGAGCTCTGACTTCTAATGAGTAATGAGTTAAGTTTTTGAATTCTTTCTGTTCATTTAGTTGCTATTTGTGGATTTTTTAGGAGATTATGGTGGCGATCAGATGAAGTTTGATAGACAAAAAATAAGATGTTGTCATATCGATGCAGAATGCTAATTTTAATTTAAGCAAGACAAAAACACTACAGAGATTAAAATGCTCAAATACTTAATTTTACAAAAGAATTCCAGGCTATCAACTTCGTTAACCTTCACTCTTACCATAAGCAAATTGTAATTCCTCTTCCTTATCCAACAAGGCATCTTTAAAATTCGAATTCTCAGCTCTCGCAATCCTGACTGAGTCTAAGGTTGTCGTTGCTTTCTTATCTTGTGAATTAGTGGAAGATTCCCTCTGGTGTGAGAAAGTTAAGCCTTTCATCCTAACAAGGATCATCTTCTTGTTGTATGATTGTATCCTAGGTTCGAACGATTATTAGTGTTTTGGGAAAATCAAATTTTTTAGGCAAAAACAGGAAATACATATTTATATACACCGAAACAAGTTAGCAACAAGATCATGTTGACAAACTACGTAGTTGTATCAAACTGACATTAAAACCTAAACTTTTTATTCTCATCCGAGGAATGAATAAGAGACAATGGTGATGAACTACACATTTAGTTCTTTTTTGCAAAGTAATGTCATATACTTTAGGTGTACAAAAGTCTAGCTTTTTATAAGTTTATAATAGTTATGCGAAAACTCAAATGTATTCACTGTTCAATTATTCAATTTTTTATGACATGCAAATAAGACCTGAAAGAGGATCTTAAATTGAGAGTAGAGAAGGTAATTATGGTCTCATCTTGATAGATAGATGTAAATAGAATCTCAATAAGACAAAATCTCCTCAACTAAGAAAACACAAGAACTACGGTTGCGCTACAAGAAAACATTGGTTTGTCAAACAAAAGGAAAGAAAATTGGTTCTTGCAGAGAATTCGAAGGAAGGAAACAAAAAGTTGAGATCTAAGAATCGGCGATGGTGACCTCAACCTCAACACCAGGTTCAATGGTGATGGATGTGATTTGCTTGACTACATCAGGAGAGCTGAAGAGATCAATAACTCGCTTGTGTACCCTAAGCTCGAATCTGTCCCATGTATTAGTTCCTGTTACAAAACAATAGAGTCTCAGGCAATGTGAAGAATCCAAACATCAGAACAATCACACGCAGGGAATAAGACCATAACCAGTAGTTTAACTCTTGTCTCCAGTAGAGTCACACTAATGAAAGTTCATAAAAAGAGTCTTTTGTTCCAGAAGTTTAAGTAATTAAAGGAATGGTTCCAAAACCTAAGCTATAGTGATTCTCAAGGCAACATAAAAGATGAGATAACCAAAATTATACCTTCACCACAAGGAGCTTTTCGGGTGGTGATCTTAAGAACCTTAGTGGGCATTCTCACTGGACCCTTGACTCTAAGTCTCTTGTCCTTGGCTCCACGAACCAAATCAGTGCACACTACAAATCATTTTGCAGAAAATGAACAAAAACAATGATTCAGCATTTGACACAAATCATCAAATCAAAATCTACCCTTTGAATCCACTAAGTAACAACCTAAATGCAAATGATTCAGAACCAATAAATTGGAAGATTGTGAATCACGAAAGCCTCAAAATTCTCTAGTGGTAACCTAAAACTAGTGAAACACTAAATTCTCTAAGACTTAGAGAGTTGTTCAAAAAGATTAGGAAAAAAAGTAAAACCTTTCTCGAGGTTCTTGACATTTTTGGAGGATAGAGTAATCCTGATCTTATGAATCTGCTCGAGTGGCTCTTCCAAACCAGCCTTTCCTGGTTTCATTGGCTGTTGATACGTCATATTTTTAAGCTTCTTCTGAAAATTCACAAACACGTCAACCAATCGATTACATAAACATAAGATTACCAAAACTTCACGTAAACATGAAAAATGATGAAGAACTTGGGTAAGTGAAGAGAACCTGAGAGACGAACGAAGCTCCTCTTCGACGGCGGCGGATGGCTTTATTGGATCAGAGTTCTCGTTTTGACCTAAAATATAAAAGAGAGACGTCGAAAAAAAACCTAAAATACTATGGGCTTTTTTTTAGCCCAATAACTTAAGGGAATAAAGAGAATCCTCAATAAAAGCCCAATATGATATGAGCTTCTGTATTTTTTCGGCCCAATTACTTGGAAAATTATCCATTCTTGATAAAAAAAATTTATTTTTTTATAAACCATGAATGTTTTGATTTAATTCTTTTGAATCTATAAAGAATAAACGTGTTATTATTAAAAACAAATTATATTTTTGTAGGATTTTAATCAAAAATATCTTGGTACCGTGTTATTTAGTCAACCCAGAGAAAACATCATGAACGGCTAATTTTAAATTAAACAAAAAAGATTTGAGTTCTTTGTTGTTTCTAGAAATGGGGAAGACATGCATTTGTTGGAAGCACGTAGTTCTATATAGACACTCTCCACATGAATATTCTTTAAGAACTATACAAATCATAAAATATCACCATTCGTTAATTATATATCTCTTGTAACAAAAATTAACTAAACAACAATATAACTCAGAAATTAATCAAATTATGTAACTTGACCACTATGGAAATAAGAATAGTACAACTCTCCCATATCTTGAAAAAAAAAAATAAACAAAAAATAATTAATTCTCACAAGTCATAACCATGATAAAATCTCTGTCTGACTTGTCATTTTACTAAATAAACTAACAATGATAATTAATTTAGAATTAATTATATATTTAACTTGAATTTTACCCTTTCTTTTATTGAACAAAATTCAAATCTGTGTATATATATATATATTTTTTTTTGTATAGTTCTTAAAGAATATTCAAATTTTGACAGTCGCTTTATTTATCTGCAAGGAAAAAAACACAAAGGCCAATGAGCGAATATTTGCATCAAGTAGTAAAAACTGAGTCCCCCACTTCCCGCGAAAACCTCAGTCTCTCTCTCTCTCGCAACCGCTTCTCTGTATCGTTATGTTTTGATAAAATCAGAAAACAAACAAACAAAACAAATAAAAGAGTGTAAATATGAAAATTCAATTAATTCTCTACAAATTTTTCTATTAATAACAAATGTCTACGTCGGAACCGTCGCCTGAGAATGATCGGGATCCGCAACCGACCACCGTATCTACGCCGACTTCCACCAACGCGAAACTCCTCAAGAAGATCCCTGCGATTCCTTTCCGCCATTCTGAGAAAGATGAACAAGCGAAGACGGACGAGGTTACGCCGGAATTAGCTGCGGAAGGTTCGACGAGTCACGATTCGCCGGAAATTCTTGCTCCTTCTTCCTTAGGTTTGAATCATATCAGAACGAAATCGTCTCCTGCGCCGTCTCCTCTGAGATTTTCGTCGGCTACACCATTGATTTCTCCGGGTCAAGATGACAAAGACGTCGCGAAGGAGAAACCTAGGGTTGGGGTTGTTGATGCTCGTGCTGATGCTCGCGCCCGATGGCCCATTCCTCCACATCAACCCGATCAAGGTATAGATATTTCTCGTTGATTCGATTTAGGATTTATGAATTCGAAAATTCAACTTTAGATGATGATTCAGAGGATCTTAATGATCATGAGGTGTTTGTTGTTTTGTCTCTTAGGGAAAAAAGTTCAGTGGAGCCAATCAAAATCTCAACGGGTGCCTGCAAATTCCAATCCAGGGGTAGAGGTGAATATGTCTTCTTCTATGTATGGTTTTCAAATTCCTTGAAAACTCATATTGCTGATTCGTTTTTGCTCTTCTTATGAATTCAGAGTACTCATGTAGGTCTTGCCAAGGAAACACAATCTCCACGTTTTCAGGCGATATTGCGTGTCACAAGTGGAAGGAAGAAGAAAGCTCATGACATCAAGAGCTTTTCTCATGAACTTAATTCTAAAGGTGTGCGACCTTTTCCTGTGTGGAGATCTCGCGCAGTTGGTCACATGGAGGTTAGTGTTGATGATTCTTTTCAGTTCTGATGAGTTTCTTTCTTTCGTTGATGAAATTGTGGAATGGTTTGTTTAGGAGATAATGGCGGCTATCAGAACGAAGTTTGATAAACAAAAGGAAGATGTTGATGCTGATTTAGGAGTTTTTGCTGGCTATTTAGTGACAACGCTAGAGAGCACTCCAGAATCTAACAAAGAATTAAGAGTTGGTCTAGAGGATCTGTTAGTTGAGGCTCGCCAATGTGCAACCATGCCAGCTAGTGAGTTTTGGTTAAAATGTGAAGGTATTGTTCAGAAGCTTGATGATAAACGTCAGGAGCTACCCATGGGAGGGCTGAAACAGGCTCATAATCGTCTTCTTTTCATCCTTACTCGTTGCAATAGGCTTGTGCAATTTCGTAAAGAGAGTGGTTATGTTGAAGAACACATTCTGGGAATGCACCAGCTAAGTGATCTCGGTGTTTATCCAGAACAGATGGTGGAAATCTCGCGACAACAGGACCTTCTTCGAGAGAAGGAAATCCAAAAGATTAATGAAAAGCAAAATCTAGCTGGTAAACAAGATGATCAGAACTCGAACAGCGGAGCTGATGGAGCGGAAGTAAATACTGCTAGAAGTACTGATTCAACTTCGAGCAATTTTCGGATGTCATCTTGGAAGAAGCTTCCATCTGCTGCCGAGAAAAACCGTAGTGTTAATAACACTCCCAAGGCTAAAGGGGAGAGCAAAATCCAACCAAAAGTTTATGGTGATGAAAACGCTGAAAACTTGCATAGCCCGTCAGGCCAGCCTGCATCTGCCGACAGAAGTGCTTTGTGGGGTTTCTGGGCGGACCATCAATGTGTGACATACGATAATTCCATGATTTGTCGTATCTGTGAAGTTGAAATACCAGTTGTACATGTAGAAGAGCACTCTCGAATATGTACAATCGCTGATAGATGTGACTTGAAGGGAATTAATGTAAACTTAAGACTTGAAAGAGTAGCTGAAAGTCTTGAGAAAATTCTGGAGTCATGGACGCCAAAGAGCAGTGTAACTCCAAGAGCAGTTGCTGATAGTGCAAGATTATCAAATTCCAGTAGACAAGAAGATCTGGATGAAATCTCTCAGAGATGTTCAGATGACATGCTTGATTGCGTTCCTCGTTCAGAGAAGACATTTTCTTTGGATGAACTGAGTATCTTGAATGAAGTGTCTATGGCCAATGGAACAAAGGACTCGTCAGCAGGAAGCTTGACACCGCCATCACCATCAACACCAAGGAATAGCCAAGTAGATTTACTACTAAGTGGTCGAAAAACAATATCAGAGCTTGAGAATTATCAGCAGGTAAATGTCTACAATCTAGTCGTCTCCTCAATTAATTCATGCTGAAACTCTGATTTACTTCTTTCTTTATTTCAGCTGAGTATTCAACTCCTCCTTTACTTTTATCTTGTGCTTTGAGTCGACAGATAAACAAGTTGCTTGAGATTGCTCGTTCTGTGGCAAATGTGAATGTATGTGGATACAGTTCGTTGGACTTCATGATTGAGCAGTTGGATGAGCTCAAGTACGTCATTCAGGATAGGAAGGCTGATGCACTTGTGGTAGAAACGTTTGGAAGACGCATAGAGAAGCTACTGCAGTAATCATTTTCACTTATCCTGCGTTTTGCTAGTCACTACTGTTTAATTGCAAAATCCATTCAAGCTGATTTAGTGTTTCTCAAATCCAGGGAGAAGTACATTGAACTTTGTGGACAGATAGATGATGAAAAAGTAGACTCATCCAACGCCATGGTGGATGAAGAAAGCTCAGCAGATGATGATACAGTGCGAAGCTTACGGGCAAGCCCACTTAATCCACGCGCTAAAGATCGAACATCAATAGAAGATTTTGAAATTATAAAACCAATTAGCCGTGGTGCATTTGGAAGAGTATTTCTTGCAAAAAAGAGAGCTACCGGTGATTTGTTCGCCATAAAGGTTGGTAATACTAACTTAATACTATTTCAGTTTGGCTCTAGGAATTTGATCTTAACATAACTCAATGTTGTCTAAACCATTTTACAGGTTTTAAAGAAGGCTGATATGATCCGTAAGAATGCCGTTGAAAGTATTTTAGCAGAACGTAACATCCTTATATCAGTTCGTAACCCATTTGTGGTATGTAATGCCGGCAATGCATAATTTCTTTAATGAAAACATTTGTGAAAAACTGTGGTGCTTCTCTAATGCTTCCTTTAGCTGTTCAGGTTCGGTTTTTCTATTCTTTCACATGCCGGGAAAATCTTTATCTGGTCATGGAGTACTTGAATGGCGGAGATCTCTTTTCCTTGTTGAGAAATCTCGGTTGCTTGGACGAAGACATGGCCCGCATTTATATTGCTGAAGTTGTAAGGCCGTTCACCTCAAGATTTGCTCAATTTTCGTTGTCCGGATTAAAACTTAACAGTCCACATGATAAAAATTGAATTCAATCAAATGCTTTTTCAGGTGCTTGCTCTGGAGTATCTGCATTCTGTAAATATCATTCACAGAGACTTAAAGCCAGACAATTTGTTGATCAATCAAGATGGTCACATCAAGGTCAATATTGCGTTATGCATCATGAATTGATAGCGAGGAGACCTCTCTTCTCACAAAATCTGACCCTTTTAATTACAGTTGACAGATTTTGGGCTTTCGAAGGTTGGTCTTATCAACAGCACAGATGACTTATCAGGTGAATCATCATTGGGAAATAGTGGATTTTTCGCAGAAGATGGAACAAACGCTCAACATTCACAAGGCAGAGATAGTCGTAAAAAACATGCAGTTGTTGGAACGCCTGATTATCTTGCACCTGAAATACTTCTTGGAATGGGTCATGGTTAGTATTTCACAAGGTGCCTTTTTTCCGTGCCATTATGTTAAATGGACTAATTAACACTACTCATTACAGGTAAAACCGCTGATTGGTGGTCAGTCGGTGTCATTCTCTTTGAGCTTCTCGTGGGCATTCCTCCTTTCAATGCAGAAACCCCACAGGTATATTTTCAAGCTGAAATATATCAAAAGTAGATATCTCTTTAATGCCTTAACATTTTCTTTCATTCATGGGTGCAGCAAATTTTCGAAAATATAATCAACAGAGATATACCATGGCCAAATGTGCCAGAGGAGATATCTTATGAAGCACATGATCTGATCAACAAGTAAGATCACACACTTTCTGCAAATGAATCTCAAAAACTTCATCTCTTTCCCACGTTTTCTGTACTTTCGCCATAATATTACACGCTTTTAATCGATCAAAGTGAACCAAAAACCTGTTGATTGTGGTAACATTATCAACTTATGTCCTTGTTTCAGGCTGTTAACTGAAAATCCTGTACAGAGACTAGGGGCAACGGGTGCTGGAGAGGTAAAGCTCTATTAATTTAACCTAACTAGCTAACTTTTTAAAGTCCTAGATCTCTAAAAGTCTCCTTATAGGTGAAACAACATCACTTTTTCAAAGATATTAACTGGGACACGCTTGCACGGCAAAAGGTTCTTCCATACTCTGAACACAAATTAAGTTCCATTAGAAAACTAATCTCTTACTAACTTCAACTTTATCTGTTGTTACAGGCTATGTTTGTACCATCAGCTGAACCACAAGACACTAGTTACTTCATGAGCCGATATATATGGAACCCGGAAGACGAAAATGTTCATGGAGGCAGCGATTTTGATGACCTTACAGACACATGCAGCAGCAGCTCCTTCAATACACAGGACGAAGATGTATGACTTATATTTTTTTATACTCTTTTTCTTTACTTCCATTTCTCTTACACAAATTTAGTGTTATCATCTGAAAACTCACATAATTAACAAGTGTGTATGTTGTAAAACAGGGTGATGAGTGTAGTAGCTTAGCAGAATTTGGAAATGGACCAAATCTTGCTGTGAAGTATTCCTTCAGCAATTTTTCGTTCAAGGTCAGTCATAGTTAATCCCCAACATTTGTTTGTAGTGAAATATGTATTCCTTAGAAATGCTTAATCCTTTGACAATGGTTTTGTGTTATCAGAACCTCTCACAACTGGCTTCGATTAACTACGATCTTGTCCTAAAGAACGCAAAGGAATCAGTAGAAGCTTCGAACCAGTCAGGCCCTCGACCCGAAACATGATGACTAATATGTATGGATCATTTATCTAACTTCAAGAGCTGATTGGTTCCTGTTCAAGCCATAAAAGAAAGTAATAATAACTTGGAAACATAGCATAGCTAGGAAGCAATAGAGCTACAGAGATTTGACTATGATATTTTATGTAATTACATGATACACATATTGAATTACAAGATTTTAATATACATTATGTGTAATTGTGTATCATGTACTCTGTTTTATTATATTTCCAACTTAAGCTCTATAATATATCTGTTACTATCAACTATGAACTATGAGGGACACTAAAAGTGCAAAGCACGTTTTATTATTGATTAGAGAAATTTGGAAATTACTATGTTTTATTCGTTATATTGGTCCAACTACATGAATCTATGGTTATAGAATGAAGTCAATGAACCTTATGATTATCTACGGACTAACTAAGCATACTTGAATCTCTAATCATCGAAACATCCAAGTTCTAAATCTTCGTATCCCAAATCTCCATACTTCAACCACAAAGATGACGAAGAAGAACATGATGACGTAATGTCGCCGGACAATAGCATCATAAGCTCTCCGGCGGCGCCACCACCTCCCTCTCCGTCATTATCCATTAAAAAGCTCCACGGCTGATCATCACCGTCTACGTCAGCTAACTGGTTTAGATTTCCTGATAACACCGCCGACGTGTCATTCTTCAAGACTACCGGTACCTCTGGCTCAGGCAGAGGCTTTAGATCGTTGACCAATACCTTTTTATCCTCGTTGACTTTTAGGTTGTCAAACCGACGATGTGTGTTTGGATCAATACCCATTCTTATAAGCTTCCTCTTTATATGAGTGTTCCAATAATTTTTGATATCGTTGTCTGTTCTTCCTGGTAACTCCACTGCAATCTTCGACCATCTATAACCAAATTATATATAAATTATAATGCATTAGAACTACAAATCATCAAATCTAACATCATAACATTGGTTTTAAGTAGGACGTTCATGATTGTTAAAGTACGTAGTGTTATAGCTAGTTTTTATACTCAATCATCTATAATGAAATTGAAAATATAAAAACCTATTGCCAAGGCGAGCATGAAGATCAATGACTAGTTGAATTTCCTCTTCACTAAAAAGACCTCTCTTGAGATCTGGCCGGAGATAATTAGTCCACCGGAGACGGCAACTTTTGCCGCACCGCCTTAGCCCCGCCAGTTTTGGCACGTCTCTCCAGCACCATCCTCCTCCGCCGCCACCGCAGTTGCCACGTGTCCTTAAGAAATCAACTAGTTTCCCATCTTCTTCCACTGTCCATGGTCCCTTTCTTAATCCAACCTCATCACAACATGGTTTACGACCAACCATAGTTTATATATGGTTTAAAAAAGTTCCATATCAAATTAAACTTTATTATATTTGAAAATCGTCAAAGTAATTTGCTACACTCAAGGGGTCGAGAAATGGAAAATGGAAAAAAGAAAAAATAAACACAAAAGTGGTAACCAAGTTTATCTCAACTAACTAACTATATATACACACGTATGGAGTTTCTTGGCCCTTTTTTGGGATGCTTTAGATTAATAATTTATTATTTTCATTCAATTAATGTATTCACTGTCGAGGTAGAAAACTCGATCCGAAATTTTCTTGAAACCTTTGTGATGTTTTTGTGAATTGTGCTAAAACTATTGGATACGGTGTTAATAAGCTGTTGTGTGTATATTATAGTTGGATATATAAACCTTTTTCTCTTTTTCATTTCAAACACTTTATTGCGAAGTTATTAAATACTTTTGACGTGGGCTTGATTGGTTCTCCCGCTAGCACCCTCCTAGCGGTTGCTAGCGGTCGGTTGCGGTTGTTAGCGGTTGGTACCAATCATAGAAACCGCTCCGTACCGCTTCGAACCGCTCGAAATCGCTGAATTTCAAAAGCTCCTTCCCGCAAGCGTTTGCGGTTGCGGGCGGTAGCGGTTGGATTAAAAAAAAAAAAAAAAAAAAAAAAAAAAAAATCAAACGTTTACTTATAATTATTATAATATATATTAATCTTATATATATCTTTCATCTTTTTATCACGTTCTCATCAGAAACCCTAATAATATTCTGAAACCCTATTCTCTCAATGTCTTCCACCCAAACTGATGAAAATCAAGAACCAAACGTAAGTATCATATATCCTTTTATTCATTCATCACCTCATGTGTAACTTTTTGAATATTTTTCATGCCATCGTTTTTTTTTCTTTTCATTACGTATCGCTTTGCTTTTTGATTGAATATATGTTTCGATTTGTTTTCTCGAATAGAAACTCACTTGCTTTTTAATTGAATTCAACGTTATTTACAGTTTGTCCCATTACTTGATGCAATTTTTGATGTTAAACCAGATGCATAAAGTACTATCTTGTTACAAAATTTCTTTATTTTTGAATAATTATTTAGTACTTTATTTATAGTTTTAATTATTAAGCATGTTCAATTTTTCTAATATTATCATAATAATATATTGGTGTTTTTATTTCTTTTTTTGTAATATTTTTTATTTATTTTGGTCATTTTTTATTTAACTGCTACCGCACCCGCTGGTTTACCAGTCATAAACCTCCCGCAAACGCACCCATTTTCAAACGCTAAACCAGTCGTTCAAAACGCTTGGTAACGCTTGAAACCGCAACCGCCCGCTTCCGCAAACTCCCGCAACCGCTGCGTTTAAACCAGTCAGGACTGTATAGCGTAGAAATTTCATATAATTATGTATTTACCTTCATATTACTGTTAGCTTTACAATTCATGTTGGATTTATTCGTGATTTGATGATATGTCGTTTACATTTTATATGTATAAAGTTGTTATGTACTCTTAGCAACGGCTAAAACAAAAAAAAAAGAATGTATTTATCTTCTTGTTTCTCTAATTTCAAATCTTGTATTAACTTGGCTCTTTAAAATTCATTATGTACGTCCACATGTTTTAAGGAAAAAAGATCATGCTGCTTGCGTTTTGATCATGACAAGAAAATGAGACTTCATATAAATAAAATCTTGAAATAGAGAAAAAGAACATGAGACTTCCCTTTGAAGTTTAACAAACTGAAGTAATGTTGTTTTCGAATTGATGAGAAATTATCTTCTACACGTAGTAGCGTGATCATCAAATCATTAGCCTTAAGGCCCCATTCTATATGTTTTGAGCAAACAATATTACAGTATTTGCAAAGATTTTCTAGTGTGGTTTATTTTATCAAACTAACTAAAGGTTATTTTATTTTCATTAAAAATGATTAATCAATTAATATAGGGGATGACACTTTATGTTTATAAAAATGAGAGTATTATATATATATATATATAATATTAAAATTAAATATTAGATAAGCTTTAAAGACTAATCCATTGAGATCCAATCACTTTTGATAAATTAGTTGCCAATTTTAGTTAATAAAAATCACGATACTTTATTCTCTCAGTCAACTACATAATCATATAAAATTTGAGTCATTTTTAATATCATTTTGGCCGGAATTGGCTGTCAAGAAAATATATATCTATGTGTGTGTGTAACGATCCGATCGGATCTGGTTACGTGATTGTAATTTACAAATATCATGGATATTTAAACTTAAGACTTGGAACGAAAGTGAGTGGAAGATGCTTGTTTTTTATATGAAACAAATAACCAAAATATCAAATTAATACACTCCAAAAAGGTAGCCAGTACTATAAATATTTTGAATCCCAACTCTTTCCTATCCACACTTAATTCTCTCAACCTCAAGAACGTACAGCAATGGCAAAACAATACCAAGCTCTCTTTCTACTCCTCTCCGTCTCTTACCTCCTCTTTTCGGAGCTCACGACCGCTTCAGTCAGCCCGACCGGAACTTCTACGAAAGCACTAAACTTCATTCAATCCTCTTGCAAATTCACAACGTACCAATCCCTGTGCGTTGAGACTCTCTCGGTCTACGCCAATACGATCCAAACAAGCCCTCGACGTCTCGTGGATGCAGCTATTGCCGTTAGTCTGAACCAAGCGCTGTCCACGAAGCTCTTCCTCTCACACCTGACGAAGAACCAGTTCCGAACCCTTGCGGACTGCCAACCAACAACCGATTCGTACACTACAGATTGCGAGTGTTCTGTCCAACAACTCCAAGAGGTGGTGATTTGTAAAAGTTGGACCGAATGCTTGTTTCACGTTAACAATGCTGAAGTCTGTGCCATTTCGGCTGAGGAGTATAGCGTCGAGAATTCTTGCTCCAACCCATTCACGGGTCCGGTAAAGATGTCAGTCCGGGGCCGAATCTCGGATGCAATAAGAAAGTCACTCCATACCCAGTTTACTAAGTTGCACCATGAAATAAACAATGTCAAAATGTTGTTCAAAGCCTTTCCTAAGAATTAGAAATAATTGACTTCTTTTGTTGTATGGTAATATGGTATTCTGTATTCAGGTAGTATATCAGTCCATCAGAAAAACAATAAATAAAACTCTTTTTTTTTTTTTTAATACCAGGAGGTTTTGGGCCAAAACCCGTAACCGCCAGACCCGAAACCTCATCATGTAATATTAGTTTTTTTCTAAGCATCACTTGAACAAACGACTTCTAAGCTTCGCCTAAGATCTTTACCAGTTGAGCTAACGACACTTGAAACAAAAATGAAAGACTAATACAAGAAACCCCTAGCTATAAAACATATCAAGATGCATTATAAACTTTTTAGAGGCAAATTAGTTTCTCAACTAATAGTAGCTTGGTAATTTTGATACATCCGAAACTAAGAAGTCAACCGAAACAACAATTAATTAATTTATGTTATTCATTGGACAATTTTTTTTTTTTCTTTCGACACATTTTGTCGAAATATTCAACATTCTAAGCTCTTTAGCGTACAAGTTACAACAGTTGTTTGATCCCGTCGGTAAGCTATAAAAAGCATGTGTCAAAATCACTTGCTTCTGATACTATGTCATGAAATCTAGTTTGGTATAACGGTTTTTTTAGTCCATTTTATGTCGTTTTGGCAAAGCCTTATCCCTTATACTTAGAAAATATACTAATTGCACAATAGTCTATATATCCTTCTCAATAGCATGCAAACAAATAATACACAAACGTCTAGCTAAGTAGCCCAATATTTACATTTGAGTTTGACTATTTGAAAACTAGATGAAGGAATTTATCAGACTGGTCGTATACCAACGGAATTGAGTGCCCCTTTTCGATGAAGACTAAAACTTGGTTGCCTCTTTCTTCTGCATATATATATAATGCAATTAGGATATATATTATGATAAATTCGTTTTTTTTTTCTTTTGGATGAATTAATTGAGATCTGATTACTTTTCATTTTTCGCATCTCCCAAAGCGAAACTATATTATTTTCTCACTCAGTCAACTCAACTATATATTCATATATAATTTCGAGTCATTTTATATATTATTTTTGGTAGGATACATTTTTCTGCAATTGACTGTAAACCAAATTTTTAAGTTTTCCGATCGGATCTGGTTACGTGATTGTAATTTACAAATATCATGGATATAATAAACTTAGGATTTGGTGCGAAAGTGAGTGGAAGATACATGATTTTAATATGGAACAAATAACCAAAATATCAAACTAATCTTGGTGACTGGTATCAAGTAATAGTGCACTCCAAAAAGGTAGCCTGTACTATAAATATTTGAACCCCAACTCTTTCCTATTCACACTTAATTCTCTCAACCTCAAAAGAACGTACAGCAATGGCAAAACAATACCAAGCTCTCTTTCTACTCCTCTCCGTCTCCTACCTCTTCTCCGCAGAGCTCACGACCGCCACAATCAGCCCGACTGGAACTTCCACAAAAGCACTAAACTTCATTCAATCCTCATGCAAATCCACAACGTACCAATCCCTATGCGTTGAAACTCTCTCGGTCTACGCCAATACGATCAAAACAAGCCCTCGACGCCTCTTGGATGCAGCTATTGCCGTGAGTCTGAACCAAGCGCTGTCCACGAAGCTCTTCATCTCACACCTGAGGAAGAGTCCGTTCCAAACCCTTCAGGACTGTGCACCATCGACCGATACGTTCAATACAGATTGCCAGTGTTCTATCGAAGAGCTCCAAGAGGTGGAGAATTGTAACGGTTGGACCGAATGCTTGTCTAAAATAAACAATGCTGAAGTGTGTGCCATTGCGGGTGAGAGTCATAGCGTCGAGAACACTTGCTCCAGCCCGTTCGCGGGTCCGGTAAAGATGTCAGTTCAGGGTCGGATCTCGGATGCGGTAAGAAAGTCACTCCAGACCCGGTTCGCTAAGTTGCGCCAAGAAATAAACAATGCCAAGTTGTTGTTCAAAGCCTTTCCGAATAATCATAAATAATAAGACTTCTTTTGTTGTATGCTATCCATTTAGTATCAGTCCATCAGAAGAACAATAAATAAACCACTTTCGAATTGAAAATCGAAGACTTCAACAACAATTCCTAGCTATTAATTAACACATAGAGGTTTTTTTTTTTTTGACAGCTACACATAGAGATTTTAGTCCTTTTTCACTTATCTCGAATACCAAACTTGCCTTACACTTATGTAAACCCCGAGATTGTTATGTAAACTGGCCTTGCCATATATATTTTACTCAATAACCGGAACACAGACAATAATTGCACATGCACTAGAAGACAAGAGACGAGAAAACAAGAATTTCTTTGCCTCGGGCTTTGCCGATTTATATTGGGCTGTAACAATAATTTGGGCCATATTGCCCAATACACATATTAAGCCACGAAACATAGCCCAACAGTTTCTATTTCAACTTCTTCTTGAACAAACGATTCTTATAACTAGGAGACACTATAGTTGGATCTGTTAGTATTGTTGATGGGTCACAATTCGAGTTTAAACTGTTATAGTGTATGTTGCTGATCAGAAGAAGAGAACCAGTTCACAATAATTATTGAGTAATTTTGGGGTTTTGGATTATTGCCTAATTTGTTACATTCAAAAATTTATGCAGTATCAATATTCTAGCACTCTTGCTTATGTTTTAATATACCAGTTCTGTTCATGAAGATTGTACAAGTTCTTTGACATATATTACTTTGTCATTTTGTTTAGCATTTTCTCAATACTGTATCTTTTCTGTCGTTATTTATCAAACCAACCTTTTTGAATTTTTGTTAATAAACAAGACTTTTAGTCAATGAAAACTCTTTTTGTATGGATTTCCATTGAAATGTTTTCCCACTCCTTTTTCCAACAAACAGATCCAGTCCACACTCTCCAATTTATGTGCACCATATTTTTGACAATACATCAATATATATATAATTCTTTTGTCGGCTTTTGCCTTGTATGTTTGGGCCTGCGAGCTCCTTCTCGGCCTTTGTGCCTTGTATTTGCATCATTTCTAATGGAAATTTAAAGTAAAAAAATAATAATAATAATCGTGGTTTTGCGAGTTGAAAAGTTCTTTAAAAAAAAAAAAAAAAAAAACACAGATAAGGGAAGAGGTGGTTCTTTAATTCTACAATTATTAAATACATAAACATTTAGATGAAGAAAAAAACAACATTAAAAGTGAAATATGGGCCTTACGCGGAGAAGATGGTACGACGGTGCTTTTGACCCAGTAATTTATGGATCACGTTCACATGCCGCAAATTATTGTTGAGTTATTTGTGGGATATTTTTTATTTTTTTTCATTCTCGTTTTTTCGTTCTCTCTTCCCTCAATTATTTTTCTCAATTTGTATTGAACCAAACACGAGAGTAAAGGACCCACCCACCCAAACAATGATTAGTTTTCATTTCTTTAAGTATATAGTTTAGTGGCGCTAAAAAGAAACAAAACAAAAAACTGAAAATGATAGGTCTGTTAATAGGTCTGTTAATAGGTCTGTTAATAGCCTTAACCAAAAACTTAAAATTTTATTTAAAATTACAATATATATATATAATCATTTTAAAGAAATACTATATTCATCAACACTAGAGAAATAAGTAAATTTCAAATTAAGTATCATTATCAGAGATTACATTATTTGGTGATACTGGCAAAAGGAAAATATTACTTTGGTGGGATGCTTTGCTGGAATGACGTTGTTTATTACCGTCATAGCAACCTAATTATGTTAGCTAATATTTATTTGAACATTATAAACATTAATGTCATTAATGACCGTATCTGATGTCCAAATCTAAAAAAACCATTATTTCCTTATATTATATAACGGCTTGATTGGTGCAATATTTTTCTCGCTCTTTCTGTTTCCTTCTTGATTCGAATAAAACGACAAATGTTTATCTCTACTCGTATCCGATTATGTTTAATATATAATATGCATTGATATTTCACGTTATGACCTGGACCGACGTTGAGTGTGGACCCTGTCATGAGTTTTATATATGAGAACAACAAAATCAACAAACCACACAATCAATCAAGTATATGCTATTCAAGTTTTGTCATTGTGCAATTTCACACATTTAGCGACCATATAAAAATTATAAGTAACAAGTAATTTGTTTATTAAAAAGAAAAAACAAGTGATTTGTAACTCGTCAAATACAGAGTTTTTTTTTTTGTTTAATGGATCCAGCAACTGTATATTGGATTTAGGATCGAATTTTTATTTTGGCTTTGAGGATATAGATAAATAAATAGTATAGTAATCCAAGCAAAAATTATGATAGTAAAGTAAAACAGAATCTGTCATAGTATATAGATTTCTATGTACGGTTTCATCAGTTGGGTTTCTGTTTATAGCTAGTCTGAACACATTTAGAGACTATATTCAGATTAGTTTGGTTCAAATTAGATTTAATTAATTTAAACAAAATGAACATGTATCTCTGGATTGTAAAAGCCTAATCCACTTTTTCGCCGACCTCTAATCCACTTTTTTCAAAATTCTACCGCGTGTTACCAATAGTAACATAAATAAAGTGAAAATTATCATTTCCCACCGCATGTTACCAATAGTAGCATAAACCTTATAAAAAAATTGTATCGACTATAAATATTCAACTCCAACTCTTATCTCTTCACACACTCAAATATCTATCCAACACTAAAAAATTTATACCCACTCCCTCTCTCTCTAACAAAAAAAATCACCAATGGCAAAACAATATCTCTTTCTACTCCTCTCACTCTCCTACCTCTTCTCACCGGAGCTCACGGCGGCCACCGCAGCCTCACAGGCCGGAGCTTCCAAAAAAGCCATAAACTTCATCCAATCTTCTTGCAAAACCACCACATACCCAGCCTTATGCGTCCACTCACTCTCCGTATACGCCAACGACATCCAAACAAGCCCTAAACGTTTAGCTGAGACCGCTCTAGCCGTGACACTAAACCGAGCCCAATCCACGAAGCTCTTTGTCTCGCGTCTAACACGTATGAAGGGCCTTAAGAAGCGTGAGGTCGAAGCCGTCAAAGATTGCGTCGAGGAGATCAACGATACTGTTGACCGTTTGACCAAATCTGTTCAAGAACTGAAGTTATGTGGTAGTGCCAGAGATCAAGACCAGTTTGCGTACCACATGAGTAATGCTCAGACTTGGACTAGTGCGGCTTTGACTGACGAGAACACTTGCTCCGATGGATTCTCGGGTCGGGTTATGGATGGGAGGATCAAGAACTCGGTTCGGGCTAGAATCATGAACGTGGGCCAAGAAACCAGCAACGCTTTGTCCTTGATTAATGCCTTTGCCAAAACTTACTAATTTAAAACTATATTTTGTCCTGTAAAATAGATCTAGATAAATGTAATATAATGTATTGCTAAGAGTTTGATGTGATATAATTTTCGATTTTGTTAGTTTCTTTTTGTTTTGTATGTGGTTTTAATAGTATTATGTGTATTTTGAGCTATAAAGTTGTTTTTAAGAAAACAAATTTGGATAAATTTCCCCAAACAAATTGTAGCTAGTTAAACTGATGATACACTTTGGACTTGGCAGATATGTTTGACAATTATCTTTCACACCCATTAGTTTCCTTGTGGGAAGTTGGGTACGCATTGTGATGTATCAAACTTTATTTATAAAAATCTACCAAAAAAAAAACTTTATTTATAAAAAAAAAAAGAGGAAAGTGAAGATTTTTTCTTTTTTTTTTTCCGGCAGAAGGACAGTGAAGATATCAGTATATCAGTAACGAATTTCTACATAACTATTTGAAAACGGTAACAAATATTGTTTGAATTTTGAACCAAAATATAAATTCAATATATCATTGGGTTCAATTTTAAATTTATTGTGCGTGGACCATTTGGTTGGTTGTTTGGTTTTCCGTTCAGGTTCATTTGATGAGTTTGCAGGAAATATTTTGCCAAAAAATGTGCTCACTTCGCAAGATTGATCAGACAACTTGGCGAAATCTAGATATCCTGTATTAAATAATAGAAAAAGACATTACTGCAGTTTTTGAAATAAATTTATTTTTTTCTTCGTTTCAACCACGTGAGATGTCTGGTGGTACAACTTTTTCAAAAGCAGTGTGCTTCACAAATCTCGTAACTGCTTGGTTTTTTTTGGTCCACTAATGACGACGGCTTCCATGATTTTCGTTATGGCTTTGAATTTCTCTACCAATCGTATATACGATCTCATACATACGTGTATAAACACGTTACACACAGTCACACACGGTGTCTGACTGTCTGTCATATCATATTTTGGATACCACTCTTCGTGGGCCTTTAAGCCCATATTAATATCTGTTTTCAGCATTAATATCTGTTAACTTTTTTTTTTGCCCATATTAACAGATATTAACATGACATAATTACTATAAAGTAAAGTATAGACAATCTGACAGAATATCAGTATTAGTGAAAACCACAAAATTTACAAATCTCAGTCTTTAATTTTAAAACCATATAAAGATGTATGGACTATGGAGTATCAATATATATTAAAAAAAAAAAACACCTTAACAACCTTTTTTGTGTTTTAGAAATGTTGTACTGTTATGTTTGGATGAAGTTTTAGAGTTTCCCAAAATGTAATTTTATATTTTTAAAAAGGACGAAATCATACCGAGTATTGTATCTAGAGGTTTAAACTAATGTTGTTGGGGTGTCTTAACACCTGATCAAACTCAGAAATGTGCGTATGTGAATTCTAGATGATAAAAATAGACAAGTTCATTTATATATAAACTAAAACAAATTATCCCAAAAATATATATTGGAAGCATAAGAGTCAACCTCTTTACATTATCAACTAAAGTGAACAAAGTAACAAGATAAGTTTCCCTTCACAATACAACTTGACACTTTACATCGACCTACTGCTTACAAGTTACAATATACGTGTGTATTTTACATCAAGATTAGGATAAATATGGATATTTGAGAGCAGACGCAATGATTTGTGCCAAATTGGTGTTGAAAATGACCGTAGTCACATGCAGCTGAATTGATTACAAGGACGATACGAACCTTAAATGTTTTTTGGCTCACGTCCACCATTCGGTTTTCACGGTCGACATCGACTTTTAATCATAAGTTAAGCTTAAGTTTAATTATTTTTAAATGATCATAAGTTTAATTTATAAAATTTTGTATTTATCTTTACAAAAGTACAACATTTTCTAACAATATACAACACTAATCTTAGCACTGAATATATATATATTGGGTTTCATATTTGTCATTGGCATTGCTACAAACATATGGCTCAGAAATAATATAAAAATATCACAAAATTCCATATATGTATTACATAATGTATATACATGAGACAAACATTCAAATAAAAAAACAATCATCTGTAAGTGTAATTAATAAATGTAATTGTCGTTTATCGTAATCGTTGTTGTTGATTGCTATCACAATTAAGCAACTGTTAAATGAATATGACCCAACTAGCCGACTCCATCCGGATATGAACGAGACCAAAAAATCGCCCACTAGAATGATCTATTAACCAATCAAATAGATCATTCTAAATGTAGTTAATGCTTAATTAAACAAATGATTATGTTTTGTCTTGAAACTACAAATTCTTTACCCTACACAACCCAGTGTCTTCTCCGTGTTGCTTTCACATGTTAGATATTTTTTCGTTTTTTTCCCAATTTTGTTTTGTCAAATATCTTCATTATGCAAATCCCATTGCCACTTGCCTATTAAATCTGATTTTTATGTTGTTTAAAAAATCACCTCATTCTCTCTATATAAACCCCAATTACATAACAATCAATACTACAAAACATACCATTACCACGTTTTCATAAAGCTCATATTCTACATAAAGAATGGGTGAATCTTTTAAATTCAATCGTCATCACTTCCTCACGTCTCTTCTCGTTATCATAGCCATGCTCAAATCGGTTTATACAACTACAACGACAAACACCGAGTTCGTAAAATCATCATGCACTTTTACAACGTACCCAAGACTCTGTTTCTCTTCACTCTCAACTCATGCCAGTCTCATCCAAACAAGCCCCAAGATCATGGCTCACGCGGCTCTCAACATAACATTAGCCTCGGCTAAAGCAACTTCAGCAATGATGGTGCGTCTCTCGAATAGTCGGCTCAAGCCAAGAGAAGTCTTGGCCATGAGAGACTGCGTCGAGGAGTTAGGTGACACGTTGGAGGAGCTTAGAAAATCGATTGGTGAGATGTGTCGGCTAAGTGGCTCGAACTATGAGGTCTACATGAGCGATATACAGACTTGGGTCAGTGCGGCTTTGACAGATGTGAACACATGTACGGATGGATTTGAAGGAGACGATATGGACGGGAAGGTTAAGGTTTTGGTTAGAAGAAGAATTTTGGTTATTGCTCATTTAACAAGTAATGCTTTGGCTTTGATTAATCACTTTGCTTCTATTCATGGTTAAAAAGAGTTGAGATTATTATTGTTAGTTTGTTTTTATTGATTTTGTGTGTATAATGTTAAGTAATGTATGTGTCTTTATGATTCCAGATCAATGTGTAACATATAGAGTGTTCATGAAAATTGATATTTTAAGATTTTCCAACAAAACATTTATTTTATTTTCCCTACCCAATAATTATGCATGCATCCATCATTTTCTAACTTTAAAACCTTCCAATAATTGTTATATAAAAAAACACATTTATATAATTCAATGTATATAATGTCTTCCACTAATGCTCTTTAAAGTTTACATGCCCTTTTATTGACCTTAATTAATTTAACTAAAAAGAAAGAAATATTTATGCTTGATGTGATAATTTTTAAAAAAGAAAACTCACGTGAAGAAAAGCTGTCTTTTTCTCCCACTTTTGTTGAGTAATGGCAGACCAAACAGCTTACATTGTTAGATTTTCCACATGGAATCTATCTTACACACTTCACATTCAAAAGTTTTGAATCAAAACTGTTTCTTTTTTTAAGGTTTACATTGATGAAACAAAAATGTAAATGTAAATTCATTATACTTCTTATCAAAAAAATCATTTTACTACATAACATTTACAAGAAATTTACAATATATTGTAAAAAGAAAAAAAACTAAAGTTGTTGATTCTGGTTAAGCATTTTCAACAAACCCGGTTTAGTACAATTCAATAAAGATCTTCCAGATTGAACCATAATAGCAAACAAAGCACGAGCCTCTCTCAACTTCTTCTCTTCACACAGAATATAAATCAACCAAGTGTGGTTTATGGAACGAGGCCAGATATCAAGAGCAGCCATGACTTTAACCACCTTAACCGCTTCCATGGTCAATCTAGAGTAACAGAGACATTGAAGCAGCTTTTCATAAGAGTCTTTATTCGGATATATCCCTTTCTTCTGCATTTCTAACATCAGAGCCAAAGCATCAAGAGGTCTTTCAGATTCACATAGGCCCTTAAGCAGAGTACTGTACATAACTTGATCCGGCTCGCAGTTTGTTTCCTCAAACAAATCTATAGCAGACTCGATATCGCCTGCTTCTATATGAGATTTCATCAGAATAGTGTAAGTTACCTGATTTGGAACAATGCCTTCCTTTTGCATTGATTCCAGATGGTTATATGCTTCGTCAAGTCTTCCTGCAGCGCAATATCCGGTTATAATTGTGTTGTGGAGGTATAAATTGGGGATTATAGACTTTTTCACTTTCCCAATTACTTCCATTGCGAAGCTTTTTGATCCGTAGTTGCATAAAGAAGAGGAGATTGATACTATAGGCTTTGTTTGAAGGAGACGTTGAAGAAGCTTTTCTTTTCCTGGCTCAACAATAACCTGCCTCTTCTTCTTTCGTGCCATAGCTCTCCATAAACCGCTAAGTAGTGTGATGTAAGCTATGTGATCGTGTTTAATCCCATTTTCGCCCATTAAACCAAACAATGTAAAAGAAAACTTAAAATCTCCCTTCTTAAGGAAATGACCGATGAGCGAAGTATACAGCACCGCGTTTGGAGATAATCCGTCTTCAAGCATCTTATCGAGATACTGACATCCTTTCTCCATCATACCCATCTTCACAAACCCGCTAATCAATACCGTGTAAGTAAAAGAGCTAGGCCGAACGAAATGTTTGACGACTTCTTCAACTAACTCATTTGCTTCGTCAATTCTTCCGTTTCTCGCATAAGCATTGATCATAATCATGTAAGCAATCTCATCAGGTTGAATCCCAGACTCAAGCATCTTGGCAAACGTCTCTTCTGCTTCAACAACCCTTCCCTGTTTGCCAAGAGAACCAATAATTGAACTGTAAATAGCGACAGTAGGTCTCAATCCAAGCTCTTCCATTACATCTATAACAGAAAATGCAGCGTCTCTGTCATTATTCTTGCATAACTCATTCACCACTATCAAATACGTATCAACATCCGGGACAAAGTCCAATTCTTGGATAAGATTGACTAAAGACCCCAAATCTTCGATGATATTTTCCTGAAATAGACATTTGATCACTGAATTGTATGAAAAGGGTAAGGGTGTGCATCCCAGATTAACCATTTTTTCGATACGAGATAAAGCTGCGATATAATTTCTTTGCGAACACAAAGCAGTTGTGACAACAGCAAGTCCCACAGCAGCTAGGTTCGCATCTTTTCTAGCAATCTCCTCAAGTAAAGACTCAACCTTTACCTCAATATTTCCAAGATCATCAATAACTGGTGGATCAATCCCACATCCGTTATCTAAAATTGATTGTAAGATCACCATAGCATACTTAAGCTCGTGGCATTTTGGGAGCATCTTCAAGAGAACAAAGTAAGTAATATGGTCCGGGACAATTCCATTGTCTAACATCCTCATCAACAAGTCAACAGCTTTATCCATTCCGCCCTTCTTGTAAAACCCAGATATAAGAGTTGTATAACAATGCACGTTGCGGGATATATCTTCGACCCCTGTGTTGTTCTCAAAAAGCCTCAAAGCATAATCTACATTCCCTTCCTTGCAGTAGCTTCCGATCATTACATGGTATGTGAAAACATTCGACTGTACACCCCTTTTTATCATTTGACTAAACATTACTCTTCCTTTATCAAGCATACCCAACTTCATGAACCCATGAATCAAAGTGTTGAAAATACAAGGATCAAGCTCACAACTTCTCTCGACCATCCGCAAGTAAAGCCGCATTGCCATTGTCATATTATTGTCCTTGCAATATTCTCTCATCAAACAAGTGTACATGACCTTATCGACAAAGTAACCGTCAACTTCCATATGATCAAACAGAGCCTCTGCTTCAGCAGCACATCCTCTTCTACAAAAACAGTAAAAGAGAGACTTATACAGATTAACTGGCAGAGGCATTCTTGTCATCTCACACAGAGTATCTAACATCCCAATTGCTTCATCCAAGTGACCGTGACCGCACAATCCCTTAAACAATCTCTTACAACACCAAAGCCATAAACCACTGCCTCTCTCTTTGACTTGTTCAAAGCAATGAAACGCCTCGAGAAACCGGTCTTGATTACAAAGCTCATCAACTACTAAGCTAGAGGAGTCTCTACTAGGAGCATAACCAGAAGCTATAATTCTATCTAAATGTGCTCTAGCTTCATCAAATTTCCTTAACTTAACCAAACAAAACACCATTGAATCTAAAACCGACGAATCAGGAACAATACCATTTCCAATTACACGTTGATTGTAGAAAGTTTCAGCCAATCCAGCCTGACCCATCTCCGTAAGCTTCCTTATCAACGCGCCACAGCAACACGAATCAAGTTCTATTCCAAAACTGACTGCAAAATCAGCAACTGAAGCTGCCTCTGAAATAGAAGAACAACCATCAATAACACGGCGAATCACTTCCCGAGCAGAGTCTACGAGACCTCTCCGACCAAGTTTGACTATCAACGACAAACATCGAGACCGGTGGTCACCAGAAGCGGCGGAGACGACGGCGGCGGAAGTGGAGGGAGATAGTTCCGACGAAAGAGCACAACTTGTAGCTTTTCTGGATTTCACGAAGCGATAGCATAAAGCTTTCGCCTTTAACATCATCTAAAACCCCAAATCTCTCAGGGCTTCTCAATTAAAAGCCTCTCCAGGTTTTTCGATTTCACGAATTCCCCAGTTGCAGAATCGAGACAAAGCATCGTACTTTTGCTACAGATACTAAAGAAAAGTAGAGATTTTGAAGAGAAGTTAACGCCGACGAATAAAAGTGTTGACTGAAGTAGAACGACGAGTAGTAGCAAAGCGCGGTTTTTGAAACAAAATCCTCCACAAATGCCTAAAACCCTCGTCGTCTTCGTCTCTGTCAATTCGTGTTTGGTTTAAGATTGTGAACCGGTCGAATCAGATTTATGAATCTAAACCGGAATTTGCTGACGTAAATCGAACCGAACTGTTAAAGAGTTTTTAAAATGAGCCCAGGCGAAGACATTTCAATAGGCCCAACTACAATATATGTTACAAATATTTTTTATTAATAATTCACACTTTTCTATATATTTTACCAAATATTTACTCAAGTTATAACACTGCAACACCAATAAAATATTAACTAGTAGACTACTTAATTCTGATAAATATTTGTGAATAGTAAATATTGTATATAAACAAATTGTATGACTTTTTTAAAAGATACCTAATATAATCAATCGCATATAAAATGAAATATAATCATTATTGTCCTTTATTTGTTCTAATTTCGTAGTCATATGATTAATAGCTATAATTCTCATTATTATTAACTATATGAGGTGACTCTAAAACAGTTTTAAATAAAAGAAATATAAGAGAATGAAGGATTTATCTCTAATAATTTAGCATTAGGTGGGAGCGTTGACAATTTGTGGAGGAAACGTATTCACAAAGTGCAAATATATTTAGCACTAAAAAGGCATGATTAATTTTTTTGTAATTATTTACACTTGAGCTTATTTTTAATAATTAAATTAGTTACGACTCTTGTGCACGGGTGATTTTGATTTCTTTAATTTCTGTTTCTACTCTCTTCTCTTGTACTTAAAGACAGAAACTTTGATTGGTTTGAAGCTTACAAATAAAAGAAGAACATATCACCGTTACAAAAAAATGCTGCAATTGTTTCCTTTATAATTATGCTATTTTATGCATGTCAATAATATGATTATTGAAGAAAAATCAGTAAGTAATATCATGCCAACATTGCGTTACAAAAAAAGGATAATCAATACACTAGAATAAAAGGTCAATCATTCCTAATCTAACATACTTGAAGATCTAATTTTAATATATTATGAATTGCTTTAATAAGACAAACTCACAAAACTAAACTCCAAAAAGTCTTGTTATATAGAAATCGTACGTTTTCCATATAAATGATTATAATGTTCCCTATGATTTGTATTTTTTTGGTCGTCATACCCTTATAGGCTCATATAACCATGAATACATCTTGGTGGAGAAATGATCCCCGCAACTCCACAATCAACCAATCATTTTTCACGAAATTAATCAAATTTACAATCTCCTCCTCATCTTTTTCATCTTCTTCTTATGATTTTCTTTCCGACATATAATTTTAATTGTTTCCCATGCCACTAACTAAACTTCCAAGAAATTTACTACGTTTTTCATTTCTATTAGTTTACTCCAAACCAAGTGAAAAGTCTTCTTATAAACGAATTAATCTTCCTTCATAATCCAATTTTTTTCAGTTTACTTTTACCACTAGAGAAACACATGATGAAATCAAAAGAGAGAAATTGAAATGGTTGTTCGAATGTTATATTGCAACCAACAGAAGTACCAATGTTTGAAATTTTAATGTGATTTCAATAATGAATGGACGCTATGAATGCATCAAATCAAATAACCAAAATCTTAAATTTAAAAACATTTTAAAAATTCGGTTCAAGATCTTCCGATGATTAAGAGAAAAAAAAAATGAAAATAAATTTCAATCCCACTCCCAGCAAAATCATAACTAATTATTTCAATCTAATATATTGCAACAAATACAAATACTCATCAACGTACATACATGTGTCATGTGCCCAATGAAATATGGATTGGTGTAATATAGAGATAGGTAAATTAATACACACACTCACGCACGAGCTTCACGTGTAGCCCATAACTTTGGCCCCCACAGAATGATAACCGGCCCCACTAAGGCCCACTCATTAGACCGGAAAGATCGGTGGTTCGTTGGCAATGGCTGACTTGACAGTGGCTAGGAGGACCACGCCGGGCTCACGAGTCCAATCATATAACTTCTAGTGGGACCAACCTTAACGGCTTCAGCCACAAGATGAATTTGTGTTAGGATCGAACCAGCTTAACCGGTTGTTCTTCAAGTTCGGTTTGGGCAAAGAAAACGTGTGATATGATGGTTTGGATAACTGTCACTCTCTCAATTTCTTTAAACCTATTAATGTACTCAAAACAGTCGGTTTGTGGATCCCATCAGCGAAAATAGATAAAATTTTGGCTTCGAAAATTTAAAGTGGCATTCTCAAAACTCTCTATATAGTATATATACACACGTAGATGATATAAATAATTAAATACCACCATAATATAAAAATGAGACATACTGTAGCTCTTTCTAGTACGTACATATTACTCTCGAAAATAGATGCGTGCAATATATATATTTACAGAGTATACTAAAATGATATAGAAATTGCAGGTATAATCATAGTGTTTGCAAGTGGAGAATTGGAGATAGAAGCGTACTGCTTAAGAACCATCTTTTTATTTTGTTTTCATATTAATTGCAATATCATAGAGACACTGAACTCACGGAAAAGAGAAAGAGACTCTGCCGTCAAAGATATAAAATAAGAGACCTAGCATTAGGTCATAATATCTTACTAGTGATCCATATGTAATTTCTCTGATCTTTGCTTTGCTTAAGAAGAAATTTATACAGTAACATGAAAACAATAGCTTAAAATTGTAGTTAGATGAAACCACATATATATCTATCGATTCTCATCGAATAAAAGTATAACTAATGTGGTATATATAGATTCATGTGAATTTGATTCATGACCACAACATTTAATCGAGTGAAGAAGAGAACAAAAATATCAAAAAAAATTAAATAATTGATTGAACTTACGGATCAAGTTTTTGTTGAATAAAATGCCAATGTGGACCATATGGTATGAGTAGTATATAATATCTAGAAATTTAAATCAGGCATAAATACACCTATACGTGATTTGCTATAAGAACTTAACCTAAAAGATTCGATTATCTAAAGAAATTAATATTAAATATGTTTGTCTAAGTTATTAACTTGGTATCACCTTCACTTTTATATGAAAATCTAACTTCCAAAGTAGCTGTATTTAATTTTATTCATGAAAACATTTGTTCTTAATATACGCAGAAAATATATTCGAGAGTTTATTCTAGTCTCTCTCAAATTCTATATTAGAATGGTATGTATGTAAAATGAACAAATTAAAGAATAGAACCAAATGGAGAATTTGTATGTAAGTTTGGTGGGGGCAAAAGGAAGTGAAATGGGGCCAGCACCGAAGGCGATAAGGAGCTTTTTTGCCGCGATGATGTTCCCTGTGTTATTACGTAACCACTCATCTCACGCCACGTTATTTTATTACTGTTTTTTCAAAAATTATTTTTTACTTTTACTTCAGTGTATAGTTCACTTATTTTACTTCTGCTACAGTTTTTTTTTTTGTTTGATAAAATCTTGATCAACTTGCTTAGTTAAGTTTTATAGCTGAATATGTACTAGTGTTTCTGAACCTTTTCCGTAACTAATTAATCAACTAATGTCTTACAAGCTTACCGATGTAGTATCATGTATGTTCATATAAACGTAATCCATCATGACCAATTAAGACATGCTAAAACAAAACATATTGTTTTCTTAAAGGTTTCAAAAAGAACATGCGTATCAATTTCACCAAACGAATCTAATAAATAACACGACCATCGTATATTATATTGCTATTTGACGATCAACGTACGGTCAATTTTAAAAAGTAAGGATTATCTTATTGTTGTACGTGATATTTGAGACTTCGAGTAACATCAAGGCTGGGAGAAGAAACGCATGGGGATGAAAGGTGTAAAATGGTTAAATTATTAACAATTTTTGTTAATTGCTAAGACGTTTAAACTACAGAATTCTTGAGTTACTTATCTATTATTGAGATTATTAGTACATTACCTTATTAGGACTCCATTTCTTTTTCTTTCTAGGTTTAGGTCGATCGCTAATTCACTCACTACTTTGTATAATATATGTAACATAGAGATTAAAACAATCTCGATTCTATAATAAACTAAAGGCAAGTATAGTTTATTTGAAAAACGTCTCATTCAATAGTTGGTAGAGATAGTTTTAAAAGATCACATTACTTCTCTATCACACACAGTTTAGAAAAGTGAAAACTTATGCAACACTTCAGGTAGAGAGAGAAAGACAGTGATAGCTTAGTTATAATTAAAGACCCCCAAAATCCAAATAGAATCTCCTCTTAATAAACTATTGAAAAAAATATTCACAAAAAAATAAAAAGCACATTTCCTTTTGCTTGCATCACGAGAGCTTTTGTCTCTGTTTACATTTATGTGCCTATATAAGCCTAGAGAATCCACCGTTATCGGAATACTCGTTGTCTTTCATGATCTCAACATAAACAAGACAAAACGCTTTTGTCTCTTTGTCTAAATCTACGAGAGGAACGAAGAGAAGACAAAAATATCGAATATTCTTATAAATCTTGCATAGATAAGAAGAAGATTCAAGTAAGTTTCTTTCTGTACATAGAGAACCCATGTCTATATGATATTGAACCCAAGCATACAAGTATTTTTGTTTTTATTATCATTTTATGTGTATGTAGTTTGGTTCAATCGAGTATTATGAGTAGCCAAACGTAACTTTTTTCATAATGAAATAGATCATATATACTTTAATCATAATTACTCTAATCTTTTTCCTACATATGCTTAATTACTTGAATACTTGATATCACATTACTTCCATGCATATCTTTTCTATGTACCGATGATAAAGTATATGTTACAAATTGCCACATTGCAGAAAAAAACAAATAAAAAGATCAAATGGAGAGTCTCGCACACATTCCTCCCGGTTATCGATTCCATCCGACCGATGAAGAACTCGTTGACTATTATCTCAAGAACAAAGTTGCATTCCCGGGAATGCAAGTTGACGTTATCAAAGATGTTGATCTCTACAAAATTGAGCCATGGGACATCCAAGGTATGTATGCATTCGATTTCATCAGTTAAATCATAGTTATACTAGTACTAGTTGTATTAGAAATCTAGATTTTTCTAATTCTAAATCAACTGCTGATTATATATGTTACTTTTTGCAATATACAGAGTTATGTGGAAGAGGGACAGGAGAAGAGAGGGAATGGTATTTCTTTAGCCACAAGGACAAGAAATACCCAACTGGGACACGAACCAATAGAGCAACTGGCTCCGGATTTTGGAAAGCAACGGGTCGAGACAAGGCCATATACTCGAAGCAAGAGCTTGTTGGTATGAGGAAGACTCTTGTGTTTTACAAAGGTAGGGCCCCGAATGGTCAGAAATCCGATTGGATAATGCACGAATACCGTCTTGAGACCGATGAAAATGGACCACCTCATGAGGAAGGCTGGGTGGTTTGCCGCGCTTTCAAGAAGAAACTAACCACAATGAATTACAACAATCCAAGAACAATGATGGGATCATCATCTGGCCAAGAATCTAATTGGTTCGCGCAGCAAATGGATATGTCGTCTAATGGTAATTACTATCATCTTCCTGATCTAGAGAGTCCAAGAATGTTTCAAGGCTCATCATCATCATCATTATCATCATTACACCAGAATGATCAAGACCCTTATGGTGTCGTACTAAGCACTATTAACGCAAATTCTGCAACCACAATAATGCAACAAGATGATGGTCATGTGATTACCAATGATGATGATCACATGATCATGATGAACACAAGTACTGGTGATCATCATCAATCAGGATTACTAGTCAATGATGATCATAATGATCAAGTAATGGATTGGCAAACGCTTGATAAGTTTGTTGCTTCTCAGCTAATCATGAGCCAAGAAGAGGAAGAAGTTAACAAAGATCCATCAGATAATTCTTCGAATGAAACATTTCATCAACTCTCTGAAGAACAAGCTGCAACAATGGTTTCGATGAATGCCTCTTCCTCTTCTTCTCCATGTTCCTTCTACTCTTGGGCTCAAAATACACACACGTAAGATCAGTCCTCAAAACGTGTGTAAATCCACACGCCTATATATAATTAATTCATGAGGCTCATGCTTATTGATTACAAAGCATACATATATGTCTTAACGATTACTGATTATAATTTTACACGAGAATTGTTTATTTATTATGATGTAACTTTATAGTTTTATGAGATATAATGTAAACTTTATAATTATTTCTAATGCATGATGGAGTAGCTGGTAACAACAGTGGCATAAGTAGAACCAAAACATAATCAATTTGACAAAACAGAGTCTACAAGTTTGGGAACATAAAGGGATTACATAACCTGATAAAAACACAGACACACTAGGACACAAGAGACAAGATTTGAGAGACGAGAGATGAGATTGATAAGACACACCAACCTCTTCTTCAAGGCACTCTCATTATTAATTGTGTCTGCATAATTAGAAACATTCAGAACAGTAAGCAAACTAAAGAGGCTGATTAATTCTTCCCAGACACAAACACAACAAAAACAGCCCCTGAGTCACAAACACATAGTGCTCCATTCCATCATTCTTCTTCTGTTTCAAGCATCTGCACGATCTGAGTCACTCCGTCTGCGATTTCTTTGCGGATCAAACTGTCTGGCATATCGAATGTTCTTCTTCTCATCGACAATGATTTCCCTTGTGGTTGCGGGTCTACAACATCCAACATTGCTTCCAGCTCATCCACCATTGATCTCTTAGCTCCTCGAACCATCACATCAACTCCCTGATACCAAACACACACAAGTTCCATGTTTCTTATCACTCAATACTTTAAAACCCTTTTAGCTTAATATCATTCTAAATGTGATATGATGATTTGCAAAAGCAAAGGCATTCCCTATAATATATGGGTTTGAAACTGATCCCATTGAAAAGCAGGTCTATATGTTATTAAGAGTGTAACTAACCAGATAAAGACTACAGAACCACAAATCCATTGAATTTTAAAAATCAAGAAATACCTCTATGGCGTCAACTGTGAGGAGAAGTACAATGATCTTCTCTGAGAATTTCTGGCGCTCCTCTGCATCACGAGCTATCAGGCGACGGTAGCTGAAGTTGTGGAATGAAGCTCTTAGCTCCTTCAGTTTAGTCTTCGCAATAGCTAGATCACGAAGAGCACGCAATGATTTTGAACGACGAATCAAATAAGCTTTGAAGGCCCTCTGGATCATCACAGCCGCATATTCAGGTGGCATTTCCTTGTTCTTCCCCTTCTTAGTCCTAACTGCTCCAGTTCTTCTGGAAAACGCCTATATAACCACACAACCATATAGTAAGTACAACAATCTATGGTTAAAGATGACATTCAAATAAATATCTCACTAATTCTATGTCTAAAACTTAATAATCACTCTGTTTTGCTAACCTTACTACCAACCACTCAAACACATAAAGGTTTCAACTTTTGAAGACACAAAATTCAACCTTATTTCAAGACCATGCCTATCGCTATCAAAATCAAACTAACTGTTCTCAAACAACTACATGACAGTGACTAAAGCAGAGTAAACAAAACAACAGTCAATTCAATGGACGAATGATACCTTCCTGAGAACGATAGCTCCATGTTCTGCCGACTCATCATCTTCTTCTTCCTCCTCCTCGATCACCACAACACGAGTTTTCTCCTTCTTCTTGCTCTTCGTCTCTACCTTCTCTTTCTTCTCCTTCTTCTCCTTCTCCTCATGTTTCTTCTTTTTCTCGCCTCCAGTAGAAGCCTTGATGATATAAGTATGTGAAACCTCTCCATTCTCTCTCTCACTCTTCACCTCCGTCGTCCAATTATAACTCTTCTTCTTCTTATTCTTATTCTTCTTCTCCGCTTCAGCAGCAGCAATAGCTTTCGCTTTCGCCTTCTCCTTCTTCAAAGCAGCTAACTTTAACCCTTCCTCATCCTTCTTCCCTCCTTTAATCTCCGTCGTCCATTTATACTTCCTCTCTCCCGAACCTTCAATCTCAGCTTCCAACTTATACTTCCTCTCCGGCGGTCCTTGAATCTCCGCTTCCCATTTATACTTCCTCTCACCACTTCCCTTAATCTCCTTCGTCAATGTATACTTCCTATCACTCTTAGGACTAACCAATCTATCAAACTTCGATTCCAAGTCAGAAACACGGTCACAAAGATACTTCAGAGGATACTCAGGCTCCAATCTCCGACGAATCACCTTGTACTTACAAGACGACGGAGATTTCTCAATCTGAACCAGATCCGTCACGGTTTCGTATAGATCGAGAGGACTAGGTGATGAAAAATCGAAGAGATCTTCAACATCTTCGTCGATGAAGGAAGGAAACCCTAAGAACAATGAAGAAGGTTCAACAATGGAGGTTTCACGGACGATGAGAGGTGAACACGTGTACGGATCGATGAGATCGAGTCTATGGAACCAACTCATGGTTTTGTTTTAAGTGTTTTTTGACTCGGAAGCTCGTGAACTCAGCGAATCAGGTCACGGGTTATAACAAAGCTTTGACAGTGTAATAATAAAAGCTCTTTTGGATTGGTAGTGATAATGGCTTACGAATAAATGAGCTTTATTTAGAATTTGATCCAAAATATTGACATCAAATTTAAGACAGAAGATGAAGAAGACGACAAATTCTTGAGTTTAACGATGTTGAGATTGAAAAACGAACAAGAATGGTCAGAAACGGTGGGCCTTGAGGGTAAATTTGACATTTGGGGCAATTTCCATGCCATTTCAAATATAAAGTTACGAAAGCTTATTATATTAGCAATTAAATATTAGTAAATCATAATGTTTTTCATTAGTTGCGTGATAATCTGGTTTGAAAAATTCTACATTCGTCGTATTGTTTTTTTTTTCTATGGCTTACCGGTCTGGTTCGATTAAACCGCTTATTTAGTAGGAAAAGGACGAAATTAACCTTGAAGCGTGTGAAATATTACGTCGACAAGAGAATCTTTCGGTGGGATTACAACCTGGTAAAAGATGGCACGTGGGGCCTGGTTCCTCCCACGTGAGCCACACCAAACAAATCTTACGTTATTTTGAATGAGTTTCTCACTAAGACAAACAAATGCCAAGAGACTTGAAACAAACAAAAAAACATTAATAGAAAGCCAAAATCTATTGAAAATTACATAATAATCATTGTAATTCAACTATTCCCATCATAATCATTACAAGTAGTTCAATGACAACAACAAAAATATGTTACCAAAATTAAGTTGGAGTGAGAAAAATTGTTTTCTCATTCATTTGATCATAAAGATAACCAGAGAAACTTACTATACCAGCAACAAAACCAACTATACCAAAACTAACCAAACCCCTAAACCGCTTCTTCTTCATCTTCTCGGTTTTTCTTCTCGCCATCTTCTCCTCTAACGACGCATCTTGATATTCTTCGTGTAACGATTCAACCAATGAGCGAACCAAACCGGTTTCATCAACATTGACAACACCACCACCACTTTCCAAACTCTGCATGTCCGGTTGGTTGATTGAACCGGTCAATTTCTTGAAAGCCTCTTCGACTTCGGTTAACCTCTTAGCCATGCAACGAAGTTTGAGCATCTCTTCGTCTTCATCGTCCTTAACCGACGATACCTCCGCAGATAAAAGGGTATGCGTGAAAAGAAACCGCAGTTCGAATTCCCGGTATGCATTAAGATCACCATTGCCAGAACCAAATTCTTGTAGCAAACACTCAAGTTCTTCGAGTTTCTTCTCCAAGATTGTGTTCGCTTTCGTCTTCGTCGTCTTCATCCTTTTCTTAAGCAATTTTTTCTCCCATTTTCCGAAAGGTTTTAAACACTTAAAAATAACTTCTCGTAGTGGATGGCAACGGTTAATGTGAAAATTACACGTATTATTATTATATATCTGTCCAAGGCCAAGGCCAGCCCAAAAAGGCCCATAACAACCTTCTGAATGGTCTGGAAGGTTTCGGAAGTGTTTCCAAATTTCACTTTCCCGCTCTTTGTGTTCCCAAATCCAAATGCCCTGATTTTCAAAATCCCAAATCGATTCCTAACTATCTTCAACTAAAAAAATCAAAATTGAGTCCAGATTCGTCTTCTGCTTCTCTTGCAACGTTTCAATTTCATGTACCTTCGATCTTAGATTCCAATTTTAAAATCGAATTTACTGGGGTTTCAATTTAGCTTCTCTTCTCGCTTTTTCTAGGGTTTAATCGCATTTTCTGTGAGTGGGAATTTTAGGGGAAGAAGAAGGAAGATGCATATTAAAGAGATGTGCTTAGAGGGTTTCAAATCCTACGCGACGAGGACGGTGGTTTCTGGTTTCGATCCACATTTCAACGCAATAACGGGTCTGAATGGTTCGGGCAAATCCAACATCCTCGATTCCATCTGTTTCGTTCTGGGTATCACCAATCTTCAGCAGGTTCGAGCTGCTAATCTTCAGGAGCTCGTTTACAAGCAAGGCCAAGCTGGGATTACCAAAGCGACTGTGTCGGTTACTTTTGACAATTCCGAGAGACACAGGAGCCCTCTCGGCTACGAAGAACATCCGGAGATTACTGTGACTAGACAAGTAGGTTCTTCGTTTCTCTACTCATCTTCCAATAGCTCTGAAAGTAGATAGCTTTAATCAATTCATGGACTTGACAAAATTTGAGACTTCAACTTGGAATTAGGAATCTAATGCTTACAGTGACTTGTATTTTTTGGTGTTAAAGATTGTAGTTGGTGGTCGGAACAAGTATTTGATAAATGGGAAGCTAGCACAACCAAGTCAAGTTCAGAATCTATTTCACTCGGTGCAGCTTAATGTCAACAATCCACACTTTCTCATCATGCAAGGGCGTATCACCAAAGTCTTAAATATGAAACCTCCGGAGATATTGTCCATGCTTGAAGAAGCTGCTGGAACAAGAATGTATGAAAACAAGAAGGAAGCTGCACTGAAAACGCTTGAAAAAAAGCAAACCAAGGTTGATGAGATTAATAAGCTCCTTGATCATGAAATATTGCCGGCTCTTGAGAAGTTGAGGAAAGAAAAATCACAATACATGCAGTGGGCTAATGGTAACGCGGAACTCGATCGACTAAGGAGATTCTGTATTGCCTTTGAATATGTTCAAGCAGAGAAGATTAGAGACAATGCTGTTCTTGGAGTTGGAGAAATGAAGGCGAAGCTCACTAAGATTGACGAGGAAACAGAAAAGACACAGGAAGAAATACAGGAAATTGAGAAACAGATAAAAGCTCTGACTCGGGCAAAGGAAGCCAGTATGGGGGGAGAAGTAAAAACTCTGTCAGAAAAGGTGGATTCACTAGCTCAAGAAATGACACGTGAGTCATCTAAACTTAATAACAAGGAGGATACCCTTCTGGGAGAAAAAGAGAATGCTGAAAAGGTTAGAGACAAGACAAAATTGTTGTTGCCAGAAATGTTATAGATTTTCACAGCTATTTCTGGCGTATATAACTTCCTACTTGGTGTTGACAGATTGTTCACAATATAGAAGATTTAAAGAAATCCGTAAAAGAGAGGGCCGCTGCTGTGAAGAAGTCTGAGGAAGGAGCGGCAGACCTAAAACAAAGATTCCAGGAACTCTCCACCACATTGGAAGAGTGTGAAAAGGAACACCAGGTAGTTCCACTAAAAAAATATCTCTATTCCGTGCCAAATCATATCCGTTTGTTTTATGTTAATTGAGTTTATGTCCCTTGATTCTTAGGGCGTACTAGCTGGTAAGAGTAGTGGAGATGAAGAGAAATGCTTAGAAGATCAACTACGGGATGCAAAGATTGCTGTTGGAACAGCTGGAACAGAGTTGAAACAGCTGAAAACCAAAATAGATCACTGTGAAAAGGAGCTAAATGAGAGAAAGTCTCAGTTGATGTCAAAACGTGAAGAAGCCATTGAAGTGGAAAATGAACTTGGAGCTAGGAAAAATGATGTGGAACGTGTAAAAAAGGCACTTGAATCTATTCCTTATAATGAGGGTCAAATGGAAGCTTTGGAGAAGGTTAGCATGGTCACTTTAGTTGATTTTGTCTACTTCTACATAAAGTATACATCTCTGACTGAAATATTTGTTTAGGACCGCGGAGCTGAACTTGAAGTTGTGCAAAGGCTGGAAGATAAAGTGCGTGCTTTATCAGCTCAATTAGCAAATGTTCAGTTTACATACCGCGATCCTGTGAGGAACTTTGACCGATCTAAGGTGAAAGGTGTGGTCGCAAAACTGATAAAAGTAAAAGATAGGTCCTCAATGACAGCGTTGGAGGTAGACTGGATAACTTAACATTTCACAATATACATTGTTGGATTTCAATTACCTGAAGTCACTTTGCTTCTTATTCTCAGGTTACTGCTGGTGGGAAGTTGTATAATGTTGTTGTAGACTCAGAAGATACTGGAAAACAGCTCCTTCAAAACGGTGCTCTTAGGAGAAGAGTTACAATCATACCTCTGAACAAAATCCAATCTTACGTTGTTCAGCCTAGAGTGCAGCAGGCGACTGCTAGATTGGTATGTGGATCTTTTGTTTGGTCCATTCAGATTAAATCTCTTTGTTTTCATTTTCTTTGCTAATTTTCTATTATATATTTTCAGGTTGGAAAGGATAATGCTGAACTGGCACTTTCCTTAGTCGGTTATAGTGATGAATTAAAGGTACACACCTGCATATAGTAACAAGAATCTCTTATATAATCCTCTATTTTCAAGTTTTCAAGAATACATAATCCTCCATCGCTGATAATTTTCATCTCATGCATGAGCAGCAAGTGTTAAATTTCAAGTTCAAGTTCATATTTGTGTGAATCATGGTATTTTGCAGAATGCCATGGAGTATGTTTTTGGCTCCACTTTTGTTTGCAAAACTACTGATGCAGCAAAGGAAGTAAGTATTTCCCAAGCATTTAGTATTATATGTGGGCAGGGCCTTCAGCTTTTCTTTCTTGTGAGATGATGTCAGCTTATATATGACTCTATACGAGGAATATGTGGTGTGCAAATTTTTTTGATTGTCTAAGCTTATTTTTTAGTAACTCTTGACGGATCACATCTGATAATCTATTCTAAAGTTTTATCACTTTTGTTGGGTTATAAGTGCAACATATACCTTGATTTTATTTCCCACTGTGCTTCTTCTGCAGGTTGCTTTTAACCGGGATATTCGGACTCCAAGTGTCACACTTGAAGGTGATATTTTCCAGCCAAGTGGTCTTCTTACTGGTGGGAGTCGCAAGTATGTCTTTCTTTCTTGGATGCTTAGATCTCTAGTGAGAGTCATCTCCTTGATTTCTTAGGACTCTAAAATAAAAGTATTTTGGTCATATGTTTTCCTTTGCCTTAGAGGTGGAGGTGATCTCCTTAGGCAACTTCATGACCTGGCAGAAGCTGAATCAAAATTACAAGGACACCAAAAAAGGTTGGCTGACATTGAAGCGCAGGTAAACCCCTTAAGATATTCTTCCGCTATAAGTCTAAATACAATTTGGAACTTAACAGGTGCTAGCCATTTTTTGAAATCACTACGAAAAAGATAAGGCAGTAGCTTAGTAATGCTCTCTGATTGCTCTCTTTAAACTCCTCATGTCACACAGTTATAAAGTGCTTTCAGTATTTTAAACGTAAACTGCTGGTTTATCTTGACATGACAATCTTGACGTGACAGATCAAAGAGCTTCAGCCTCTTCAAAAGAAATTCACAGATGTTAATGCACAGTTGGAGCTAAAAACGTACGACTTGTCCTTATTTTTGAAGAGGGCTGAACAGAATGAGCATCACAAGGTTTATATCTCCATCTTCTATATATATCTTTCAAGCTAAATTGTCTCTGCTTCGTTGGTTTTTTCGTGGTACTTGAAGCACATACATTTATACTTTCCATCACCTGTTGTATACACAGCTTGGCGAAGCAGTAAAAAAACTTGAAGAAGAGCTTGAAGAAGCGAAATCCCAAATCAAAGAGAAGGAACTTACTTATAAAAATTGTGTTAATGCTGTTTCCAAACTAGAAAATTCCATCAAAGACCATGACAAAAACAGAGAAGGACGACTCAAGGACTTGGAAAAAAATATTAAGACCATCAAAGCTCAAATGCAGGCAGCTTCCAAAGATTTAAAGGTATTCTAGCTTTTTTGTTCAGTTACTTACATGCCATTGAACTTCTTGAATCCATTTTTCTTTTCCTTTTCCTGGGTTATCCAGTTTTATCATGGAAACATTACCTTCTTTTGAATTTGCTGTAACGTTGTCTCTGGTTCGTCATGCTTATAGAGTCATGAAAATGAAAAAGAGAAGCTTGTGATGGAGAAAGACGCAATGGGGAAAGAACAGTCGTCCTTGGAGAGCCACTTAGCTTCATTGGAAACCCAAATTAGCACTCTGACTTCGGAAGTGGACGAGCAGCGAGCCAAGGTGACTGTAGTTTTGCTACTCTTGGTGAAATTTGTTGAAAATAAAGAAATCTATCATGTTAATATATGATTCCCCTGCAGGTTGATGCCTTACAGAAGATTCATGATGAGTCTCTTGCCGAGCTCAAGTTGATACATGCAAAGATGAAGGAATGTGATACACAGATAAGTGGTTTTGTCACTGCCCAAGAAAAGTGTCTGCAGAAGCTTAGTGACATGAAGCTTGAGAGAAAGAAATTGGAAAATGAGGTACTTTCTGTTTCTGTCTTTTTGCTGTTTCTAGGTTTTGCAAAGCTACAAACCATGCTTGTTTCTTCCTTACCACCAGTCTGATTTATGTTGCTCTTGCACTTCGTATAAAAATCTATCGTATTCACTAGTCTTGCCTATTAAGAGTTTCTGCCTCGGGTTTCTTTAAAATTTTGAAAGTTCAGTAATTGCGTCAAAGTTCAAAC